ATTAAGGCTTATGTATACTGCTTTAAGATACTTGCTTATTTGCTTTTGACAAAATTTGCACAACCTTGCCTTAATTATTATGTTGCATTAAAGAAATTTGGTAGATTAGTTATTGTCTCACCTAATGAGAAAATACTTAAAATTTTTAAAATCTTTAATCATTACTTGATAAATGAAAAAAATTTACACCACAATCTCAGGCATTTCGAAATATGTAGCAGGCCCACACCAAACTGGCGGAAAATTACAAAATACAGGCACTTTTTGACATTCCTTAAAATAGCCTTCATTCAATTACACATACAGTTTGGCTGAACATTTTGGCTTCCAGCTTGTTTGTCCACCCTGACAAAGAGGGCAGACTGTGCTGGAAGAGCAAAAAAGAACAGAAGAACATATTTCAAGTGGTCTATAGTGTGCTGCAGGATGTCTTGGTCATACAGGTACTATAATAGAGTGGGTGCATTTTACCAAATTTTACTATTATGAGACTTGGTCAAAAAGAAGTTTTAATAAACCATATGTATTAGTTGTAAAGTGAGGAAGGCATCGCTTTGTTCGTTTTTTTTTTTTAATTATTATTTATTAATATAAATTTATTATTTTTTAAAGTCTAATTCTGTTTTTGAATGAAAATCTTCAGGGTCGTCTTTCCCCTGATGAACAGCAAGATGAGAGTGTCAATAATATAAGTACAATGCTGCAAACTCTGGCCTCCATAGCCAAGTGTACCCCTGTGTGTGAGAAGCAGGCAGTGTGTGCTGTATGTATACAGATCAGGGAGCACAATTTGGACCTAGAACTGGCACAGAAAGTAAGTAGTACTCTCACTAGTGCAAACTAAGTGTGCATCTTTATACAGTTGCGTATCTAACACTGGTCAGTTGGTGTTTTAAAACACAGAGGCCAGTTCAGGGATAGTAATTTGTTTTGTTTTTTAAAGAGTCTATGTTCTGCCACGTCAAGATTTCATTTAAAAAAGGTATAAAAGGATAATAAAAAAAAAGATTGAGGCTTTTCTTTGTAAAGATGTAGAAAAGTACATAAAATTTCATTGACTCATTTATTGGTGTGTTTCAGGTTCTATTGGATGTGAGTAGCAGTCTAGGGTATGGATCAGTTGCAGACTACATGGCAACCCATGTCCCTTATATCTTACAACAGTGGACAGAGATGAAGTACCCACTGGGGGAGTTCCCTTACCAGTTGATGGGGTGCACTAACCTGGCTGAATTTTTAAGGCATGTGGCTTAATGTTATTGTGATTTACTTTTTATTGGATGTTAATGTCTTGTTTGATTTTTCATGATGATTTGTCTTATGATGAAAGTTTTTTCTGAATCTTTTATTTCTCCATGTTGCTCCTACAAACTCTTAATACATTCAGTGACTTTTTGACCTTTTCTTTCAGGACTTTCCTCCATGTGATCATCCCGTATCAAGTTATGCTGCAAGATTTTGAGGGGACAAAGTTTGTAGCGGAAACTGTCCAGCAGAACTGGCAGAAGATGCTGACAGAAGTCCTGCCCAGCATCATGGTGCATATCCTGCCTGTGTTTGCTGCAGGCAAGGACAGTCAACTGTGTACCACTGAACCCATCAGGAGTAAAGTTAAGATTGCTAACCAGTGTTATGAAGCTTTGGAAAGGATTTTGTCTCAACAGGTACGTGTTGTAAACTGGCTATGTAAATTCTTGTTTCTGTAAAGAAATTCTGGACAGGTGCAAACATATTTTTTCAAAGTGATTTTGAATATGTCATTGTACAAGGAAATGTTGCATTTATGCCATTTTTAACTTTTACAGTCAGCTATAATATCTCGATTTAGAATAAGGACATATTTTATTCCACTTATAAGATGTACTTCATGAATGTGGTCAGTAGTACATAACTTCTTCAATTTCATTTCAGACTGTGTCCATGTCCATACCTCACCACCTGGACTGTATAGTGCTGGATGTCCTTAGGACATTATATAACCCAGGAGACGACCAAACCGGGTAAATATATGGCCTTATATGGATTATTTCAATCAGCACTTACCTACCACTCCCTTTTTTGTATCTTCAGGTTTTATTTTAGCCTTATGCATTTCACCTAATACCTTGGTTATTTATTTATTTTTATTTATTTTTTTTATTTATTTATTTTTTTTTTTTAACTGTAATTTTTGGATTGTTTCAGTGGTTATTTACCAGAGCCCAACCCACCTTACTTCAGCCAGGAGATAATAAGCAGTACATTGGCATACTTGACCAAGTGTCACGGAACTAAGGCTAAGAGTCTGGTATCTCTGTTAGCTAAAACACAGGTATTATAGTATGCCTAAACCAATACAAATGTATCTATAGCTTGGGTAAGGATTTTGTATAAATTATGATAAATATGGGCAAACTGTTAAATTGAAATATTTGCTCACTTGACTCTTTTACATAATCGGTATGTATATAACTATAAAACCTTTTTTCTTCAGAATTGAGTAACATATTTCAGATTTTGATCAAATCAACGTGCAATATACTATTACTAAGCAAAATGCTAACTGATTGTCATGTGTGATGATGGTATAATTTTTTTGTTTTATTTATATAGTCCTCCAAATTAGTTTTTGCACAGTTGTTTTTGTATTTTAGGATGGTATTCAGAAGGTTCTCCTGCTGTTGTCTGTGGACATTCAGAAATGTCATTGTGCACATGAGAAGTTGAGGAAGCTACAGATGTACGAGTTGTTCACAGGTCTCTTGATGCAGGAATTTCATGAACAGTTAGGTGGGAGCTGGGCATATGTTCTGAGGCACACAATACACTCACTGCTGCACATTTTGAAGGTCTTTCCAACAAAGGCTAGGTATGATGAATCATTTTTTCATTGCTGAAAATTTTGTCAAAAATTTTTTATGTTTTGTCAGTGTATTTTCAATTCACAGTCACTCCACTTTAAGTTATCATTAACATTTGAACTATATTGTGTATTTTTGAAAACTAACATTGATAATTTCTTTGCCAGTCACATTTTCAACTTGTTTCCATTATGTGTGCCACAGCACAAGGAGTAGGTCAAGAGAGGAAGAGACATTCAGTCAGGCAGTCTTCACCAAGGGCTGTGACATGTTGAGACTGGTGTGTGACACTGGGATGACATCCTGTCCCCAGGTAATGTCACACCTGACAGGCGGGAAGAACCGTTTATTTTCAACTGACATGGCAGTACAAGATGTGACTGATATCAAATTTTGAATAACCAAATAATAATCATTTCTAATTCATCAGTCAATTCATATAGTGCAGTGTACATTGCCATGAACTAGCCCCTTTCATGATGTTGTGATAATTTCTTGAGTTGTCTAGATTTGAAGGTACTCAAAGATGGCTAGGTGTCTTTTTCTCTTGAGTGTTTTCCTGTATGCCAAAGATAGCAGGGGGGGATCATTGTAATGCTATGCAGTCTGACATGTTTTTACCTTTAATGTAATGTTAGCTTATTTTATTTATTTATTTGATTATTTATTTAATCTTTTATTTATTTATTTATTTTTTTTTGGCAAAGATAATTGAGTATAATGATTCTTGCATTTTTATAGCATCAGAGAAATGTGATAAATAATCAAGATCTTGTACAAAGGAGTAGAGTGAATTATATTTCAAGAAACAAATTTAGCATTTTATATTGTTTTTTATTCTTTACATATTGTATTCGTCTTCAGGAAATGGACAAGTACCTTGCCGCCATAGTTACATCCATAGTGCCATATGCAGAACTCGAGGGAGAAGTTGGAGAGAAAGTATGTAAGACATACACCTTACAGTGGCATTCATGAGAACTGTATCCGCTTCATCCACAACATGAAATAAAAAGAAAAAATAAAATAGTGAATCAAGCATGTAATTTAAGAGTGCTCTTGAGTATCAATAGTATTTTCTGCAAACAGTTTTTGTCACTCCTGCCATCAAAAACATTATTTTGCCATTGTGTAAGAAGCAATTTTAGTTTCTGGGTAATGCAACCACTTTGTAATCCAGAGCCTAAGCCTGCTGAACTTCTTAGTGTTGGACAATGTGTATGTGTACAGAGACACGGTAGCTTTACTGGAGGTCTTCCCTGATAAACCAGTCTTCTCAGCTCTTATACACAAACAGCAAGAGGTCAAATATGGTGCTAAAAGTTTTACCATTCAAGAGGTAAAATTATGTTCTTCAGATATGTAAATAAAACCGTAAAAGTTTTTGAAAATTTTTATTTACAAGTCTTAGAACTTTCAATATTGGTTTTCTTCATTACTTTTCATTAACTGTAACATACGGTTCTTCTTTAAAAGAGTAACATACCTGTCAATTTTTTTAATTGTAAATATTGTTTTTCCAATCGGAAAATGAAAAGATAAAAGACACACATTGTATTTCAGGAGCTGTCCAGTTTCCTGTCTGCACTGAAGTGCCTGGGAGAGCGTAACTGCAGAGAAGCTCTCGTACATCTGAACCTGCAGCTAAAGAATAGGAAGCTAGAACTGATTGAATTGCTAGAGAAATCTGATGGGGGTGATGCCAACTTTTTAGTTTTTTAACATTGAATTGTTGAAATGCTTTTCAAGTTTTCTTTTGACAATATTTTGAAATTGGAAGTTTAATGTGAGAAACCCCAAAATATAGATATGAAACTGCAGAAAAATCAGTAACTTGAAGATCTATTACATTGGGCAAAGGTTTTATTTGCTAATGTTAGTCTAGATTACAGATATTTTAAAGAAGGTGTCATTTGTCAAATGTAACATATAAAACTTTTTTTCCAGCCATTCCAACCTTTTGTGAGGTGATTTCGGAACTAGTGCACCTGTGCAGTTCAGGAGATCACAGCATTGCCCTGGAGGCTGCGGCTTGTCTTGGAGAGATTGGCCCCACCCAACTTTCAGTCACCACCCTACCAAGAAGAGGCTATCAGGAGAACTGGACACCCTTGTTAGAAAGATACCAAGGGGATGAAGTCCTCAGGAGATATTTCCTCATTTTCCATAAATTGTCTGAATATACAATTGCTGAGGAGTAAGTGTTGAAAATCAGTAGTCCACTGTTACCTCAGTTATTTTGTGTTGTAGTTTGGTCACAACAAAATCAATTTTTGCACATTAATTTGTAGAGCTTGCTTTCATGAAAAAATTAATTACAAGGATTTTCCATTTTATTTGATTTGTGTCAATTTGAATTTAATAACTGAAAAAAATGCAACAAATGTTCTGACCTTGAGCAGACATGCACCATATATAAATGTTAAGGAAAATTCAGCGCTTCACCTGTTCAGTAATGCCTCATTTCTCATTATAGTGTAAGCACCCAACTAGCTGCTAATAAAGTTTTGAAGTCCATTCTGTCAACTAGAAGTGGTCAAGCTTTCTGCACTGACCACAGGAACAGACTGCAGGAAGTAGACCCACTGTTTCACTACCTGCATCCCTTCAAAGCAGCCAAGAAAAAGGTTTGTTGAAGAAAATATACCTTTGTGTAATTGTTTTTGTGACAGTATTTTATATATATATATATATATATATATATATATATATATATATATATATATATTATATTTTTTTTTTTTTTTTTTTTTTTTAATAAAATAGCACTTGATCATAATAGTAAGGCGGAATAGTAAGATGGAAGTTAATGCAATCCAAACATGGCATGTTTTATAAAGCTGCTTGTGTCATTTTTGAAAATCTGCTTTTCAAGGTAACTCTTCTTTTCTTGTTTACCAATATTCAGTCCACCCAAGATGACCAGTCACAGCATGTCCAGCCACGGACCTCGCACCATGTCTTGACTGACCAGTCCCTATGGCTACCAGACCACCAGCAAACATACACTGAATGGCTAACCAAACTGACTTCTAGTTTGGCCGACTCAAAATATGTGCAGGATGAAATTCTACAGAGACTGGGGCCTATATGCAACACCATGGTATCTTGTCCCTTGTTGCATTATACCTTTTACATTTGAATTAAATTTTTAGAATAAAAATGTGTGCTTGTTTGAAACAGTACAGTTGTACATGTGAAATGAGCAAGGTTTTCCTGTGTTGAATAGACTTGAAACAGTGAACAGTATTCACTGGTTGTTTGATATAGGTGTGGTTTCAACTTATGATGCTGTCAAACACCAAATACTAGTGATATTTGCCTAATTATAGTGTTGATTGACAATTTTAAAATCTACTAAATTCCACGAATGTTCTCAAAAAATTTCCAAAAAATTAGATGATAGGTCACCTTTAAATGACCAAAAGATCTCTCTGTCAGGTCAAGTCAGCGTAACATGCCCTTTCATCCAACCCGTTGTTCTCTAGGTGAAGTTCTGTGAGCTGGTTCTGCCCTACCTCATCCACAATATCCTGCTGTGTGGAGACGAGGACCAGAGGCAGGCAGTGTCTCAGCAGATTGGCCGCGTGTTTGCTCTACACTGCAGTGCAGTGCAGGAACAGAAAAGCAGAACAACCACCCCAATGATGTCAGGTGTGTGTGCTGGTGCTTACTCCATTAAATGCACAAAGTACCAAAATAGGCATTTTAGTGTGGTCTTAAAGCATGTATTATGGGAATGAATAATACAGACAATTGAAAAGCAAATTATAATTGTGTTAATTTTGAAATTCATCAGTGAGAACTATTATACTGTTTATTCACTCATACACTGTTCTTTTTTTTTTTTTAATTTTTTAATTTTTAAAGATGTCAAGTCAACTTATAAACCTTTTCAGAATAATTTTTTTTAATGTGAGATATGATGACACTTCATATTTCAAACATATGTCCAGCCCCTGAGAGCAGCCCTAGATGTTCCAATGTGGACCAGAAGGTGGTGAAAGTCCTGCTGAAAGTGGTGCAATATCTGAGGCAGCAACAGCTCCCCACTCAGAATAGAAGGTATATTTTAAATTAGAAAGGATTGTATTGTCAGTGAAATAATGAGTACTTCAATTTCTTTTGATGTCTTATGTCTTCAGCGTGTATAATTAAGATGAATGTTTTTATTTAATTTCATTTTAAATTTATGAAAGTACTGTGTTTGCATTACTGTATAAGAGTGGGCATTGCACCCAGCAAGGAAGGTTTGAATATGTCGTAATTTCCAGACACTTTGGCTCTAATGTTTTCTTGACTTTGATTAATTCAAAAGATATATTTTCATAACTGTTACATTTATCAAATGGTTTTGCTGTGCCTTGCTTCAGGTCCCGCAGTACTCTGTTTTACAATAACTACTGGTTGAACCTGAACTTCCTGGATGCTGCCAAAGCAGCCTTGACGTGTGGAGCGCCCTTCTCCACCCTGCTGTATACTGAGATATGGTGGGATATGGAAAGGTAAGGGACACATAAGGCTGTAATAAGAGAAAAGTATGATAAATAAGTATATGAAGAGGATTTTTTAACCTTTGAACACTGCAACTGATATATCGAATTTTATACACCTGTGCATAGCTGGTGTACTGTCAGTAATTGTGCAGAACAAAGGTAAAATTGTGAATGCCTCAGTGTGTGAACTGTCCAGATTATATTATAACTATTTTGGTTGCATCAGTATGCCACATGGAAATCATCAAGTGGAAAAAAATCCAGCACAATCAAAAAGATTGTTAAATCAATAAAGGAAAATTACTATTAACTTCAGAGCCAAGTCAAAATGGCAGTCCATGACCCCAAGTAAATAAGGGTTGGTCCCAAGATAAATGTTACCCTTTTAATTTTTCCAATCTGGGTTTGTGTCTATATGTTCCAGAAACCAGGATGTGGACAGCCCGAGTAGTTCTTCTGAAGACCAGCAGTCGCTGCCATCGCGCCCACTGCCAGATGGAGTGCAGGCACTCCTCCTGGAGGCATACCGCAGTATTGGCGACCCAGACGCTGTGTATGGGTGTGGGGCCGGGCAACTGCCAGATGTCAGCACTAGGATTCAGACATATGAGCATGAACAGAACTGGGATAAGGCTCTGTTGGCGTATGACCTGGAAATGGAAAATCCAATTGTTGCCACACAAGCAGGGCTGTTAAATGTGAGTGTTGTATATGGATGCAAGTTTTCTGTGGCTTTATTTATTTAATAGACTTATTATAAATTTTAAGCAAAGCTATTCAGTGTGTGTTTCACAATTTAGATAAGTTCAGGTAATAGCAAGTATGTTACAGCTTGTAAGGAGATTTGTAATGAAATGAAGTGGATACATAGTTGAATCAGTGATGAGAGCTGTTTATAAGTTTTCAGACACCTTGTTCTCCTAATCAAATGTTTTACACATGAAACATCTCATAATGAATTGTTTTTGAACATATTAAGATTTCTTTTTGTATGCTTGATCTTCTCTACAGGTTTTCACGTTTAAAATGTATTTTTCTTTCCTCAGTCTTTGCAGAGGTTTGGCACTGACCATGTGTTGGACATGTACCTGCGTGGCCTCCAGCAGGCAGGCTGGGAAGAAAACGAGGAGATCCGAGAGCTGCAGTACCAAGCAGCTTGGAGGGCAGGGAAGTGGAGCACAGAGTTACCAGCCAGGTGAGAGGGCTGGAAGACATTGTTTATATCAGGTTTTAAAATCCAGTTTTTGTACTGGTAACAATTGGAATTAATTATGACATGATTCCAATGTTTATGTCAACATGTATTTTCATGAGATGGATACAGTTGAAATAGGTTGAGCAGGGTGGAGTGCCACTGAAAATTTTCATACATGAGACTTATGTAAGATTATTTTAACTAAACTATTGAAATTTATTATGAAATTCAATCATCTGTATGCCCGTTTAAATTTTTTTTTCAGAGCGGAGTCCGGTTGTGGGTTCCACCAGGCATTGTTCACCTGTCTTAAAGCAGTTAAGGACAGAGATGGCGCCAGCCTGGATAGGGCTATAGAAGTGACTAGGTAGGTAAGAGATGGTGCCAGCATGGACAGGGCTATAGAGGTGACTAGGTAGGTAAGAGATGGTGCCAGCCTGGACAGGACTATAGAGGTGACTAGGTATCAAGAATGAAGTGTCATTTACAGTATTTTAATAATTCTTTTGTGTGTAGTAAGTTTGTAAAAAACATTTCAATTGCTAAAATTAAAAAGATTCATAGAGGTAATGGTAGACTGTTTCTTTAGATGAGCTTTTGTGATTCAAGATACAGTTGCTTATCATTCCTTTTGAACAGTGGGTGGATTTTTTATGAAAAATATGTTTCACAACATTAAAATTTATTTACCAGGCTATCTGCTCTGAAGAACATCAGCAGTTTCAATATGGAGAGTGTGCGCAACATATACCCAGGACTCAGCAGACTGCTGTGTGTGAGTTTGGTGGAGGACCTGGGCAGGCAGAGCCCAAGGAGTGTGAACACAGAGAGCCTTTTACACACCTGGTCATCACATATCCAGAGTCTGGGCACTGACTTTGAGTTCCTGGGCCTTGCTTTGGATGTTCAGCACACACTGCTCTCCATCCTCAGTGATCACATGGGAGGGAACAGGTCAGCTGGTCAAGTAGTGACTGACCACCTGCAACTTGTGGCCAGGGTGGCCAGAGAGGCTGGGGTGTACCAGGTAATGAGAGTTTAAGTAGTACTTGAAAAGATAAAGAAAACTTTTATACTTCAGCTTAAGAAATTAATTTTTTCTTAGTATAAATAAAGGAAAATCAATAATTGCATTTGCTTGTAAACCCATTGATAACAAGTAGAAATTTAGACATAAAAAGCAATTCATACAAGTAGGAAAAATCGCAATTCACAGCAAAACTTCCATACCCTCTATCTTCCAGACAGGGGAGCGGTGTCTTCACCAGATCAGGAAGCTGATAGGTGTACACAGTGCTATCAGTCCTGTGTGCCAGCTGGAGGAGGCCAGACTGTTCTGGGCCAGAGGAGAGGAGAATATTGCCAAAAACATCATGCAGGGACTGATACAGGAATTGAGCAGGGTGAGACTGGTTTCTTTGTATCAAGAATCAGTAATTGGTCACTGTTTGGTTCACTTTTATGTATTACTTTAATAAAAAAACATTTTCCACATTCTCTTAGCCAGGATCTAGATTATGAAACAGTCAGAGTTTAGGATTTAAAAAAGCTCTTCTCTAGTTTGAAATATTGGTTGTCTCTGTTGTAGGAGTGGCAAGATGGCAGAGAGAGGCAGACACTGTACCCGCAGGTTCTTGGCTTGTTTGGGTCCTGGCTAGCACAAACCAAGTGCGAAAGTCCTAGAGTGGTGATGGAGAAATACTTGGAGAAGGTGAACCAACACTTTCTACACTTTTTGAACAATTTTGTTATTTTGTTGTTGCATATGCTGTTTATGCACAGCGTTTTGTAATCACATTGTTAAATTTTTTTTTCTTTTTTTCCAAGAAAATAATGTTAAATTTTATTTTGTGGTGATGTATCAGAAATGTCAAAATTGTGGCTTATACTGTTTTGACCCATTTAATTTTAACCATATTGCTAACATTTTAGGCAGTTGATGCCCTTGAAGAACTAGGCACAGATGATAAAAATACCTGCTGTGAGGCCTATCTGGCCCTGGCAAAGTTTGCTGATGGCCAGTACAAGCATATAGTGGACTACTACAAGTCCAGCACCTATGAGGCCAAGCAAGCCCATGTTAGGAATGCTAGGCAGGAGCTGGAACAACTGAAGAGTTTGGGGACCACTTCTGACTCAAGGTATTGCAATTTTTCAGTTGCTGTAAACTAGGATGTTGAGTCTTCTGATATTTGTGGAAATATTTTTCATTACATGTAAAACTTGTGCCATTTTTTAAAACAAATGTCATAGTAAATATATAGAGTAAGTGCCTGTATGCAAAATACTTTTTTTATCCTGTGTATGTTTGAAAGAAAAAAATTGCAAAATTTTCAATCAAAATATATAATTGAACATTTGGACATTGAATTGAACAGTCGTTACTGCCGCACACTGGACCAACAGGCTCGTATTGATGAAGTAGAGATCAATGAGATGAAAGCTGACCGTGACAGATTTCTACGCCAGGCCATTGCTAACTACACCAAGTGTCTCCACCTAGGGGATGAACATGACAACCGCATTTTCAGGGTGATTGGGTTGTGGTTTGAGAATATACAGGATGAGGCAGTCAATACCCTGATTGAGGTGCAGCCATTTCTTCACAATTTGAAAACTGCATATTGTTTGCTTGGACAACTTATTTTAATATGTTAAAATATTTGTGTTCTTATTTAGGAAAAGTAGGATTAAAGATTGCCAAGACTCATGCAACCTTGAAATAGTTTATTAGATTAAGATGACTGAAGATAAAGTGGACATTATATATATTAGATTTTATATTTCTGGATTTTTTCAAGAGTTTTTGACTGACTGAAAAGTGAACTGTTGTTACTAAATTAGTTCTGTGATCATTTCTTTGCAAAAGCGAGAATGATTTTTTTCAAAACAGTTAATGTTAACTAGATGTTATGTATATATATTTGTCTTGTCATAGGACACTTGTAGAGTGCTACCTCCTCACAAGTTCCTGCCCTTGATGTACCAGCTAGCAGCCAGGATGAGCAAAGAAAATGCTGGCAACTTCCAAACCACTCTGCAGAAGGTACATGTAGTGTGCTGTGTTGTGTTGTTGTGTATTTGGTACAAGTGAGGTAGAAATGAATGATATGTTGGTAGTTGTCTTCCTTATAACACTGTAAAGATGTTGGTTTGTACATTAATTGTTGTAAATGGACTGCAGTAGTTGCTCATTACAGGGGATAATAGACACAAGAAAGGGAGTAAGTAAACTTTCTTGTGTTTTTCAGTTGATCCTCCAGGTGGCAGCAGTTCACCCACACCACACCCTGCCTATCATCCTAGCGCTGGCCAATGCCAACAGGGACGTGGAGCTGGCAGCACAGCAGAGGCAGACCAAGAAGCAACAGCTCTCACAAGCCAGTTCACTCCTTGAAGTAAGTTCTCTTCATCTGCTCTACTGTGGCACCAATCCATGTGAATATCAAATTCTGCTTTCTGGAATTCCACTCTCATAGCCATTAAACACTTAATGAGAATGGTTGTTTATTTAGTACACTACATTTCCGTTATGATTTTTTCTTTGTTTAATTTTTTTTTCAAGAATTTGTTCCACTGATAAGCATAAGTGATTAACTGGAATCATGTACTCTGTGCCCCATATTACAGTGCTATTTTTACTTCATTTAGACCATTACTCAAGACTGATATTATTACATCTACATAAAAGAATGAGCAGTGACAATTATGCTTTTGGTGTATTGTTTTAATAACCGTATTAATAACATTTCCCCAGGACCGTGCAGTAGCAGCCCAGAGTATACTTGACCAGTGTATGACCTCTGAGAGTGGTCAGCACAGACAGCTCATTAAAGACCTGAAAACACTGGCCGATGCCTACATCCAGCTGGCCAACTTCAGTGTGGAAGCACACAAAAAGGAGACAAGTATGTGACATGCAACTTAAGACAATTACTAGAGAATTATCTTTATAGTTCGATTTAGCCTTGTGAGCATGGTTTGTGAATTCTTCATGTTTTCCAAGATGATTATTGTAAAAAAAATTATTTAAAGTTATTAAGGAATGGCTAGCAAATTAAAATGAATCAACAACATGAAGTGAAAAAAAAGTCATATTTTGGAATACTACATAATGTTTCACTTGTACATCTGTTAATTAATAGGGCCTATTAAGATACCTGCAGTCTTACTTATTACAAAGTTGAAGAACTTGGAATGTTGTGTTTTGACGGGTGATATCCAAGTAAGTATGCATGTAATATGCAATCAAACTGATATAATTTTAACCTTCATATTGACATAATTTTAAAATCCACATTTATGAAGAACCCTGGAAAGATAACTTGAAATATCTGTGATTTTTTTTTTTTTGTTTGTTTGTTTGTTTGTTTGTTTCCATTATCTCACAGAAGTTCAGTAAAATTGATTCCTCCTTATAATTATTGTTCTAAATGAAATTTTGAATGTGAAATCACTCCTCCTTAGGTGGACTTGACTGGTGAATATGGAGCACTGGCAAAGGTAGCAGGTTTTGAGCCCACTTATAAACTAGCAGGGGGCATCAACCTGCCCAAGATTATCTACTGTATTGGCTCTGATGGCAAAAGGATGAAACAGTTGACAAAGGTATCCTTGTACTAAGAGTGTTCTCCTATGACAGTAATAGAACATGCTTTTTGTAGTTTTGATTAACACTAGCTTTAATGTTTTTGCAAACAAGTCAAACCTCATGTAAACAACAACTTGATAGAAAAGTCTATAAACAGGCAAGCCTTTATGCTAAAACTAACCAATGTTTCAATATAATAGTGAACAGATAGCCTTGGTTGTGCATAAGTTAGTTTGTTCATATAAACCTTGTACTAATGATACACTGGATTGGAAGTGCAACTTATTTCTTTTAACCCATCTGCCTTTCAATAGAAAATACTCGTGCTTCACCATGATGTTTTGATAGCCTTGCTTGATTTTAATCGAGATCATAAACCTTACGATATTTGTGAGCTTATCAAGAAGCAATGCAGCCTTTTTGGATTTGTGTTTTTTCTTCTGAGGATATTTTTGATCCTTATTGCATGGTCAAACTCATCGAATATTCTGTTGAAAACAATGGAGACAGACAGAAGACAGTTTCCTGTTCATGAGTCTAGATGTAAACGTATTTTTCAGGGTCGCGATGATTTGCGTCAGGATGCTGTGATGCAGCAAGTATTTGGGTTGGTGAATACATTACTGAAGAAAGACAAAAATGCTGGAAAACACAAACTTCAAGTCAAAACATACAAGGTAGGCCTTCATTATATACAGACTTTGTTTTATTTCAATATTGCTGAATGGCTTTGTTTGGTAAAAATGAAGGAATCACCAAAAGGTGTGTCCATTGTCCTGTTGATCATTTTCCTAAGCTCCAAACAATGGTTATATTTTTTAAATGACATAAGAAATCCCAAGTGGATTAGTGTAATATTTCACCCAATTTTTCTTCTCCAGGTGGTACCCCTCTCCCGGCGTAGTGGTCTGGTAGAGTGGTGTGAGGGCACGCAGCCACTGGGAGAGTACCTAGCGGGTAGTGATGGTGCCCATCAGAGATACTATCCAGAAGACTGGACATTCATTCAGTGTAGAAAGAGGCTACAAGTAAGTGTATTGGGGCTGCAGCCTCTTGGATAGTACTTCTTAACTTTTTTGTGAGCACATATGTGATAAGTGTGCTTATTCTTTCCATGATAATATTTGTCCATGATTTATTTTTGTGATTTTCTTCTCCCTAGAATTCTCTACATGCACATCTTTCCAATATCTTAATTATGAGGTGTTTTTTACCTCCTGTCATGGACTAATTTTGACTGCTTTTTGTTTTCAGGCAATTAAAGAACCTAAGGAGAGACTACCAGCTTACTTGGAAGTATGTCGCCATTTTCAGCCAGTTTTCCGTCATTTCTTCCTGGAAAACTTCCTAGACCCAGCAGAGTGGTATGACAGGAGACAGGCATATATCAGGAGTGTGGCTACCACTTCTATAGGTAAGATACCTTCTTTGTGAAAAATTGTCTTTTGTTAGTCTAAGAACCTTTTGCATTATTTTTGCTGGTGGACAAAAATTTTCTTGCTTCTTGCTTTACATTTTCTTATTTATGTCATTTATGAACAGACTTAGTTTTTGTTTACTGATTTACTTATTGTACATTTATGTGGAAGTTCTCTTAATGTGTCATTTAAGATCTTGATCATCATATAAGCAAGTGACAACTAGCAAACTCTATGCTGTTGTTTCAGTTGGATACATCCTTGGACTTGGTGATCGTCATATTCACAACATCCTCATAGACTGCACTACAGCACAGCTGGTGCATATAGACCTGGGTAATATTGTACATATTTGTGTCTGTTCATGCATTTGTATCTTTTATACTATAATTACTTATAATAGTGATAAAAATAATACTTTATAACTTGCATTTGGTTAGCAGAGATTGTGGTCAAAAGAAGAAAAACACTATTTAACCCAAAATAGCAAATATAATTCTTAAAAAGAAAATTATAATATTTGAAATAAAAGTTTGATTTTTTGTTCTTCGAGAAAAAAAAATGTCCTTGTTGGTAAGTATCAGAATTGAATCTTAAACTTTGGTGTTTATTTCTGTTCAACAAAGGTGTTGCATTTGAGCAAGGCAAGATCTTACCCACTCCAGAAACAGTCCCATTCCGCCTGACCAGAGACATAGTGGATGGCATGGGGATCACTGGCGTGGAAGGAGTCTTCAGAAAGTTAGTTTTTTCTTTATCAGTAAATTTTTGATGTCTTGATTATAGATGGTAGAATGATCAGTGCACTATTTTGTGTTGATTTAAAGTAAAACTTCTCTCAGATACAAGATGTTAAAAAATGCTTTTAAAATACCAAAAAGATGGTGGGAGAGGGTCTGGATTTCATAGAAAATACAATCTCACCTGGATGATTGACTGTTCCCAGGAGTTGTGAGAAGACAATGGAGGCCATGCATCAGTCCCAGGAAGCCCTTTTGACTATCCTGCAGGTGCTGCTGTATGACCCTCTCTATATGTGGACCATCTCCCCCCTCAAGGCTATGGCACTACAGAGGACCAGGCAGGAGACAGAGGCCACAGAACTCAATACTAGCACCACAGCAGTGGCAGAGGCTCAGATACCAGGTGAGGAGTTGGTACATACTCTGCTGTTTGTTACGTAATGCATCAGCTTCTAAGTGAGGAGTTGGCATGCACCCTGCTGTTTTTTTTTTTTTTTTTTTTTTTTTTTTTTTTTTGTCATGAAGGTTGCAAAATATATGGGACAAGATTACTAAGCTTACACTACACCTTTGCATAATGGCTGCTTATCACAAAGCTTCCGCTGCTGACAACATTGTTAAGATGATTTTCATTGTAACTGCTTGTTTCCTCAGCAGGTCAAGTGAACCCTGACAATAATGTGAACCAGATGGCAGAGCGAGTGCTACTGAGGCTACAGCAGAAGTTACAGGGGATCGAAGAAGGTCTACAGCTCAGTCTCAAAGGCCAGGTGAACTATCTGATACAGCAGGCTGTGGATACACACAACCTCAGCAGAGTTTTTCCAGGATGGATGCCCTTTATGTAACTCTGATAGGAGTACCCTACTCTATGCCAGTTTTTAACAAACAGCTTGGAAGTCTAGCATTATTAGTTGCTAAAATTGGAAGCTCTTGGCACACTTGTAAACGAAAAGACTGACAGACCAGCAAATTGTACATTTAGGGGTTATTGCATGTGCATGCAGAACACTGTTGATGCCAGTTAGGTGCTTATGGTGTTTTTGTTTTTGTCTATTCATGTGAAAAAAAAATGGCTGTTTTAATTCATTAATTGTGTCATTAATGTTTCAACATCTATTGATTCATGCGAGTGAAAAAATTAATAGTCAAAACTTCTGTTAGGAAGAACATTGATGAACACACTGTATTCAAAATTTTCTCAGATCGTGAGAAATTGCAAAAAAAAAAAAAGTGCAGTATTAGAGAATGGTGCTTCCCACATCTTGTGAACAGTCAGATTTTATGCAAGCATTTAACAGCCATTTAGAACTGTTGAACATTTTAAAAAGTGACAACGTAGAATACCATTTCACTGTGAAAAAAACTAAATTTTTTAAATATTTTTCATGATTAATGGATATAAGATTCTCATTTGAAAGAAAAAGCATAAAACACATAACACACACCAATTTTTTTTTCAAATTAACAATGTTTATTGCTGATAAGTGTTTGTTTTACAAACGATAACCATTTTGATGAGAAAAATAAATATCCTATGTCAAGAAAACATTGCATCTATTTAGAATCTATATCTACATTTTTACAGAGCATGCAGATGTTTAGGATAGCACCAAATTTACCCAACATCAGAAGAGATCTCCTATTTAGACGTCAAACCATTAACAGCTAGTCTCTATCTATTCCCTGCATTCAGCAAACATCCCCCTATCAGTTCATTTGGAATGAGTTAGCTGTGAATAAGTCAATCCCAATATGGTCGTAATATATGTGCATTAAAAAATGCAAGCGTCCTTGTATTATATACGTGAACTTTCTGTCTGGAATGGCAATGAAAAGTTACAGGAATAAGTATTGAGGGGAATGTTTGAATAAAGATGAAACTGACTTTAAGAAGGAATGGTTTTTGTATAGTAGTAAATGCAGACAAATCTTTGCAGGAAATTGTAAACTAGTTAGCAGAAAGAGCAGCACACAAAGCACCTCCAAATAAGTATTATACCAATAAATCATGCCTGCAATGATTTGTGTGATCCACAATTATTTAAGCGCAATCTATTCATGTCATTTTATGTCAGCTCTGCACAATTGCTGGATTTTTCCTAACCAATAACTGATCATGCTACTGGTCTATCTACCCTATATTTAGTTTGTTTATAAATTACTAAATGAGCAAGTTTGCACTATCTACAAATTGGTCACGACACTAGCGCAATCAACCCTGCTGCAGCATTTTTAATTTGGCACAATGACATTTGCCTTTGAGTGCTTTCAAAGAAAATATTATTTACTAGTCATCTTTAGATAACAACATGATATTGATGCAATATGGAACATGTTACCCAACACTCATTTAAGGCTTTGAAATTTGTTGCTCAAAATCAGGCATGACTTTCTTTGACTAAGGTAAATGTGCACCAGGTTTTGATGTGTACGGTAGGCTCAAAATGCATATTGGACTTCTAATACTTCTTACGTCGATTCACAGATGCAGGTTTTGGAATTTCATTACCTCTGTCAGTGAACCCTGACAAACACAGAAAACAGGGACACTCCCCTGTGCTATTACTGCAAGTGCAGGACAAGTTGTGAATACTCTGAAAGTCACAGAACACTGTGTGAAAGTAAGGTTAACATGGACAGAGAAAACATGTAATAGCAATGTGTAATACAGAAAATAATTTGTATAACACTCATGATCATTCCCTTGTAGAAATCAATGGTTTCCTTTGTCCCCCTAAAAACCTGTGTCAGCACCTCAGCACCACATCCTTGTGGTCATTTTATTAATTCACATAAAGAAAATCCCTTGCCCCCCCAATGTCATGAAGTCCTTATTTCCCGTGGTGTTTGTGTCTCAGTAATAGTCTCCAGGGAGGGTCTGCCACTGCAGGCTGCTCCCCCAGGCTGGGGCATGTCTTTGGTTTTCCTAGCTATATTATCACAGTCTACTGGGGGCGGTAAGCAGTCACATTTGCGTTTAGGCATTTTCACTCCATCTGCATCATCAAGTCCAAGAGGTTTCTCCTCTGGTAATGGCTGCAGTAATTCCTGAGGAAGAGGAGTGCCATGGTCTGTCTGCATGTGGAGTAACATGGATTCCATCCAGTTATGCACAGTAGAAAATGTTGGTCTGAAATTAAAAAGGAGTCTTGTATCAATTCATGCAAGAACTTAATAAGAAAATATTATCTCTTAGAGCAATAAAATATTTCAAAATGGAAATTCTGAATAAGAGATATGTTGTTGACAATTCCATAAACAAGGCAGCAAAGCTGACAAATGTACAGACAAAAAACAGATAATAAAGATGCAAAATAGGTCATTTTGTTAATTTTGATGCAANGTTGCAAGCCAAAAGAAAAAACAGTTTTTCACTTATCGTGTTATCGGTGAAAGTGCACGGCGACGGCGACGACGGCGACGGCGACGACAGACGCAGATGACGGCTATATGTACAGACACATCTGTGTCTGTACATAAAAAGTGAAAATCCATTACAGCATGCAACAAAGCTACATTTTGAGGTATTTATTCATAATCCTATAAATTGCTATTTCCATTTTTAACTTATTTTTCATATTTTGTTCTGCATGCTACTACTTCAACACTCAAAAATGATCAAGTAAATAATTAACTAAAACTAACCTGCTTTCTGGGACTAAATTACAACACTTGACTGCAACTCTGAAGAAACATTTTGGACAGTCACCGCAGAATTTCCTATGAAAGGCTTCCACACCAAGCCCAAAGTCCAGTGTTCTTGGCAGGAAATCTGGGTCAGCCTCAACTCTGCCAATTATCTGCAACAAATAGATATTTTATGTGAAAACTGACAAAACAGATTTTTTTTTCTGTTATAAAAAAAGCCATTTAAACAGTTTACTAAAATGAAAACTGTATAAGTGATCACTGTGAGTCAAATATGATTCAGTGTGACATTCTTTAAATATTCTGGCAATACAAGTGCAGTAGTATGCCTTGGTAATACATACTCCGCCATCCATCAACACATCTATATGACCACTTTTAAGATTGTAAACTAGGCACACAAACCTCACCTCACAACAAACGATGCCAAACGAAAACAAATCCACTTTTTCATCATATTTCTTCCCCTGCATCATCTCTGGTGCCATCCAATATGGATTCCCCACCACCGTATATCTTTTCTTTCTCTTGAACCTGCGTAATGTTTTGCTATTTCCACCATTAATACCAGCGCCATTGCTGTCGGGCTCTGGAGAGGAGGGGGACCCTGGGGAGGCAGGCGTGGCTGGGGGCATGCCTCGAAACTGGTCCCGCCTGTTTGTTATCACCCTGGCCAGTCCAAAGTCTGCCACCACCACTTGGCCATTGTCTCTCACCAGGCAGTTGTGGGAGTTCAGGTCTCTGTGGATTAAATCCATTGAATGCAAATAAGCCTGCAAAAAAATAATTATCAAGCATCAGATTGCTGAATAAATTTTAGTGCTTACCATTATTATAACAAATCCACTATTTACTATACAATACATTTTACCTATCAAGTTTGAAAGATTATAACCATTCTAAAACATAATTCCAACCAACAAAGACTGGCTGATAAATTTTACGTTGATTTGCTAAAATACCTTTCAGTTGTGAAACTAATTTTTGCATAAAGCTGTTCCCTACCATTCCAGAGGCAATATCCTTAGCAAACCCCATCCTTTTTGTCCACGGCAGTGCATCACTCATGTCATGAAGTATGGCTTTAAGACTGCCACCAGATATATACTCTGCAATTGTGTCAAATAATCATTATCAAAACTATTTATTCCTCTTTTATACATGTATGATTTAGAACCACAAATATAATGCAAAAATTTTAACATCAGAAGTGAAAATGACAAATTTGTGTTGGTGTTCTGTTATTTGTAACAAAATAGAATTTTTCTCTCTCTCTTTAGCTTACCTGTAACAATGTTAAGTTTTTTGGCTTTATAAAGCACCCCAAGAAACTTTAGAACGTTTGGATGATCGAGACTGCGTAGCACTGACACCTGTAGCAAGAGAAAATAAAAGCATAAAATGTGCCAGTATTTTTTGTGAAAATGAACCAATTACGCTGATTTTAGAAATCAACTTGCCTTTTCACAAAACAATGCCCAAAAGCAAATTTAAAGGTATCCTAATTTTCTTTGAAAAACAATTTTTCGTACTCCTAGACCACCATGCCTACCTGTACATTTCAAATACACAAAACAATACCAGTATTAATCCTCCTTTCCTACCTCCTTCAAAAAAGCTTTGTGAGCTTCCTCGTCAAAATCAAACAATTCTTTGAGCACCATGACTTCCTTGGTCACCCTGTGTGTCACCTGCACAACAAGTGTATGATTACTACATTCATTTTAATATCTTTTCTATGACATCTTTTTTTAGTTCAATAATAATATTTGGTCTTGTTTGTTGTTCCAAAATCCAAGTCATAATTTTAAGAATTGCTATTTATGTATTGTGATGTTTTCAATTGTTCTGTATGTCTGTATATCATAATGACAATTAAAGAAAGCATGCCTTTACCATTTTCTCTGTCACACCTTTCTAAAGAAACAAGCCCTAGAAATAATAATAGTGTGAAAAACAAATTCTCTTTATTAAATCCTGCACTTATTTTCTTCAAACACTTGTATAGAAAATCAGTAACAATGTAAAAGCTTTTTAGCAAACCCTGATTCTTTACCTTGCTTGCCTGTCCAAAGAACCCTGAGCCTAGGACCTCCCCCGCCACCAGGTCACTGGCACGGAACACACGGTGGTTCTTGGACCCCGCGCGGAATGACTGGGTTCTACTCAGGTCACAGTTCCTATGTTTGGTAGGAGTGGGAGACCGACTAGGACTGGAGCTGCAGAAAGTAATAATAGTTTGCTTGTAGGATGAGTTTGATACGTAAAAAAGAAAAACCTGATTTAACTCGGTGTCAATGGGGGTTTAAATTGCTGCATCATCTGTTTGGTAGCATTCATTTCATTATAAAGTATCATTACTGATGTGATTGTACACTTAGAAATAAAACAGTGTTCACTATTGTTATTATTATCTAATAAGCATGCATCGACAACATAAAAAATTTTTAAACATAAATTTCATATATCTGATGTAAAATTTTTCAAACTATGACTCACTCTCCCTCCCGTGGAAGAGAGGATGATCTGCGATGTCTTCTCTTCACGCTAGTGTCCACCTCCAGGTGGTGTTGCGAGGGACGGAGGGGGGTAGGGTCTCTCTCCAGGGTCAGTTTAATGGCTGCCTGGTTGGCAAGGATGTTATCAATCTGAAAGCAAAAACCACACAAATTCCTGTGAACTTTAAATATAATTCTTTTATCATCACAAGATTGCCTCTTGATGACCTTAAGCTTCTGTGTACTTCTTTGTATAGTAAATTCACCAACTAATATCACATAAATCTTCCTGGCATTTGTCAATTACACCTTCTACATACTTTTGGTGCAAAGACAATTATAGTTAAATAAAACATAATGTTCACTGAGGAAAAGGGGTGTTTTGAGTTTAGATTTAAAAAGAGATTGCCATCAGAGAAGAGTATTCAATGTATGCTATGACACATATGCCATGCTTATCCCATGACATCAGTTTTACATGTAATTTTAACTTTAATTTTTAAAACTGTCTTACCTCCTCTGCCGTTCTGTCTCTCAGGGGCCTGCCATTGACCTCCAAGATCTTGTCCCCAACATTAAGCACTGAGAGGTCTGGGCTCAACTCTGTGTCAATACTGAAATGATAAATACAACAACAATCTCTTATATCCAGTAGAATATACTTTGTTTTGAAAAAATTCAACATTCTATAATTATTCCTCTTTGAGCACAAAAAAAAAAAAAACAACATTGCAGTATTTCACCCTTTGCAATGAAAAGATAGTAATTGACCTGTTGTGTGTCTACTTATCATTTCTCAATGTCTTTATTGACAACCTTCTTGGAAGCAACCTTCTTGGAAATATGGATTTATTGGTCTAACTCTTATTGTCAATCCTGCACATCAGACAAAAGACATCTTTGACTGACATCTTTGTTTTACTGACGAATTACAAAGATGGAATCCAGATGAACAGAGAGGCAATACTGTCTCCTGGGTATGTATTACAAGCTGGATTTAACACATAAAGAGGATAATTACACACAATCTTTCCATGGTGCCAAAATTAGAAAGAGTTATAAGTTTCAGCAGTTTATATACATGTACATATGCTACTCCTGTGGAAATGCACTTATTGGCCCAAACTAACAGCAGAAAGAACCCCCCCCCCCCCAAGCTTAATTTTTTTACATAGTATGCAAGTGAATGCATAGATGAAGTTTCTAAAAATCAGTCATCATGCTGGTGGTGAAATCAAACCTTGGGATACCTCTGCGTTAATTGTTAATTCTTATGAAACAAACTTTGATTAAAATCAGAATGTTACCAGAGCACTACAAAAATCTACAACACAAACTCCTTGATCTTTAATATTACAAATGAGTGATCCACAGAGTTTTCTGAAGATGTGACAGTTATTGTCAAAGCGTAATCATATTTGATGACATTCATGATAGCAACTTTTCCGGACACTCTGCCAGATAACAAATGAAATTGTATACAGCGATGGTTTTACCCACACAGGTCGGGATGTCTTTGAAGTGAAATGTAATTTTTTTTTTAACACACTGGGTTCTATGTACCACAGATCTGGGCACATGACACCTCAGCTGTGATGAGTTGTACACTGTAGTAATTACATGAGAGACAACATGACCAGGCACTGCATCAGATAATACACAACTTTCCTTTGAACTATAATAAACTTAATCTTCAAATCTACTTCCGTCTTTTCCAATCAGACGAAAAACAATGTGTATACTTACTTCTCATGGCCAGAAAAGCATGACTCATTTCAACAATAATGAGGAATGTATTTATGAAACCTAGCCATCATAATGAATATCAGAAGGTGTAGATAGAAGGCTTCATGCAAACTATACATTGTTGCCAGACATGCATTCAGTCCACATGCTATATGAAGGTAATGCAGCACACCTTATATTTGTTTGGTATCAGATCACAGTCTCTTCTATACTTTAAGGCAGTCTGCATTTATTTTGACAAAATTTATAGAGTAGATAGTACATATGCAAATTAATGAAATTCAATGTTATGTGTTTGGCAAATAACAAATCATTTTGAACATTATCATCACTTTGATATTCATTAGTCTAATCAGTCAGCAACTTTCTCAAAAATCTACATATGCCTTGCTGCCCTTTAGCAAATATGGAGCAGGATAAATTACTGTCTAAGTATTTTATTGCATGTTAGAGGCATTGGCATTTCTGGGGTGTTGAACTTGTTTGATTAATTTCAGAGAAAAAGCTATTTTCTGGATGGAGAACATTCTATTCTAATTTATCATATTATTGTAGAGGGAAATTTCACAGAATAGATATTGGATTTTACAAAAAGATTAATACATATGTGACACTTTCAGTAAATTTTCCCACCATAGATGTAACACCTTTATAAGAAAAATATATTGAAGTTTNGAAAAAGCTATTTTCTGGATGGAGAACATTCTATTCTAATTTATCATATTATTGTAGAGGGAAATTTCACAGAATAGATATTGGATTTTACAAAAAGATTAATACATATGTGACACTTTCAGTAAATTTTCCCACCATAGATGTAACACCTTTATAAAAAAAAATATATTGAAGTTAGGACAATGTTGTAAAAAAGACCCAGAAACAAAAAAAAAAACGAAATGTACCTGTTTTAAAAAAAAACTTTTGTAGTTATAAATTTTGTCCATTTCCACAATAACTATCTGATAAATTGTTATATCACCATCCTGCAATCTGTGTTTATTCAACAAAGCAATATTTTCAGACCATACAAGCCACTTACTCAGAGATCCTGATGCTGGTCTGGGACTCCAGAACCCCACGATTTCTCTTCTTCACCACCGTCACTTCAAAGCCCCTCTTTCCGTCTGGTGTGGGCGGGATTTCTACTAACTGGATAGAGTGTGGTTTCCGTCTGCCAGGGGTATCCACCAGGAGAGGCTTCATCACACGAGAATAGCATGTTCCACTGTGAAAAGAATACAAAAAAGGTTGATCTCCAACATAAAAAAGCCTGAACTCGAGCTTAAACTTAGCTCCATCCGACTTCTCTCTGACTTCAGTCTTCAGCATTGCAGGCTTATTCTGCACACATGCAATGTTCCATAACATGCAAAACTGCACTTCAATTTACGCTGAAGCTGCATGCTAAAACCCACTTCTCTATTTCTAATCAGGTTCATTGATTACTTTTATTTCAAATATGCTATGTACTAGTATATCAAAAAGTACTTTTTTCAAATCTAACAAAAGGTAAGCAGACAGAAGGACTTGGCAAAATCCAGCATTCATGTATTCATGAAATTGTCAATACTTAACAAATACCCAGCATATGCTTAAAAAAGTGACATGATCTTTAAAACCATTCACTCAAAAAGATGTCCAAACCCAATCTGCTTTGCACTTTCCTTCCTGTACTTACCACATTTATATACTACTAGTAGAACTGACTGTATATTTAAATTCAGTATGTGTTCACTTTCTACTCTGCTGCCACCTCAGTGATAAAGACATCAGCAGCAGATGGTAATAATGTTTGTGTCACATTTGTCTACAGGGAGACTCAAAATGTGACAGCTCTCCAAGTATTACAATGCACACAAAAGCTTATTCCAATAAAAACACCAACAAGAGCAAGTCACGGCATCACACAATGAGCACGAAACTCTCCATCAGTTTCCGACCAGTACCATCACCTTAGTTGAGGGATATAAGTGCATTATGAGTTTTGCCATGATATCAGAAGGTTCACTGTTGTTTGGCACCCATGGTGTATACATGGCAATTAAGCTTTCCCCACAGGCAAGTGGAAATAGCAGTAAATTGTCATGACCAATGAGCCTAGATGGCAGTAATCACTCTCCTTATGGCTATTTCCCAGACAGAATTCTTCCCAGGCGAATAAAAATCTCCCATTTACCAGGTCTTCAGTATAGTGGGGATAGATCATGTGGAGAAACTACAGATATTCTGAGTAAACATGCACTATGTCTATATGGAAAATGTGTTATTAGTATGGTTACATAATTTCTTCATTGCTGCGTCAATTTAGAGATTATGGATTGCTAAAGTATAGATGGTAATCTGTATGCAAGAAGTGCCAGTTGGTGTCCTTTATTAATCAGAAGAGTTGCCCAAAACTGTAATCCACAAGATTTCAACAAATTTGCTAGGTCTGTATACTGTTATATGAATTTTATTTTCCTTGGCAATTATCTCCATTTTCTTAGGAACTTTCACCGACGTGGGTAAAAAACAAAAATATGTTCTAGTATATGTTCAATGCCATGCATAAAGAATATTATATTTCATAATAATCAAAATTATTTACCAAAAATATTCCTGGTAATACATTTTGGTCACCCCTGTTCAACAAATGATTAGGTTTACATCTGCCAGATTGGTCAATCAATATTCTACTTCACAAATGAAGATGTGCAATGTGTACCACGTAAACCTGCTGTCAATCAGATGCCATACCTTGGGTTGCTAGGGGGCCTGTTGTTACCATGACATTGATGGAAATTGAAGGACTACAAGATCTAGTGAATGCTTGTCACAAACAGGGGCGGATTGAGGCCGTCTTCTGGGTCTTCCAGAAGATGGTCAGTTTTTCAAATTTACATTGACAGGCATCTAATTTTTTTCTGTCAGAAGACGGTCAAAAATGGAAAATGGATCAACAAAGATAATTTGGAAGACTGTCATAAATTATTTCTAGATCCACCCTGACTAATGTGACAAGGCTACTTGAGTTCTATCAGCTTTTGAAAGAGGAAAAGTGTGTTAGATGTGCCAGTTTGGCACACAATTTCACATTGAGCCTTTGAGTTTGCCTTAGCTTAGAAATTGCTACAATGTTCTAGAACATATTTCCGTTGCTTTCTAAACATGGCCAATTTTCATGATTTGAAAATAATAATTGGGGGTCCTAGACAGTCTTCTCTTGATGCTACAATGTGACAAACCATTTAGTATTCTAGGTATCTATCAAAATCAACTGGAAGAAAAAAAGACAACCTACCAGTAAAGTTTGGACCTCTCCAGCAGGGCATATGTCTCCCCATCCCCTATAAACACATCACAGTTGGTGCATTTGAAACATTCTGGATGGTACTTGTGGTCCCCCGCAACCTGAAATCATAACAGAACATATATATATATATAAAGGTGATGAAATATGCTTGATTTATCTAGTTATCTTTGTTTATTAATCTTTTATCAGAAAATTTTTCTCGGATCAATTTGACCAACTTGAATGATTTGTATAATGGGCAATGACTTGCTTACTGACTTACTAGTACACCTCTGCAAGAATGTATGTCTTCGCAAAGGAAAAAACACTGAAACTCTGACCACCTCAGAGCATCATTTAATTCTACAGACCATTGGTCATGCACTTACAGACCACCAGGGTCAAGCAGAGGGTGTTAAGTGCAAGTAGTGATATGTATGTTTTGCATGCCACCAGTGACATGATACTTCTCATCTACACTGGGAAATTATCATTCATGACACGCTTCTTTGATGTTGCAATTTACTTGGTCACCCAAAAATGTTTCTCAGTGCATCATCTCTTTGATGTCTGAATAAAAATCAAATACATACAATGTTTATATTATATTTTCTTGCATTCATCACCTGTAATTTGATTCCAAAGTCAAATACAATGCTTCTTTTCAATTTTAGTGTCATCATAATGAATGATGAAAGGCAATTATTCAACTGTTATTATATAATTATTTGTTTTATTTATAACCCCTGTGTCAGTTGGAACCACCCAGAGGAAATGACCTAATATAAGGGCATCCATTTTATATATATTCTTACACAAGGTTTAGACCAGATAGATATATCTATATATCAGTTAAAGAACAGACTTTTGTCCTACTAAACAGCTGTCCTGATTTTTTTCTGACAAAGTCTACCTACCATAACAAACACAATGAGTCAATAGCATGCCGAAGAAACGTGACACAAAAACTTAAACAAATAATGAACAAAACAATCACTCAAGAGTCAGTAACACACATCAGCTGCATCCCTCTGTTCTAATTTTTTTCATTAAGGTCCTGATAAGCATACGTTGGCTGAACTTACAAACTAAATCAGTGACTAGCTGGGAGCATCAGGTGTGCCAGGATTGTCAAACCTGGTCAACTTGTTGTCTGACACAGGTGCCACGTACGCCACAGGTGACATGCTAAGTATAGCCACATACATGTACATGTACATCACAGCACTATGGCTCCACTGTCTGACTGAAACACTCTGCTTGCCTCTCAATTTTTCTTTGTAGCTTTATGTGTGTGTTAGTTGGACAAGTACCAACATCACACGTTAATTTTTGTTTTGTTTTTCCAAATATTGGTGTTAAAATAATATGTTTCGGTGTCTGATCGCAGAGCCCTAGTGTTTTGTTCATAAAACCATGTTTGCATTCAATACAATTATTTATATGTAATGCTAAAATGTGACACTGAGGTATATTGAGGGAACACATCATCACATTAACTATTCCTTGCATGGTCACATCTCATCAGACACGAGTTCAGTAACACAACACATTTAACTGGCACAACAGGATCTTGGCAAAAGGTGAACCAGAAATTCTGGAAATGATGACAACTCAGTTTAGCCCAGTTAACAACTGACATCATTCTTATCTTGCAGCATGAAGAGCATATATCCCAGGATGATGTAATTTTGTCAAGTATATATATATACCGCATGTCCAGCAACTTACAGCACACATAAAGTGTACCTAGTAACATATAGTATTTGCACTCTGCAGTATGCACTGGCACATGCAACACATATATTTTATTTGCAACACAGTTCCACTGTCAATGTATCTCTCTCTCTCTCTCTTTATCACAAAGCACATTCAGAACAAATTGATTCATGGACTAATAGATCCAGGGATCAAATATGACCCACCCACCTAAAAGCAATGTTGAGTAATCTCCCTGCCTCCACACATGCTGCCCAGGGGCCTACCCAGCAGATGAGATCTAATCGGTTTAATGGTATGTGTGGAGGTGGAGAGACCATTAGGAGATTGGTGGGGGGGGATGCTTTTAAGTGACGTCGGCCATATTTAGTCCGCGGATCAGTTAGTCATCTGTTCATCTGTTAGTCATCCGTTCATCTGTTCTGAATACGATCATACTTTCTAGTAGACCCCAGCTGTATGCATTGCCTCCATATGCTACTCACCATGACTGGTCCTGTGATCACCTGCAGACATTTATTGCAAGCCTCCCCAAACTTGGCCCAGTAGTCCTCCTTACAATACAGCTTCCCTTCCTTCTCAAAGTACCAGTTGGACAGGCAGCCATGACAAACAGAGCACCTGGAAGAAAACATGGTCAACAGTTATTAGTAAACAGTAATGACCATACTGTCATCGGTCATCGTTATTTTTAACCTTGAACAGCCTGGCACTGAAAACCATAGCTGTTTATAGTATTAACAGGCATCACATATTTACCAAAAATTAAGCAGCATAATTCATGTTCCAGTATGGTGAAAACTGAAATAATATGTGAACTGAACTGATAACAATTCATTGGTTATTCATACAACTATATAGGAATATTTGTCATCTAATTATCTTATTCAGTGAATATAGCATTAGTAAAGTTCAAAGCAGGACAGTTGCAGCTCTTTGTGTATAATATGTGGGGGCCATTCCACAGTAACAACTCCATTGCAAAACTTTTTTTAAAGTGTTTCCTCAAAACTTAGTTGAAGATCATTGAGATGAGGTGTGATAACTTGTATTATTTACTTTTAAATGTGACACATCCAGAAATAAACATTACAGAGAGAGAAGGAAGTTTCAGAGGGATGGTCCTTTCAAACAGCTCATTTCTCTTCACATGTTGATCCACCAGAGACAATTAATCAACCACCGCCCCCAGGGGGATTGCCCCCAGTTTAATCAAGGTATTGGCAATCAAGGGGAAACTAATTCCATTTCATACTTGGCATGTTTGACATTAACTTATGTTATCTTCAGTCAACTGACAGCCACTTCCACAGTTTGTCATGTCCTCAGTTTGCTGGGTTGCAATCTTATTTTCCAAATTAACAATGGCACTTTCTGTTTTGTTTCCCAGCACTGATGCCAGTTAGAAAACCTGATATTTCCTGATAGTTTTACTTTGAGTAATAGTAGTTTTATCTATGATAAATGATGGTCATAACAGATTATGATACTATGTCAATGTTATCTAAATCTCCGTCAAACATTTCTGTGCTGCTTACACCTTCCTCAAAAGCCAATACATGTATGCGATATTTGCTTAAAAGTATTTTTCTCACAGTCAGAGGTCTTACTATCTCTTGTAGGTCCTTGTATACATGGACAGCTGTCTTCCATACTTTAGCTACATGTATACTTAATGAGATGTTTCTCGTGATTTTTTTTATGTTAGGGAATTAATTAATACCCTGGTATGTTCTATCAAATGAGTACATTTTATGAGTGCATTTTGGTGTATTGAAGTATAAATATGGCTGTAATGTGATGGCATATGCATGTCATCAACAGAGAGATATTATGTCAGATGAAGGATCAACTATGGTGACACACACACACACACACACACACACACACACATACACACACACACACACACACACACAAGAATTATCAGCGCATGCAACTATCCAATACTGGGGAACTGTTTAACAATGTGGATCAAACAAACTATCTTTGAAATCGTCAAACAAGCCTTTATCAAGGAGATGTGTGATTGAAAGTGTAAAAATTACATCAATATACTGCATTTCAGAACCTTAATATAAAAAAAATGTCATTATGCACAGGGTCATAAACTATCACCTAAACGCCCCAAATTTGTAAGAAATATTAAAACATAAGCAACATATGTTAAAATAACCTTAAAGCTGCAGGGGCAAATTATATATAGTCCTCTATGCCTATAGTGACACTCATGTCTTAATCCACCCCTACGTCAGATGTTGACAGTACGCTATTAGACAACTGTCTTGGAATGTACCCATATCTCTTGCATCAATGGTACAAAACTGTGAAATATGTGCTAATATATTAGTCACCCACATACAGATACACAGCAGCCCTGCTCTACTTAAAAAGGCCTGACCACAATCACGAAGCTTCTGACTAGTATTACCACAAAATATGGTTCAAAGGAACTTCCTTCTTTATAGTCTAGACCATCGGTTTTTAACAAAAATAATAGAAACTCTTTTGAAATATTGTGTGAAGTAACAGGTAAAACATTTACATATCTTGGCTCTCTTGATGGCAGATTAATTATAGTTTCTTTAATAAATCTAGATGGGGACCTTAATTAACAGATTACACCCACAATATACATGTATGGTAGCTGATCCATATAGGATTTTAAACAGACAATAATAAGAACTTAGTTAATCATTAGGAAGATTTCGAGATATCAAAGATGGTATCCTTTGTGGACAGTCCTTGACACTCTTATTGTGTCTCTGTATTGTAGAACACCTGTTCTTAAGAACTGTGACATGTGTAGAACTGAAAAATAAACTTTGAAAAACAAATGTTTTTTTTTACTGTTCAAAACTGGAAATTAAGCTTAAAAAGTTCTTTTCTATCTTTGCAGAGGCAGTATCTCTCAGTACAAATTATGAGATACACATAAGACAAATGTCAAACAGTAAGGAAACTGTGCACCTCCGTGTAGATATCAGCAATAAATCTAACAAAGCCCGCCCTATCATTCCCAGCAAACAATATTGTGCTTGTAAGTGTTAATTCCCTTCCTATTGTCAATCTGACACTGTTATCACTCTCTTACACAATATAAGTGTTCACTGATTAAATGCATGAAGCACAGTTGCTTTCAAGGATGTTCCATTTACTATCAACAAAGTTTGAATTCTACCTGTACTTTCATTTTTGACTTAATAAAAATTTCTATTTTCAATGGGATATATGTCTTGAACTATAAACATTCTTCCTCATCACACTATTACTGTCTGAAGAGATCCAAAAACTAAAATCATAATATTAGAAAAGCAATGAAGGTGAACAGAAATACAGGTCACCTAACTTCATCAAAAAGCCATAACATATATTTCAAGAGACAGCAATGTAAAGAAACTCAAGTGAAATAAACACAGTAACTACTTCACCAATGAGCACGTCTCTAACAGAGCTGTAACTTTGATAACTTCAGTAATACAATCCACTGCCACCACAATGTAACTGTCAGTACCCGACAACTTGAATAACAGATAAACATATTACAACACACCTACCTGTTGGGCAGACGCAGGACGAACCACCAAAACTCTCTAAAAACTCTACACAAACTAATGAAGAATCCAAAAAAGTATAAAAAACACAGTGCTAAAGCCTGCAGTGCCATATTTTTACTGTCTATACAATGCTTCAGTCAGTAAGACATAAGGGACATCCTTGACTAACCAGTTGAGGTCTTGTGTCTAACCACACACATTAAAATCATCCCAAGCACATCAGTGCGTCAAGATGGATTCCCCCTGTCATACTGGGAGACACAGCTCTCAGGTCATGTGACAGGTGGTGGAAGGCATGAAGACTATTCATAAAGTAGCCCCAAGCAGCCATGGAGAGGATGAGAGCTTGGAAGCGTGCACATTGACTATTCATGCAGAATACAAATTGCAAGGCAAAAAAGTATCAGGCAAATCATGTTATTAACTAATGACTGCTATTGCTGATTGCTATTTCAATATATATATATATACCAAAGAAAATAACATAAAGCTTATGTAAATGGATGGAGAGCAATATGTTTATGAAACTCGTTTGTGCGTAAAGGATATTTTTAGTGACATGAGTAATACTTTCAAAGTACGTTATTATCATGACAAATAGTATTTTTTATTTTTAGAAAAATTAACACAAAAATATTCTTCATCATTCACAACTCTGAACTTAATAAAAACTTTTTTTCTGTGCTCTAGAATCTCTTTCCAAAAGCAGAAGTAAATGCAGAAACAGCCATTATGTTATAGTGTAGAAAAGAGACCTACAATTATTGCCAAAAAGAAAGGTATCAAATTATCCACACCTCTGTCAGGTATGTTGACCTATCTTTTAACTTTATTCAGTAATCGATTTGTAGCTTCATTCTTCAGACAAGTACAGACATTCTACTCAGGGGGCCTGACTGGGTCAAAATACAACAACTAGTACTAAGTAAATCCCTGAGGCAAACATGGACTAAAATAACTACCATGTAATGAGCTAATCTAATTTCTCACCTGGGGTTTACAAGGTCAGGCCCGCTCCCCTGCTCTAAGCATTCACCTTGGAAGGTGTTGTCCCAATTAGACCACTAAAGTTATAGGAAGTGACATATTCCCACTCTTGCTACTGGTGACAAGGTGTGTAGCTAAAAAATGAGCTGGCTTCATCTTCTTGACAACTACACAGACAACTTCCTCTAGTCCAAAACTAAACAGACAAATGGATGCTACACAATTTTTTTTTGGATCTCTAGTCTGGGTTTTTAATAAGTGCTATCAGCCTCCATCATTAAATAACTGTATCATATGAACCTCTAGCATGTTTAAACTGCCTGTAGCCATTAAAAATAACAATTAGAAATTTGCTTGGTAAATCTATTTCCCTTTTCACCTTCCATCCTTACTGTCTTCAGAACTAGATTACATATCAGCTGATAACATCAGTGGAGACATGTTGTGAGAAAGAAGAATAGCATTAAAACAGACATTTTTTTTCATATGGCTTATTTTATCAAGTTATTCATAATAAAAGTCTGAAAACAATGCTTTTCTATAAGAAGTGACTATCAATGTAAAAATTATCTAGAAGACAACAAGTGTGTGTTCATGTGTGTGTGTGTGTGCATGTGTATAGGTGTGTGCGTGCATGTGTGCGTGTCAAGACCAGTCGGTGCAGCTAGAGAAGTTATTTATTAATATCTATTATTCAACAGGTATCTTATCATTACTTAAACTAAATAACCAACACCCTGATAATTAGAAGAGAGAATAGTGGAAACTGTGTCAAGAGGCTGCCAGGTGTCAATTGTGACATGATAAAACTTGAATGAATTGTCTGATATATAGTAAATCATACTAGCAAACAGACCTTCATATCCTTTCAAGCACACACACACACACACAAACACACACACTTTGCTAATTGACTTTTGAATGACTTTCCAAGCAATCCTTTTAAAACAAAAATAATTCAATGACCAGCTCAAATAAATAGTTTAATCATTTCACCTCTACCCTTTGCAAAATGCCATTCAATTTCCCTATAGTGCTTGCCAACAATGATTACTAATAAATGCATTTACCAACATTTTTAACAGGATAATGAAAATAGTTATAAAAATTATATAATATTTCTTTTCAACTTACTAAACAATAAATACTAGTAAACAGTATTTTTAACTAACTGTAAAGTTCACTATCACTGAAAATGACAGGACTAGATGGAACACATATCTTGGTGTACATGACAACATATGATTCTCCTTCAAAATGAAGGTGCATTTTTTTTCCATATTCATCAGATGGTTCCACAAATTGTTCTAAACTGTAAACAATCATTACAAAAACAATAACACTACAGCACCACAAATATTCTGCAGTCCATTCAAGCTACAGGTACCTTTTAAAGTCACTTCTCGTGATGTCTCTTCAGATACAAACTCTACTATTCATAATAAGCACCAGCGTATGGTGTGTTGTGGCTCATTGCCCCGACTACATCACACAGTCCCAGTGTTCATTGATGACACTAAGCCTGTTTAATGAGAACATAACATGACACTAGCGCACCAAAAGCATATCTCACTTCCCAACTTGAAAGATAACAACTATTATATGCATGTATTTACAGGTTTACAGTCTTTGAAATAAGATTCCGTGATATGAAAAAATGTTAAGTGTTCAATTACATTACTGCTTTGCATTTTCATGGTGATCACTTGTGACAGTGAGATTTTATGGAGAATATTCAAAGAATAAAAATATAAAACTGCAAAAAAGAGAAAAGCCATTTGCAGTAAAGTCAATTTAAGTTTAGGATATCCAAACACTGACAGTAGCTATGTGAAAGGTAAGCCTTTTCAACTCTTGACCCCCTACAAATATTGACCAAATAGCTAAATCAAACTAACTCAGCTCCACTCCCATTCATAAAATTCTTCAGCATCCTGTTTTTCTCATAAATAATCACTAAATGAAAAGAAAACATGTATAAACTACTTTAATTAACATCTTTATAAAAATCAATTCCAATTTATTTAGCAGTATAGTGTAAATTAATCTTGTCAAAGAAACCATTTGTTTCTCAACTACTTTATCAAATTGTTCAACTTTTTTTCACCTTGTCAACTCAAGTATTCTAACATGAATTCTTCCTAATGCTGGTAAGAATAACCAGTATATAAAAACAACTTCAAAAAGTAAACAATATGCTAGCAATACATACATGTATCACCTTTGGATAGTGATGACTCCATCACCTGTGAAGTTCATAAACCATGTGTAGTTTCACAAAACTAGTGTAGTTTCACAAAAAAAAAAAAAAGTCCACCATTATTGGAAGACAATTTTTTGAAGAAAAAAGACAAGTTGACAATAACAGAGGCAGGCAAATGACCTAAGAATTGACTAGAGAACTCGAGCGACATCATGCATCCTCTCACCTGGCACAAGCTGTATGACCATGCCGTATGATATTCTGGACATCATCACTGTTCTGTCTCTGTATCACCACCTGCACTCCCTTCATGCTGGCAGCCAGGACCATGTCCCTCTCTGAAGCCTCAACACTCAGTCAATTTCTACAAAACTTCACAGTCACACCTGACAAACTGCAGAAGTTTCAACCACTGGTCAACTGCATGTCTACAGTCTTATCCAGTGACCTCTACAAATGCCCAGCACAACTCCATAGGGAAAAGTCACCAATGTTGAACAGCTCCTCTAATTAAATGGTACCTGAGTGTTTCTGATAATCATCTTTGTCAATAGCAAACTGATGAAGTCAGAGGTGCCTTCCGCTGAAGTCAGATAGGCCTGGGTTTAATATGTGTTCTCAAGGAGCAGTCAGGAAATGTGGTCACCACCTATCTCTTATCATCTAAATACCCCTAGCCAATGGGCTATATAACAACACTAGACTGATTTGGCTCCACCAAGCAAGTTCAACACTACCTGACATATATAATCAAACTAGTTAATGGAGTCAGTAAACAGTGGCATCTTTATATTTTGGGGAGAGGGTGGAAAGGAATTTGCATATTGTCACAAAAATCATTCCAGTAAATAAGTCTTGTTAAAATTTAAATAAACAAAAAAAATAGTTTTTTCATTACACAGAAATAGCCTGAAAGTACATTTGATATATGAATACAAATAGTTTGCTCCCTAAGCATTGCCCTCCTCCCCCATCCCCCCCTTTTTCAGCAGTGACAACCTACAAGCTCACTGTACCAGATGGCACAATGGGCATATGCTGTGCAATTAACTAATTTATATAACCAATCAACAGGCCTTCAAATACCAAGTGTTCAGATGGTAACAGTCTGCTCATCATCGCAGTCTAGAATTAAATGCATTTTAAGAGTAAAAGAAATTGCATCCATAGCAATTATACTAGTGTCTTATCTGTCATATGGAATGGGCCACACCCTGAAAACATTGACCTATTATTTAAAAATTTTAAATCAAGCCAGCAAAAGCTTTCATATGCACAGACAGTCATGTCAGTCTAAACATGAAGACTGACAAAACAATATTACAACTTTGAAACCTCTGACAGGCCAATCTCATACTTCTACTGTAAATACAAAATCAAAATTCAGGGGTGGATTGAGGCCGTCTTCTGGGTCTTCTGGAAGAAAGTCAGATTTTCAAGTTTACATTGACAGGTATGTAATTTTTCGAAGACCGTCAAAAATAGAGGATGGATCAACAAAGATAATTTGGAAGACTATCAGAAAATATATTTGGATCCACCCCCCAAATTATCCAAAGATAAACAAAATGAAACAAAACTTTTAACAAGAGCACCATACAAAATCACATATTATCCAAAAATACTGAAAATGAAATAAAACTTTTAACATGAGCACCACAGTATTAAGCAGAAAACAACTATGGGAGATTTTTTCTTTTTTTTCCAATTTTTCAACTCTGGGGCAAAAATTTCACTAAATGTGGGTTGCCTGGATTAGAATGGGTTGCCTTGGTTGACAAATGCTGGTGTATTTGATGAGGCTGTTGAAGTGGTTAAATCATATTTTTTTAATTATTTCTGTCTGTCTGTCTGATCTAGATGAACCTACAGCATATGTTGTCACTTTTGACTTTTGACTTCTATTATACATCTAGTACATTTTATTACATCAAAAGAAGGTGGCCAAAGTTCAAAATCAGGGTTACATTTGGACTTACCATGCTGATCTCCTACCCGAGTTCAACGAAAACTATGGGTTTATTTCTTCTTGTTTTAGAAGAACAATATAATGCCCGGAAAATTCAACAAGGCCAAATTTTCAACCAAAAATATAAGGAATTTTATCTGGATCACTCCCAGTTTTGAATGTGACCTGCATTATAACCCATACATACCCCAGCAGGTTTTCACTTAAATTAATATTTGGATAAAACAGTGTCTACACACTAGAATTATTATAATTTTAAAATACAAAATACATATATAAGGAATAATCAAATCATGTGCTTTTTAAACTTGACCAACATTTAGGACAACAGGTAAACCTTATGAGTTTGAAGCAAAATGGCAACATTGCTTACTAATTATTGTGTTAACAAAATGCAAGTAATGTGCAAAGTTATGCTTTGGCAGTGCAGGTAGATATAGGTTATGACAATCTGTGCAGATGCTAATGTATTCGTTCATAAAAATATATATTCCTGACAGTGTATCTGGAAAGAAGTTAAGTTTGTCATCTGCAGTTGTTTACATCTTACTATAGTAATCAAGACATATGGATTGCAAGTTATGCAGGTGCATTATGACACTGTTGGCTATGCTCTGACTGTAATGGCATTCTGCATGTAGACTTAGCAGGCAACATAAGAGGACCTTATTTTATTTTCCTGACCCCAATCTGGACTACAGACATGGTTCAAATAGAACACCTTATCACTGTTGACAAGCTGGAACTACACAAATGAGTATTGACTTAACTTAAACTGGTAAGGTATTTGTCCTATTTGGGTGCTCTAGCCTGAATGAAGAGTTACATCACAAGCAAGTCCTGACACGGAAGACATGAAACTTGAGCACTATCCTTCTGTCCAGGACAAATAAATAGTCACAAGAAACATGTCTGATTTGTCTAGAAAATAGCTACAAACTGAGAGAAGCATCTTGCTGGTTATGTAATTTTCAAATTTTTATATCATGACATGTTCTTTGATCTACCACCACTACTCTAATAATGTTTTGAACTTGTATATTCCCTCTATAAACACATAAGTAACACACAAGAAACACACAAGTAACAATATTTGTTTCAAATTACAGTGAATTTTGTGACTGTTATTCTTATCACCATATGAATTAAATAGGCAACACCTAAAATATTTTGATTTCATGTATTGTATAAAACATCAATATTCCAGCTACAAAAAAATACAGCAGTTTATAATAATGAGATATTAATCAATTTTTATGACTTAAATATCAAAAGATAAAAAAATACATTTAGATATATTGTTCTCAATAAGAGAAGTTCACAAATAACATTAAAAAAGAGAGGTATTAAAAAAAAAATCAAAATATGTTTGTTCGTCTCTTGATAAAAAGCACCTTTTTTTTTTCTAAATTGTAAACTAGTAAAAACGAAACAAAAGCTATTTTAATAACATGGTGTTTTACCACTAACTAGGTTTATACCAAGTATGCATACACCCCTGTGTTTGTGCTGAGACATGCACATATCACAACAACAAAAGAAAATATTCAAGATAAACACATTCTGTATAATTCTGTATAAACGAAGGTAAATGTGTTGCTCATAAGTGAATAGGTGAATTTGTATGACTCATTCAGGACAACCCTGTTGTTAGTTAGCCAAGCAGCATGACTTCTGGCACCCTATGTCATAACTTCACTTCAAATTACATGGATTGCATTTCAAAAACAACAATGGCAAATACCAAAACAATGATACCTGGATCATGTAACCTTGTGCAAACTAGTTCCACACCAAAAAAACAGGATGTTTTTAATAGAAAATCAGCTTCTGCATTAAAATCACACATATTATAGTCATGCACTTTGTATACAATAAATCACAGGGTCCTATCAAGCTTATGTGTCACATCTGCTGCAATATGGGTTGTCACCACACATCTTACTTTGCTGTCTGCCATAAATCTTTAATGTAATGGAATCTATACCTACAGTGGCACACTGATGTTTCAATTATTGTTCTCCATTTATTTCAAATTTCTTTCATAAGAATGCTCCATCTCTCTGGGGATGTCTGGTTAAACTCTAACAGGGGAATAGCTAGTGAACTCAGGAGCAGTGGCAAAAAGAGCCCAAATGTAAAGAAATAAAATGCATCACTACGGTTGGGTTTGAATACTGACAATTTACAGCAAAACCTACAGCACCTTGTGCACAAAATCTCACGTATCTGCTCAAATAACATGTTTATGACATCCATGATTTACAAGGAAGTTATAATTAATTGATTGAGCTTGGGTTTTTTTCGTACTGTACGTGTCCCATTTCAAAGAAAAAATTAAAAGATCAAACTAAATGGAAAAACAATTTTATATATGAAATACAATGAAAATAAATAATTCCGAATTCCATGAATAATTTTTTAAACATAAGAACTACTTCCTCCAGCACAACGTACCGAAAGCAGCCGGAGTGCCAAGTACCGCCCAAGGCCTGCAAGAAACGCTCTTCGTGGATTTTTTCATAACACATAACGCATGTTGCGTCATCATCATCTGAAAAAGAAAACACAAATTCAAAATCATGCATGTGATGGATATATTTCTTATTTAGGATTTAAGCCGTACACCCACCTGACTCTGTTGACATGGCGGAAGCGTGATTGCTTAATGCAAGTTCTTCCTCCAAACATTAAAGAGCTGCACAGGAACTACGATACACGGTGTTTAGGTTCACCCAGAAACTTAGGTTATGTTTAAAAATTTAAAAATAAGAATTATTTATCTGACCACTAACTAAGTCAAATCATTTTATGACAAAGTAATCAACTCTTCCTCCTCTCAATCCAACCCCAAACATGTTTTACACAGGCCTATTGATAATCACGTTAAAACATAAAAAAATGGAATTAATGAAAGGGGTAAAGTTAAGAATGAAAATCCATTCCGGATTACAAATGCATTCATTAAGATAATAGTCCTTCCTACAAGTCAGATGAAAACTTGTTATTGAAAAGGCCATGGCGGCTGCTGGCATTCGTGGAAAGGTCGGCGCCCAACCTCAAAATAAAAATAGGTATAAACATGTGTAGGCCTATATATTAAAATAACAGAACATTGAGTCTCAAGCGCATGAATGAATGCTTTTTGTTTTGTTTTATTTTTCTAAAGAAAAAGGGAGTAGGCATATATTGTTTTTTACAAGTAAACGTGTTTTAATTTTGCCTGCTGCTAACGTCAGTGGTTTTATCTACTGTGTAGGGGGCCTATACATGTAGTTCAGTGGTAATAAATAACATTTTTTCGTAGCCTACGTGTTTCACAGTGAAGCAAGGTATTCGCGTAATAGGTCTACCTATATAAGCATTTTCTGGTCAAAAGAGAAGAATGAAAAAAGAAAGATCAATGCGTATAATGTTGAGGGAAACAAGTTTTCTTGTGCGGTTGCGAAAAAAAGAACCAAACAGCTTATAATATGGATGGGATGTGGTTTTTGCTGCTGAAGAACGCGTGCACGTAAGAGGGGCAAGCAGCAAAACTATGCATACCTGATCTTCCAAAAAGACTTAAGCCGGGAGAAAAAAATTGAAATATCGAAAGCAAAGTTTTTTCCTCAAAATTCGACCTGGCAACATAATTTGGCAAGCCCAGTGTAATAGCATCTTTAGATGAGCCGTGACTTAAATATCTAGTTTTTCTTAATTATAAAATAAAAGGCACCTGGTTTCGAGTTCACGCTTAGAGACTGGTAATATTTAAAACAAAGTACTATGATACTTTTTGAATAACGTTAAATTAACAAAAAGTAGCAAAAAAGACGACCATATCCGTTTTAAAGAAGTGATTGCATCGCATTTTTTAAAATTATATTTAAATAGAATTTATTTATTCATTTTAATTAAAATTTAGTTAAAACTAAATATGTTTGCGTTATATTTCTTTATTTCATTAATTTATCAAATTGTTTCCTTTCTTTTAGGCGTGGGCACTTACATAGTGAAACACATTATTGTTGTTTAATGGCAGTTTCGATTCAGGACCTATGAGTTTGCCAGGTAGGTCTAGCCGCAAACATAGTAACTAAATATATACTAAGTGTTTATAGATGGATTCAGACTGTCGCAAAATGACATTATCCTAAAAATAATCCAAGTTAATGTACCCAAGCGTTAAGTTTCCCTCACTCGATTAAAAACACGGTGCTGATAGGCCTACATGGTAAGAAATACGAAGTAACAGACGTTAATCTGCCCATTTCACCGAAGTCTTCTGCAATTTTCTAAGTATGGCTACGACTGTGAAGATAGTCTTTGTTGGACTGATGTTAATTTTTTTCACAGGTAAGCACGGTTGGCATGAAGGGTCTTGCTGACCATGACTTTGAAATACTACTATAGTAGGGCTCCTTAAGGCTACGTTTGTGCTAAGGACTCCATAAGGATAAGTCCAGTGAATGTGTTCAGATGCCTTTTTTTAAAAGTCGAATAAGGATTTTTTAAATGGCACGGTGACGATTGAGGTGGAATAGTGTATATCTCATTCTCTATTCATAAAGAGTGGTTTTGACGTTTAAAAAAGAGGCAAGAGTTAGTAGAATATATTATTTCTTATTTTATTATAATAATCTTTTTGTTTTTTATTTTTATTTATTTATTTATTTATTTATTTATTTATTTATTTATTTATTTATTTGCAGTTGATTTTGGAGCTCCTCAGGCAGTGTCCAAGGATGTGTATCAGTGCCCTAGAAGACAACCGACTTTCAGATCCGGCCATAGCGTCCCGCACCCTGGGACCTGTAACAGGTAAGCCTAAATAGCTAAGTTATTTTGGCTTTAAATATTTAATTTGCCAACATGTCTACTGCATTTACGTCATCAACATTAATTGTATACAATTAGCGTTTTGCGTTCCTTTCAAAAATAGTTTTTCTTTTGGATATACATGTACCGTGTGTATTTTCAGGAAACTAGCATTCATGATTATATATTTCATTTGTTGTAAGCCACTTAGTTAGATAAAGAAAGAAAAAAGACGAAGTAAAATACTTTCATACCCGCTAATATAATATACCCACTATGATTATCAGGTACATCATTTGCTCGTATGGAACGGCGTTCAGTTTTAAGTGTCAGAAAGGTCTGGTGTACGAGCCGCGGTCAAAAAGTTGTGTATTCCCCTGGCAATATGACTGCATCCCCAAGACAACTAGACGCCAGAAAAAGACCACTGCTGCTTCGAGGACAAAGTCAAGTAGGTCTATGCAACAAATATATATGTATTCACAGGCGTACGCACGGATACACTTTACGTGCAACTTTTCCCCAAAAAATATTAATTTCTTTGCAGGTTTCTTTCAAAATTTCACGTAGAAATATTAGTGAGAAAACTTGGGCTTGAAACTGGGTACACATCAGAACACTGAGTCATAACCATAATGATGAAATTAACCTAAGACCCAGTGATTGCTTACCGGGTCCTAGAATTAACATATTATTACGTCGGGAACCAGGTTTCTCTGTATCATCAGTCTTTTTATCCAATGCCTTTCCTCTTCAAGTCCCTATCACCAGTCTGCGACATCACTGTAGGAGCTCTTCTTTCATGTTAAATAAAACTGCATGTAGTAGAACTGTTACTTTGAATCTGTCCTGTCCAGATCTTCATTACTAAAAGAGGTGAAAACGGCTATATATCTCAAATTTCTGGTGCAAAAATTCGAATTTTACTTAGTTTTAATTTTTTCTTTCTTTCTATCTTTTTTTTTTTTTTCATTTTGAGTATCTCTGGACAGGAACTGTGCGTATAATTTTCAAATGTCTGCGGGTGCCTCTGTACGTAACCCGTTTCCTCTAGTTCATGCAGTAATATTATTCGAATGCTGCCAGTTTACACATGTAAATGCCAAAATATGAAAATTCAACGAGAGAACTGTACAATGCATTTGCATTTTAATACTGTAGACCTACGATATGACGTTTAATGCCTAATTTATTTTTCAGCCACGGAACAAGCCGAGACAACAACGCCTTCTCCCCTCGTATGCAGAGATAACGGTACACGTTCAATGATTCCTTCACTTGCCATTACTTTATTTTGAAAAATTAAAAATTTGCATATTTTTTCTTCATCTTACCAGAATGATGAGTACATCTTACAAACATCGTGTCCCTTTTAAGAGTTGAGATATCTTGATTTTTCAACAGATGTGAGTGTATTTTCCGCCATACTTTTTTTTTAATTGGTTCCGTGATATTCTCAGAAACTTTATGTGCCATGGCCGGAGGGCTTTGCCGAGATGTCCAGGAGGGCTGTGAACATGATAGCGGCCTTGGTTTGTTTATTCGCTGGGGCTGTGAGGGTCATGCTACCTGTATGTGCTGTGTGGACAGCATTACATTGCAAAATGATCCAAACTACGGTAAAAAAAGCATTTTCATTTAAAATTTTTTTATCAAAGTAAACCTCTTAGTAAAATTTTAGTCCATTAGATCTTACATTCATTAAATTGATCACTACTTTATATGAAAATAGTCAAGCCTCTCTGTATGCATGCCTGTCATTTTTATTATAAGGTCTTTCCATTCTCTTTTTAGACCGCTGGTGCGTACTGGGGCATAAGGGAGAGTGTCGGTACGTTGAGTATGGTTGTGAAGGAGGCCATTTTTTAACCGGGAATGAATGTGCTGGTGGTGATAAGCGACTGTGCTGTGTCCGAGACACATTGACCGATACTGTCCATAAAACCACACCAAGCAAATTGTCGACAGTGAAGACACCGACGACGGAGACTGATGATGCAGTGACATCGTCGACGGAGACTGACCTGGACGATACCATGACATCGACTGAGACCGAGACTTAGACACGAGACAACAAGGATATGGGTTGAAGACCTCGAAGACGGAAACTGCCGATACAATGGTATCGACAGTGGAGGCTTTCTTGGTTATCAAACAGCAAGTCAATAGACCATATTTTGCTGAGATAATTTTACAAAAATTGACCTTATATAATATAATCTGCCGTATTTGTTGTGTATTTCTTATGATCAACTGTAGGAGTGTTTTAAATCGTTCATGGACATCGTATCGAAATTTTGAATCTGTGGGGAATAGCCTTCCTGTACATGTATATGTTTTGTCATTTGGGGTACGAAATAAAGATAACCATGCAGATTTACATGCTTCATATTCTTCTGAATTTATTTTAAACAATGACTTCTAAACAATACGAGTAAACTACAAGCGGAGAATTACGTCTATTTTAACACGGTTCAATTGCCATGCTATGTACAGTGCGAGGTCTTTTTTCATGTTATTGCTACATTGTACCAACATTGTTATACAAAGGCAACCACATTTTCGAAGCGTTATTTAGTAATGGTAGGTTTACACGATTTACTACAATAATCAATACATGCAACAGTTATACACCTTTCAATTACAGCCTAATTCTTTCATTCCTAACTTTTAGTGGACTGTTGAAAGGCAAATATGACAAAACATTTGCACAAGCGTTAAATATGTAGTGAGTTTCACAAAGAGGTCCCCATATTTTATATATATATATATATATATATATATATATATATATATATATATATATATATATATATATATTTGCAAGAAACTATAAGCGGATCTTTAATGTTTGAAATTATTATCCACACATCAAGCAATGTTTGCAAACGGAATTTCTATCATTATCCTGCGGGTACCAAAGACAACATAGTCTATCCCAACCTTGACTGGTCTTCAAACGGTAACGTTTTCTTCTTTCTTCGGGGTATGCCGATATCTATTGGCCTTTTTTTCCGAAGCGCCAACAAGTTTTATCACGGGTGATTTGTTAGTATTGTGACATAAACAGCAACAGTAATGAGCAAGAACAGAAACAAAAACACACGATCTATGACCATGGCAACTATACGCCATTCCATTTCTGATTGTTCATTGAAAGCCTCTCTGGTGCTTTGCGCGAACGCCAGTGCGCGTTGATCTTCTGTGTCATTACGATCCAAATAAATGTTTTTCTGGTTTTGATTAGCCGTCGTTTCCACAGAATGTGCTTCCTTATTGAAATTGACCAACATGAAGTTTTCTGCGCCAGCATGGTCTTTGGAGGCAACGTTCGCATCCTAGATTCATTAAAGAATTGTTAATGATAGAAACTCATTAATTTAGTTACTTTATGCTCTATAAATGTTAGAGAAATTACAAATGGACAGAAAGATAACAAAATAGGTCGGAATTGTTTTCTTATCTAAGACGCCTTTGAAATATTTAACGAAAGTGATGTAATAAAGCTATAGTTACGTAAACACAGTTATACATATTTATAGCTTCCCAAAATCAGCACCAAAAAGGGGAAGTAATCAGCATGTCTACGCAAAAATGCATATGTTCAAGAAGTACCTTGATTTGTAAAGTGTTATGGCTCAGCCGCAAGGTTTTTAACGCTGCATGGTGCATACACACGATCCTAGACAGAAACAGCGTCAAATGGCGCAACCACCTCGGCACTTTGTTGTGATGCACACCTCGGAAATGCATGTTCAGAACGATAACAGTCATTGCCAGCGAGGAGGCCAATAGAAATATTGTGGCTCCAAAGAACATGCCTGAAAAGTACACGCGTGACAATTGTTTAATAACTCTTCTAATGCATTATTAACACCGCTCTATTACCAACTAATTGATCTTTTGCAATGGCCTATCAATATTAGATTTTTAATTTCCTAAAAGACTTGACTGTGCGTGCGATAGAGAGAGAGGGAGAGAAAGAGAAAGAGAAACCTACCCACAAGTGGCACGACCTCTGAGGTGGGAGGCATGCTCTCGGCTATTACTAACAGAAACACTGTCATTGCCAACAATACTGTTACCCCCAATGACACCTTCTCTCCACTTTCTGGAGGCAGATAGAATCCCAGCATGGTCACCGCAGTTATGACAATGACCGGGAGAATAAGATTATAGGAGTAATACAGAGCTTTCCTCTTGATTTGGATGTGAAAGGTTACCGAAGGGTAAGGTTCGGGACAACAAGAATAGACCTTGACGTCACGTTGGATCGGTATACCTGGAATGTAACGATTTTCACATCATATTTGGACCTTTTGGAAAGCACTTACATGTATATTTTACAAACATATACAGTAGTTAATCAATTTTTCTACTTACAAAAACCAAAGATTCATGCAGCTCATGTGGGTTAATATTACTTGTGTGATTCTATGTATGTAATATTTTTACGTCTTTCATCCTTGAGGTATCAATAAATAAATAAATAAATAAATAAATAAATAAATAAATAAATAGGCCTAAGGTTAACGTTAAATTTAAATTTCGGGACGGTACACTTACTTAAAAGTTCCCATTCCCCATTTTCTACGTAATTTGACGTATCTCCCTCCGCACTGGCATTCATAATGTCAATTTGGTAACCATTATACACCCAGGAGGCGAATTGCAGGGGACAACTTTGATGATCAAATGGAAAGTAAGTCACATCAATACTACAACTGCTTTTTAACATGGCAGGTGTCATCCAGTTCACGTCGCCGTCATAGGTCACCTTGGCCTTCGTGTCTCGCCGTAAGGAGTATGTACTTGCCGCACTGAAAAAGTATAGGAATGAGAAACGAGCTGCATAGAATTTATATTTATTTCTATCACTTTTATTATTATTATATTTCATTATGAATATGATGATTAAATGTATTTTACGTATATGTACCATGATACGTGAATTATCTGTACTATGCAATTCACGATGAACTCCAAAATGCCAATGATGAATGATTAATAATGAGTTGAGTTCATTTGAGTTTTCACATTAAATTATGATTGTGTTGATGATAAACGCAATACAGAACACATCTAAATAGTAAGCGTTTTATGTCAAAGAAAGATTCTTGCACATCAAAGCCGCCACCATTCATCTACTGTGCAAGCAAATATTAACACCTTTGCCCATCGCTAACTACAATACTTGATCCAGTGCTTTGTGCTCTTTTCATTTGCCTATATAATATTTATAGACGGAAATTTATATGTACATATACACGTGAAAAGATGACATTCAAGTTATCGACGCTAAAGGATAACCAGTTATCTGTATACCAGAGTATACACCTTGTTTACACACCTGTACTTAAAGGGGCATATAAAGCAAGAAAAAAACTCATCTTATTGTTGAGATGATATCGATTTTATATGAAATAAATATATTTTAAAATATTAATCAACAAATACAGAACAAACTAAATCATTCGAAAAATTAAAGAACAGGGCGCAATTTTAACTTCTTCACAGCAACCTTCCATATCTACGTGCCGTGCAAATTAGATCAATCCATAGAGACCTCAGGATGAGATAATCGTGGGTTATTTATTCAACTTTCATAAATTTATTTTTATTAATTTAGCGCGTGTTTAGCGTTGACATTACTATAGATCTTGCTTATAATTAGATTGAGGATAAAAAAGCGATATTTTCGTCATCGTCATCAAATGTCATCAAACTGCTTTATATGCCCGTTTGAAGTTAAAAATAAGAATCAAAGTCAGGATTGCATCGATTGGTCTCCTAGCAGAAAAAAAGAAGAAAAAAGAAACCACAGCAAATAGCCCATTNTGTTAAGCTTATGTGTCACATCTGCTGCAATATGGGTTGTCACCACACATCTTACTTTACTGTCTGCCATAAATCTTTAATGTAATGGAATCTATACCTACAGTGACACACTGATGTTTTAATTATTGTTCTCCAATTTTTTCAAATTTCTTTCATAAGAATGCTCTACCTCTCAAGGAATGTCTGCTTAAACTCTTTAAAATAAGGGAATAGCTGGTGAGGTCAGGAGCAGTGGCAAAAAGAGCCCAAATGAAAAACAATAAAATGCATCACTACGGTTGGGTTTGAATACCGACATTTTACAGCACAACCTACAGCAATGCATTCAATTATCACAGAAAAGATCTTTTGTGCACAAACTCTCACGTATCTGCTCAAATAACATGTTTATGATATCCATATGATATACAAGGAAGTTATAATTAATTTATTGATCTATTATAATTGATTTATTGGTTATTTTCGTACCGTCCGTGTCCCATTTCAAAGAAAAAATTAAAAGATCAAACTAAATGGAAAAACAATTTTATATATAAAATACAATGAAAATAAATAATTCCGAATTCCGTGAATAAACTACTTCCTCCAGCACAACGTACCGAAAGCAGCCGGAGTGCCAAGTACCGCCCAAGGCCTGCAAGAAACGCTCTTCGTGGATTTTTCCATAGCACATAACGCATGTTGCGTCATCATCATCTGAAAAAGAAAACACAAATTCAAAATCATCCATGTGATGGATCTATTTCTTAATTAGGATTTTAGACGCACACCCACCTGACTCTGTTGACATGGCGGAAGCGTGATTGCAAATGCAAGTTCTTCCTCCAAACATTAAAGAGCTGTGATTTTTCCAACAGGAACTACGACATATAATACACGGTGTTTGGTTCACCCACGATACACAACAGAAACTTGGGCTATGTTTTTAAAAAATTAAATATAAGAATTCTTTATCTGACCACTAACTAAGCCAAATCATTTTTTTCTTAAGAAAAAGGGAGTAGGCCTATTATTTTTTACAAGTAAAAGTGTTTTAATTTTGCCTGCTGATAACGTCATTCGGTAGTAGGCCATTTCGTTTACTCAAGAAGTTATAACTTTATAACTTCTTGGTTTACTCAAGGTTTTATATCAGTGGTTTTATCTACTGTATAGGGGGCCTATACATGTAGTTCAGTGGTAATAAATAACAACATTTTTTCGTACCCTACGTTTTTCACAGTGAAGCAAGGTATTCACGTAATATGTCTACCTATATAGGTATTTTCTGGTCAAAAAGAGAAGAATGAAAAAAAAAAGATCAATGCGTATAATGTAGAGGGAAACAAATTTTCTTGTGCGGTTGCGAAAAAAGAGCCAAACAGCTTATAATATGGATGGGATGTGGTTTTTGCTGCTGAAGAACGCGTGCACGTAAGAGGGACAAGCAGCAAAACTATGCATACCTGATCTTCCAAAAAGACTAAAGCCGAGAAAAAAATTAAAATATCAAAAGCTTATCAAAAGTTTTTTTTCTCAAATTTCGACTGGGCAAAATTATTTGGCAAGTCCAGTGTAATAGCATCTTTAGATGGGCCATGACTTAAATATCTAGTTTTTCTTAATTATATAAAACATGAGGCATCTGGTTTCGAGTTCACGCTTAGAGACTGGTAATATTTAAAACAAAGTACTTCGATACCTTTTGAATAACGTTAAATTAACCAAAAGTAGCAAAAAAGACGACCAAATCCGTTTTAAAGAAGTGGTTGCATCAGCATTTTTCTAAATTATATCAAAATAGAATTTATTTATTCATTTACTAAATATATTTGCGTTATATTTCTTTATTTCATTTATTTATCTAATTGTTTCCTTTCTTTTAGGCGTGGGCACTTGCATAGTGAAACACATTATTGTTGTTTAATGGCAGTTTTGATTCAGGACCTATGAGTTTGTCAGGTAGGTCTAGCCGCAAACATAGTAACTAAATATATACTAAGTGTTTATAGATGGATTCAGACTGTCGCAAAATGACATTATCCTAAAAATAATCCAAGCTAATGTACCCAAGTGTTAAGTTTCCCTCACTCTATTAAAAACACGGTGCTGATAGGCCTACATGGTAAAAAATACGAAGTAACAGACGTTAATCTGCCCATTTCACCGAAGTCTTCTGCAATTTTCTAAGTATGGCTACGACTGTGAAGAAGGTCTTTGTTGGACTGATGTTCATTTTTTTCACAGGTAAGCACGGTTGGCATGAAGGGTCTTGCTGACCATGACTTTGAAATACTACTTTAGTAGGGCTCCTTTAGGCTACGTTTGTGCTAAGGACTCCATAAGGATAAGTCCAGTGAATGTGTTCAGATGTCTTTTTTAAAAGTCGAATAAGGATTTTTTAAATGGCACAGTGACGATTGAGGTGGAATAGTGTATATCTCATTCTCTATTCATAAAGAGTAATTTTGACGTTTAAAAAAGAGGCAAGAGTTAGTAGAATATATTATTTCTTATTTTATTATAATAATCTTTTTGTTTTTTATTTTTATTTATTTATTTATTTATTTGCAGTTGATTTTGGAGCTCCTCAGGCAGTGTCCAAGGATGTGTATCAGTGCCCTAGAAGACAACCGACTTTCAGATCCGGCCATAGCGTCCCGCACCCCGGGACCTGTAACAGGTAAGCCTAAATAGCTAAGTTATTTTGGCTTTAAATATTTAATTTGCCAACATGTCTACTGCATTTACGTCATCAACATTAATTGTGTACATGCATTAGCGTTTTGCGTTCCTTTCAAAATAGTTTTTCTTTTGGATATACATGTACCGTGTGTATTTTCAGGAAATAAACTAGCATTCATGATTATATATTTCATTTGTTGTAAGCCACTTAGTTAGATAAAGAAAGAAAAAAGACGAAGTAAAATACTTTCATACCCGCTAATATAATATACCCACTATGATTATCAGGTACATCATTTGCTCGTATGGAACGGCGTTCAGTTTTAAGTGTCAGAAAGGTCTGGTGTACGAGCCGCGGTCAAAAAGTTGTGTATTCCCCTGGCAATATGAATGCATCCCCAAGACAACTAGACGCCAGAAAAAGACCACTGCTGCCTCGAGGACAAAGTCAAGTAGGTCTATGCAACAAATATATATGTATTCACAGGCGTACGCACGGATACACTTTACGTGCAACTTTTCCCCAAAAAATATTAATTTCTTTGCAGGTTTCTTTCAAAATTTCACGTAGAAATATTAGTGAGAAAACTTGGGCTTGAAACTGGGTACACATCAGAACACTGAGTCATAACCATAATGATGAAATTAACCTAAGACCCAGTGATTGCTTACCGGGTCCTAGAATTAACATATTATTATGTCGGGAACCAGGTTTCTCTGTATCATCAGTCTTTTTATCCAATGCCTTTCCTCTTCAAGTCCCTATCACCAGTCTGCGACATCACTGTAGGAGCTCTTCTTTCATGTTAAATAAAACTGCATGTAGTAGAACTGTTACTTTGAATCTGTCCTGTCCAGATCTTCATTACTATTAGAGGTGAAAACGGCTATAAATCTCAACTTTCTGGTGCAAAAATTCGAATTTTACTTAGTTTTAATTTTTTCTTTCTTTCTATCTTTTTTTTTTTTTTTTTTCATTTTGAGTATCTCTGGACAGGAACTGTGCGTATAATTTTCAAATGTCTGCGGGTGCCTCTGTACGTAACCCGTTTCCTCTAGTTCATGCAGTAATATTATTCGAATGCTGCCAGTTTACACATGTAAATGCCAAAATATGAAAATTCAACGAAAGAGAACTGTACAATGAATTTGCATTTTAATACTGTAGACCTACGATATGACGTTTAATGCCTAATTTATTTTTCAGCCACGGAACAAGCCGAGACAACAACGCCTTCTCCCCTCGTATGCAGAGATAACGGTACACGTTCAATGATTCCTTCACTTGCCATTACTTTATTTTGAAAAATTAAAATTTTGCATATTTTTTCTTCATCTTACCAGAATGATGAGTACATCTTACAAACATCGTGTCCCTTTTAAGAGTTGAGATATCTTGATTTTTCAACAGATGTGAGTGTATTTTCCGCCATACTTTTTTTTAATTGGTTCCGTGATATTTTCAGAAACTTTATGTGCCATGGCCGGAGGGCTTTGCCGAGATGTCCAGGAGGGCTGTGAACATGATAGCGGCCTTGGTTTGTTTATTCGCTGGGGCTGTGAGGGTCATGCTACCTGTATGTGCTGTGTGGACAGCATTACATTGCAAAATGATCCAAACTACGGTAAGAAAGCATTAAAATTTTATCAAAATAAACCTCTCAGTAAAATTTTAGTCCATTAGGTCTTACATCCATTAAATTGATCACTTCTTTATATGAAAATAGTTAAGCCTCTCTGTATGCATGCCTGTCACTTCTATTATAAGGTTTTTCCATTATCTTTTTAGACCGCTGGTGCGTACTGGGGCATAAGGGCGAGTGTCGGTACGTTGAGTATGGTTGTGAAGGAGGCCATTTTTTAACCGGGAATGAATGTGCTGGTGGTGATAAGCGACTGTGCTGTGTCCGAGACACATTGACCGATACTGTCCATAAAACCACACCAAGCAAATTGTCGACAATGAAGACACCGACGACGGAGACTGACGATGCAATGACATCGTCGACGGAGACTGACCTGGACGATACCATGACATCGACTGAGACCGAGACTTAGACACGAGACAACAAGGATATGGGTTGAAGACCTCGAAGACGGAAACTGCCGATACAATGGTATCGACAGTGGAGGCTTTCTTGGTTATCAAACAGCAAGTCAATAGACCATATTTTGCTGAGATAATTTTACAAAAATTGACCTTATATAATCTGCCGTATTTGTTGTGTATTTCTTATGATCAACTGTAGGAGTGTTATAAATCGTTTATGGACATCGTATCGAAATTTTGAATCTGTGGGGAATAGCCTTCCTGTATATGTTTTGTCATTTGGGGTACGAAATAAAGATAACCATGCAGATTTACATGCTTCATATTCTTCTGAATTTATTTTAAACAACGGCTTCTAAACAATACGAGTAAACTACAAGCGGAGAATTACGTCTATTTTAACATGGCCATGCTATGTACAGTGCGAGGTCCTTTTTCATGTTATTGCTACATTGTACCAACATTGTTATACAAAGGCAACCACATTTTCGAAGGGTTATTTAGTAATGGTAGGTTTACACGATTTACTACAATAATCGATACATGCAACAGTTATACACCTTTCAAATACAGCCTAATTCTTTCATTCCTAACTTTTAGTGGATCTGTTGAAAGACAAATATGACAAAACACTTGCACAAGCGATAAATATGTAGTGGGTCTCACATTGAGGTCCCCATATTTTATATATATATTTGCAAGAAACTATAAGCGGATCTTTAATGTTTGAAATTATTATCCACACATCAAGCAATGTTTGCAAACGGAATTTCTATCATTATCCTGCGGGTACCAAAGTCTATCCCAACCTTGACTGGTCTTCAAACGGTAACGTTTTCTTCTTTCTTCGGGGTATAAGCCGATATCTATTGGCCTTTTTTTCCGAAGCGCCATCAAGTTTTATCACGGGTGATTTGTTAGTATTGTGACATAAACAGCAACAGTAATGAGCAAGAACAGAAACAAAAACACACGATCTATGACCATGGCAACTATACGCCATTCCATTTCTGATTGTTCATTGAAAGCCTCTCTGGTGCTTTGCGCGAACGCCAGTGCGCATTGATCTTCTGTGTCATTACGATCCAAATAAATGTTTTTCTGGTTTTGATTAGCCGTCGTTTCCACAGAATGTGCTTCCTTATTGAAATTGACCAACATGAAGTTTTCTGCGCCAGCATGGTCTTTGGAGGCAACGTTCGCATCCTAGATTCATTAAAGAATTGCTAATGATAGAAACTCATTAATTTAGTTACTTTATGCTCTATAAACGTTAGAGAAATTACAAATGGACAGAAAGATAACAAAATAGGTCGGAATTGTTTTCTTATCTAAGACGCCTTTGAAATATTTAACGAAAGTGATGTAATAAAGCTATAGTTACGTAAACACAGTTATACATATTTATAGCTTCCCAAAATCAGCACCAAAAAAGGGAAGTAATCAGCATGTCTACGCAAAAATGCATATGTTCAAGAAGTACCTTGATTTGTAACGTGTTATGGCTCAGCCGCAAGGTTTTTAACGCTGCATGGTGCATACACACGATCCTAGACAGAAACAGCGTCAAATGGCGCAACCACCTCGGCACTTTGTTGTGATGCACACCTCGGAAATGCATGTTCAGAACGATAACAGTCATTGCCAGCGAGGAGGCCAATAGAAATATTGTGGCTCCAAAGAACATCCCTGCAATGAACACGTGTGACAATTGTTTAATAACTCTTCTAATGCATTATTAACACCGCTCTATTACCAACTAATTGATCTTTTGCAATGGCCTATCAATATTAGATTTTTAATTTCCTAAAAGACTTGACTGTGCGTGCGATAGAGAGAGAGGGAGAGAAAGAGAAAGAGATACCTACCCACAAGTGGCACGACCTCTGAGGTGGGAGGCATGCTCTCGGCTATTACTAACAGAAACACTGTCATTGCCAACAATACTGTTACCCCCAGTGACACCTTCTCTCCACTTTCTGGAGGCAGATAGAATCCCAGCATGGTCACCGCAGTTATGACAATGACCGGGAGAATAAGATTATAGGAGTAATACAGAGCTTTCCTCTTGATTTGGATGTGAAAGGTTACCGAAGGGTAAGGTTCGGGACAACAAGAATAGACCTTGACGTCACGTTGGATCGGTATACCTGGAATGTAACGATTTTCACATCATATTTGGACCTTTTGGAAAGCACTTACATGTATATTTTACAAACATATACAGTAGTTAATCAATTTTTCTACTTACAAAAACCAAAGATTCATGCAGCTCATGTGGGTTAATATTACTTGTGTGATTCTATGTATGTAATATTTTTACGTCTTTCATCCTTGAGGTATCAATAAATAAATAAATAAATAAATAAATAAATAAATAAATAAATAGGCCTAAGGTTAACGTTAAATTTAAATTTCGGGACGGTACACTTACTTAAAAGTTCCCATTCCCCATTTTCTACGTAATTTGACGTATCTCCCTCCGCACTGGCATTCATAATGTCAATTTGGTAACCATTATACACCCAGGAGGCGAATTGCAGGGGACAACTTTGATGATCAAATGGAAAGTAAGTCACATCAATACTACAACTGCTTTTTAACATGGCAGGCGTCATCCAGTTCACGTCCCCGTCATAGGTCACCTTGGCCTTCGTGTCTCGCCGTAAGGAGTATGTACTTGCCGCACTGAAAAAGTATAGGAATGAGAAACGAGCTGCATAAAATTTATATTTATTTCTATTAATTATTATATTCTATCTATTATTATATTTTATTATGGATATAATGATTAAATTTATTTTACGTTATTGTACCATGATACGTGAATTATCTGTACTATGCAATTCACAATGAACTCCAAAATGCTTATGCTAAATTATTAATATTGAGTTGAGTTCATTCGAGTTTTCACCTTTATAACAATGTTGATGATAAACGCAATACTGAACACATCTAAATAGTAAGCGTTTTAAGTCAAAGAAAGATTCTTGCACATCAAAGCCGCCACCATTCACCTACTGTGCAAGCAAATATTAACACCTTTGCCCATTGCTAACTACAATACTGGATCCAGTGCTTTGTGCTCTTTTCATTTGCCTATATAATATTTATATATGTACATATACACGTGAAAAGATGACATTCAAGTTATCGACGCTACAGGATAACCAGAGTTATCTGTATACCAGAGTATACACCTTGTTTACACACCTGTACTTAAAGGGGCATATAAAGCAAGAAAAAAACTCATCTTATTGTTGAGATGATATTGATTTTATATAAAATAAATGTATTTTAAAATATTAATCAACAAATACAGAACAAACTAAATCATTCGAAAAATTAAAGAACAGGGCGCAATTTTAACTTCTTCACAGCAACCTTCCATATCTACGTGCCGTGCAAATTAGATCAATCCATAGAGACCTCAGGATGAGGTAATCGTGGGTTATTTATCCAACTTTCATAAATTTATTTTTATTAATTTATCGCGTGTTTAGCGTTGACATTACTATAGATCTTGCTTATAATTAGATTGAGGACAAAAAAGCGATATTTTCGTCATCGTCATCAAATGTCATCAAACTGCTTTATATGCCCGTTTGAAGTTAAAAATAAGAATCAAAGTCAGGATTGCATCGATTGGTCTCCTAGCAGAAAAAAAGAAGAAAAAAGAAACCACAGCAAATAGCCCATATTTACATGTACTAAAACATTCGAGCATAAAAATACACCTGTTGAATTGTCTAGAAAAAACACAAAATACACTTATTACTGTTTTATGAAATACATACGTAAAAGCCCTAAAAAAAGAAAAGATTGCAAAAGTGTTAACAAATTGTCAAAATATGTCAAACTGAAAAGATCATCATGGTGTTTACATTAGCATTGGAGGGGATAAAGAATTTCACATTTTCAACAAAGGCAAACTGTACGCGTTTGGCAATATCCCCAAATCATATTTTATGTCAAAATTATATCTTCTTCAGTAATGTCGGAGCTTCTTAAATCTCCAAAATTAGAATTATAAACCCCCTCAAATAAAAGCACCTCTTGAAATGTTTTAACGCATTGTGGCCAAAATAATTCATGATCATACTCTGCAGAACCAAACCAATTTTCTTAAAAGTTTTTCAAAGCATTCAGTCCAGATGCAGAGACGGGTCGAGCAATGATTTGTAAGCAAGATAAATTACCGTTTTTATTAGTCTGGGAAAATAAGGCTTAGCGCAAAAACCCCGGATAGGGTACCTTTAAATAACTTGGTCTGAAAATGAAATAACCTGTGAGTTTGCCAGGGCGGTGTAATGGCTCTCTTGTGAATTACTGGGTGTGTTTTCTATGAACTGGTTTAAAATTTACGTATGGCCCATCCTGTATAACAGCTTTCATACCGCTACTAACATTACGAGCTAGAGACGTGTACATAAGTGGCAATTTCTGCACATGAATAAACCTAAATTAAGCATGAATATTTTATACAGTCTTTCGAAAACAAAAGGCGGACAAAAATTGCACTTGTCTGTTGACTGCTTGCACAGGCTATTTTTCCTGGAAACAACAATTCATTATTAATCCTAAGGGACACACTTCACCCATAGGAGAGACTAATTTCTAATTATTCTTATTAGAAATTTTTGTCATTCATGACACCAATCTATTTCTTGGAACCAAAGACATTTGATAGTTAAGTGCACATCGGCAATGGGACTTGGATATGCCATTGCTTTAAATGGTTATGTTTCAATGCAACACTGTTTGGTGGCAGAGAATGCAGCACCCCAAAGCGTTTCACTGAAAAAATGACATTTGACATAGATCTCGCGATTGTCGTAGATCGAAATTATATTAAAACAAATTTAAACTGAAGCACATGTGCTTTGCTATCAGTGATTATATCGACGTCCGGTGGCTATTTATTAAAAAAGTCAAAATCTTCCACAGCATTGGGACCGATGGATGAAGCTGAACACTACAGACGTTTAAAGATGCATACAAAGTCAATTTTTGTCACAAAAAACGACCAAATGCCAGCATATAGTTTCTAGTAGTATAACTAAGAGAATTACCAAAAGGCATTGTTTAATTTTACCCGAAAATGATGTGTGAATGAATTTTTCTGCTAGCATTCTATGCTGTATGTCAATGGGGCAGAAAAGTAGGTCACGAAAGTAGGTTAAATTTCCGACCAAAAATTTAAAGAAAGGAGCAGTCTAAAGCTCTTTTATGGCTGATCGAGTGATCTAATCAGTTTACCCCTTGGCATGCCGAATTTATTTGAGTCGTATAAGAAACTAGTAAAAGTGGTTTACATGTGTTACTGTGAATCCACGCTCCACCGATGCTCGGTTCGTATGTACCTTTAACTGATTGCTAAAATAATAACCCTTAAAAACTGTGATCACATCTGTATGGTCGAAATAAATAATATAACAGATTTGCCAGGTCTTGCACACTATGCTGTAGTGGAATGTATTTTAAGTTAAGGTAATAGTTGACCGTGCGAGTGATTGGGCATTCGCGTAAAGTAACAACTTCAGAACCCTTGCAAGTATGCGATGAGGTGGTTATCTCAATGGAAATCTTCATTCAAATAGTGACGAAATACATAAACAGACATTAAAAGCACTGGAAATGAAAATACAAGTGGGGGGATTCTAATGGAAGAGCATTCATAACTGGATTACGTGGATTCAACTAATATGGTGTGTTACATCCAACTAAAAAAAAAATTAAAAATGCAGTGTCAACAATATGTGCAGTTAATGATCAGTACCAGGAAAAAACACACAAACGCACTGCTATTAGTACACGAAATATCCTATGATTTCTATCAGGCAGATGTAAACTTACGTTCCATACACCGTCTTACATGTTATCGACATACTTGTTATAGAGCATGATATCAGGGATCCAGAGGAGAGCCACGTCCAACACGACTTCAGTCAAACCACTGTAGTTTGCGGGATCCCACGTCAGTTTGTTATCCCACCATTTCTGAAAACATGAGAGTTGAAGTAGATTGTGATTTTTTAAATCATATTAACCATTTCATGGACTTGATAATTGAAACGTGGTGAAAACTAGTCTGATTTGGGCAAAAATGGAGAATATACAAAACAGGGGAGTTCAGGTGACTGTGCAGTAAACGGATTAATAAATTTTTCATTAAAAAACTATTGCGTTTAACCAGCTTATTTATGATTCAGGTACGCGCTGTACGCTATAAGACATACAGATGTTATATGGCAAGAATGTATACACACCATATGCCATTACGTGACGTAAAGTGGTAGTCCATAAGTGTCTCAAATGATATGTGCGGTTCTAAACTCATTTATAACATAAACGCAAATATTGCCAGGGAAGTTGTTTGAATATTGGGATAGTTTTGCATAGAAAGCTGCAAACTGGCGTCGTTACAAGGCACACAGATAATATTTCTCCTCCCACGGGTGATGATAACTTAGGTTAAAAAGTGCGATAAATACTTTTTTAGCGAAAAAAAATGGAATAATGTCGTTTCATCCCTTCACACCTGGAAGTGGTTTCAAGCTTACTGTTACGATCGATAGGCTACATTGTTTGCCATAAGCCTGGAGAAATCGCGGCAGTTGATAAAATGCCAGAGACCGCCTAGTTACAATACAATTACGCAAAGCGAAACGAATAAAACCATGCTTATAAGTGCTCGTGCTAATGGCCCTAATTGCTCTGTTCGATGTCAGTAACATCGATAATGCATAAACCGTTAAAACTTGGGGGGTTGTTTGTTAACCGCCGGAAAATGCACTGAAAGCATAGTCCAACCGATTTTCTTGTTTCTAAGATAGAGCTGTTAGTAGGATGATGAATTTTAGAAACACAAAGAACAGATTTATTTTAGCTAAATTTGCCGTGATTTAAACGGCAAGTAAGCCTATACCCAAGCAGGTATCATAAGTTCAAATAAAATGCTTAATTAGACAAACTGAGAGATAAAAGTAGCATTCTATGTAGGCCTATGCCCAGTTTGTGGGCAAAGAAGACCATTTTTGCAAAGCAACAGTACGCAAATTACTCGGAAATTTATAATGTTATGACAGTGTAACAGCTGGATTTACAGTTTAGGTAGCAGGTTGTTTTCCGAAGTTAAACACACACATACTGGCTCGCTAACAGTAATGCTCAATCAGACTGTTCCATTAGACTCGCTCAAGCACGTTCATTAGGCAAACAAAAGTGAATCCTAATAGATATTACACACAAAATTAAACGCTTATCATGCCCTATATTGATTTGTATTAGCTTTGGTTATTTCGAAAGGGCTCTCCCAAATGTCCCGATCGCTTTTCAAGGAAAAAATTAATGGCAGCGCTCTTTGTATCAATAGACTGGTAAAAAGCCATTAGTTATGAGAAACACTCTAGTCTCAGAAGATTACATTTCATCGACTTCACCCAATAGAAGCATCATTTTGTGATCAATGTCGTTTGAAAAATAACCAATAAGGTCTAACGCCATGGCTTCTCAAGATAAAGTTTGGCAATTCTGTAATAAAAACCCAGCCGCATTTGGCATGCGCACGCAGACACACCCGACCACATACTATTACCAGGACTGTAGTTCAATTTCCTAACGCTTGTGGAACGAATTTTTGGAAGACAAAGAATATTTGAAGGCGATTTCTAGCTGTCATATGCTTTGGTCATTGTTATCGCAAGAAAATGGCCTTTTATATCAACTTTATGCAATTCTGACTTATTTTTCATAAAGCGGTAAGAGGCAATTGCGCATATAGACAGTTAAAAGGGGCATGGTGTCAACTGCTATCTTAAAACTTAACACATATCAAGTGAATCTATCTCCAGAGGCGGCTGTGTTGGTCATCATGGTCATTTATCGGTCGATACAAGAAGAATTTAAGTAAAAGCTAGTATCTGCAGAGACATTTGCAAATGCTTTACATTACTACAGAACATAGACACTTATGAGAGAAAACTGGAAAATAGTTCACACATTTAGAAAGGAAATTCCTACACATTTATTATTGTCTCTGTATAATGAACGTCTGTATATGCGGAATCTACTTATCTCCCTTATTTAGATGTTTCCGCTTCTTTTCTCTGTTACAGCTGTTTTACCCAGATATCATCACTGAAATTATACTAACTGGATCTCTCAACAGAAAATGTTGTTTCAAATGTCAATGTTTGCCCGTCTTAAAAAACACCTATAAACATACATTTATGCCAATACTGATTTCAAGGAAACAATCTCAGACAGAAAAGTGTAATAATTTCTGTTTTCCACACGCAAACGGTCACTTGGCCTGTGAGAATCGAAAATTTAAGTGGGTTGGACATGGTGCTCACTTGAGTCATAAAAACAGACAAACAAACAAACAAACAAAGCCAGTGACGTGATAATCAAATATATTCACGATGAACTTTAACGGATATATATATATATATTTTTTTTTGGAAAAATAATGACGATAATGACGATGGTAAGAATGGGCATTGAAAACTGTCCATTTTTTCTGCATAAGAAACAGTTGCGCCATGTTCATATTTAAAGCAAAATTTATTGTAATTTCTCCCAAGGAATATCTTTTATAATATGAAGCGTTTTGACCATAGTGAAATTTACACGATTGCTAAGTTTGCCAGAGAGGCTATTGATTAAGGTTCTTGTACTACCCTCTTTAATAAAGTGTAATGACCTTCAATAGTGCGACTAGTTAACAATTTAATCGTACTTACCACTCGCATCCAAGCATTAGTATGCAGGAGCTGGTTTCGCTCGTCCTGTAAACAGAATGCAGGAATTGAAAAAAGGCTCTTTATTATCCAATTAGTAAGCCTACGTTTACTCATCAAATAGGTTAAAATAACCGATTAGTGAATGTTAGCTTATCGAAATAAAACCACTTGCTGAAAAACTCATCGATCCATCAAACAACGAGAAAAGTTAACTACTTGCTTAATGCTTTTTAAGTGAAAATCTATTAAAAAAATTCCATTTAAGGCATTTACCCTCAAACACATTTACTCGAAATCTGAATTGTATAATGATGTAACATATCACATTTATGAATTCGATAAGTGTTAAATCTAAGATAAACAAGGTAGAGGCAGATGCAATGTCATTGATGTGTCTAAAAGGGTTTTAATCTGTTGGTAAAGGATGCGAGATGGTGCACGCAGTTTTCCTATCTTCAGGCGTATTCATTACTAATTTTGTGTTCTTAGCTTTTAGCTAAATTAAATAATGTTAATGGTTCCCATTAATTCGCGATCAATCTGTAGAGTAGTTACTCATTCCAATGTATTTCCACAGCGCATACAGTTGCACGTTGCGCAGAATAGAAGCTCCTTGCCAATTTTTGCATCATTTAAATGTTTTATCATTCAGAAATAATTTCAAGATATTTGCAAACTTTTACGTGAAAAAATGAAAAATCTATGTTGCAAAACAAAATTTGTATTTTAAATTGAAATACTATCAAATAATGTCCAGAAAGTTGCGCTAATTGACGAACTCATTATAAACTTATGTTTCACTTTCTAATGAAATCGTTCAAATAGAAACTTCAGTTTTGCTTTTTTCTTGCTGTGAGAAAAAAATGAAACAAACTTCATAAAAGGGGTAAAGTATTCAATTCTATACATATTTATATCTTTTTAAAATATTTTTTTATCTTTTTGAATAAGAGCTAGTTGTTTGTCACATTATATTATAGGTACTTATGTACTTACTACGTCAAACAGCTGGTGAAGCGCCATGTCAAGCCTGACAGTCACATTGTCACTCGAGTTGGCCACGGGACGAGCGTTTTTGTCGTAGTCACTCAACAGTCGGTGAAGCAGAGCATGCTCCTCATCGGAAAAAGAAACGACACCTGAAATAAACAATTTACAATGATGCCATTATCATTTATACCTCTATTTGGAGGTAAGATTGGCTTTCAAAATTAAAAAAAAAGATCTTTGGTTAGCTTTTATATTTGGCATTGAAAATAATGTAGTTCAATAATGATAGAAATTAACACAGCGGTCTGGAGTACCGAATTAGCAAATGGAACCATTACATAATATTAATCTCTCTAATACAAATGGAACCATTACCTTATCTCAAGGGACGAACTGGCTGTCAAGAGGATTTCTATAAATCATTAAATATTTAATAAGCACGGCTCTACACTGGTCAGACAATTCAAGCACGCAACCCATTTACAGATGATATAAGAACATGCCCAATACATTAAAGTAAAAAGATATGAGTGATAAAAAGAAAACGGTGGAAAAAACCCAAACAAACATATGCCAATTAAAACATGGAACCAGTACACACCTCTGATACAAATCACTGCAAATATCGTTCCAAACCAAGAAGCCGACGCCACTCCATGGAAGTACATTGTGGAGTTGCTTCCGACACCTGGATCTCTGTTCTCCGTTAGACAGCAAAAGCTCTCACTGCTGCCCTTATATAGCCTCACTCTGCGACGCGCACTTGCTTTCGCCACGGCATCTGACAAGCGACCTAGTTCATACCAATACAATGTAATGTCACTTTGTGTCTAGGTTATTGTAAGAAGAGTCGTCGTTATTGTTTTAATGTTGTCCGAAAATGAAATCCGGAAGATGCACGTTAACTCAATGTGTATAGGTTGTTCATAGCGACACGTGGCTCTGTTTGTTTTGCAAGACATAAGCATCTCTTAAATAAATATGTCATGAATAGAGTAGAATTAAATGATACATACATTTGCAAAGACATGGATATAGTATCGTTTTTACAGATAATCACTATCTATTCCAAAGTATATTTGCATTGGTCAGATTGTTTACAGAAATAATACCATTATGGACTGGAAAGAAAGGAATTTATGCTCATGCTCTTTCATTTATCGTTCACATTTAAGTGTTTAAAATCAATTTATGGAAGGTTTTAACACCGCCAGCTATTACATACATATATCCCACGCCATCTGATGTATGTATTAAGATGCCCCAGACAGTATTTAATAAAATCGATTTGCATTTGTATATCAGAATGTTATATGCTCCCACGCATGAGGATGTAATATTCATTGTTTTAATCATCTGGCAGTATATTAAGACTGGTAGTCTCTTTAACGATTTACTCCATTTTCCGTTTTTTAGTAGATAGATCCTTCACAAGGAAAAAAGGCCCATGTAAGCAATTTTTCATTGTGTTTAAAATGTTTAAAAAATATCAAAACAAGTATAATTCATCCCCATAAGTATAATTAGAGATACATAAGTGCAAATTAACGCATAAGTGAATATTTCAGCAAGATATGTAGTTTACGGTATTTAGTTCATGTTTTGAAACGATGCTTTTTAAAGAACGTTTACATCTTTATTCGTGATGTTTGCTTAAGGCATATTTTCTGGTCACTGTTTCATTTCAACATCTACTTTCATGTTTGTTTTTTATATGCATTTGCGTGTTTCTGTGAAACTGGTGATTTTAACATGAAAACATAATTTATATTTTGAATTAACAGCTCTTGCCTAATCGTTTGCTGTTAACGTTTACACACCATCTAATCAGGCATAATACTTTGATAACAACTGCGCTAGGAGAACTTTTATATGCTGCGCTTTTATTTTATTAGAAATGATAACAGGACATAAGTAGAAGCATGAGTCAATTTTCAAATAAAAGTAGCATGTCTGCAATATGATCCAATAATCCGTGCATCTGAGCGTGTTCAAACATTGTTCCAAAGTTTGTTAGAGATGCACATTTCACCATTGTATGTGTCGTTTTACGACTCGGAATGCTTTGGTTCGTCTCAACTGTAGCAATGGGCTGTAACACTGGATGCTGCGTAACGTCATCAGACGGATTTTTGTAGCACGGTATTGGGTGCAAATCTTATGAACTAGTTTAAGGTAAAACGTATTCAACTTATAGATTTTTCAGCAAATAACGGTTATGAAATTTGAGTGATCTTCTGAAATTCGGGCACTGGCAGGCAAATCTACCAATTACCATGTACCGGACAGCCGATTTTTATTTTACATCCACTTTACCAAACTCTACTATCTACCAAAAATGTGAAATCAAATTATAAACTTACACGTAGTTAGGTCATTTGAAAGTATGTTTACGATTCCTTGTTTCCTATTTGTATATGACGATGTGCGTTTAATGTTTCTTAACCGAGCGTCATACACTATAGAACTTTCCCAGTGGGCAAATTAAGTTGTTTTAACGTTGAAACAACGTTGAACCATAACGCTGAGAAGACATTGGATAAACGTTGGATTTGAAAGTTGTGTCAACCTCAGATAACAACGTTGTATCAACGTCAGAAAACAATGTTATATCAACCCCACCCAGCGGGAAATTAGCTTGGATGATTTAGCAGTAGGACATTTTTGATGGCTAAATATATACATGTAGGGTATAAATGTATGGCCTTTAAGTTAAAATTTCCAAGGTTTAAATTAATATATATACAGTTATTTTCTCAAGAAGATAACTACAACCTTATATATATATATAATTTTGAAGATAACTACAACCTTCTATATACATATATATAACAAAGTCACAGTCACCGCAGCCTGTCTATCTATAATAGCAGGTTACCAAGAACTGCTAACTCCATCACATTTACAGCAACTTATACATCCTAGTGTTAGCTGACCTTGCAAGGAATTCAGTTTATTGGAATGTATTTCTGAATAACAAGTTAAGAAAATTCACTAGTTAACTAAAGACACAAAACAACTGTCACTTTTACTTTAAAACCCTTTTGTTATTATTTTGATAAATTTAGTTACAGTATTGATAAACAAAGTATCACGTTTTCAATAATTGATATTTTAAATTACAATCCATAACTGCAAGATTGAGTCATTGACCAAAATACAACGTTGATTTTACCTTGAATTTAGGTAGATCAACGGCAATTCAACGTATCAACCTGTTTTCAACGTTTTCAACTATGCCTGCTGGGATTGGAACACAACCTTGGAAATCTTACTAAAGAACTTTCTAGTATTAATTCATTTCCTTTTTTTTTTTTTTTTTTTTGTTCAAGCATGTTCTTTATCAAAATTGAATCATATATATGATAAAATGTTTAAAAAATGTCAAGGGGGGGGGGGGGTCGAAGAAAAATGATTGGGGAAAAATGTCCATGCTGTCAAGTCTGTATCACCATAGACTGTTCAAAATCGTGTTCCCGGGCTCAACTCTTTCCATGTACTCAGCAATGAAGCCTTAACATTTTTTAAAAATTTTATTTGTGACGAGCCAAATTCATTGCGATCTTTCGCCATTATGGACATCCGTGCTTAATTTCCTTTTTCAATATTTTTAAACAATTAATGCATGCTAAACACCGATTAATTGTTAAAACTTTGAAATATTCAAATGATATAACAGTGGTCAATCGCAAAACTCGCTTTATTTTAACACGGAAAAAAATCTCCATCAAGTGGGCATAAAAAACAAAAATCATGCTTACCAAATTATTTTTACATTATCTTGTCATCACATCGGAGCCATACATCAAGTACGCAATAATATCGACCATATCTTGGCAAATATCATCACTTCCCGTCAGTGTCAACAATATAGAGCACATTGCGATCAATACCAGCTAATGCGAAGAGTCGTCATAGAAAAGGTCGTGACACACTTCCTGGAATATTGCATAGATATATGAACGTTGAGGATCCAGCTTACTGATAGTTTAGGCAGCTACATGATTATGAAGACACCAAGAAACACTCAATCAGAGCTGCAAGTAAGTCATTTTAATTTTGGCTGTCGATAATAAACGTTAGCTTGTTTTTTTTAAAGATGAAATACCACATTTATTTGTAATTGGGATAAGTTGTCCACAGCTAATCGCAGTATTAAAGGTTTCTTATAGCATATGTAGTATGGCATATTCAGAAACGATACTCCGCCTTTAAAGACCTGCCTGAGGTTCGTAATTAGTTGAATAACCAATTAAAGAGTATTAGATGACGTGAGTATGGATTTTCACATAAAGCCAGATAAAGCACAAGCAAGCTCGATTGATTTGTTTTCGAGCGAGAAGGTGGGGAGATGAAAACGTAATTAAATCATTGTACGTCTCATAGAACGGTTGTGAGTTGTGTACTGACGGGTATGCGTGGTACTCTCGACAAGGATAGGCCGGCTGGGTGATGAGGTAGTTATTGTACAAAAAAAAAAAAAAAAAATAATAATAATAATAATAATAATAAATAAAAAAATAAAAATGCCGTTGGAACAGAGATGTCTACAGCTAGTGAACAGAAAGAGAAATATCTGTGAATATCTTGTGAAACTCAATCACTCTCTGGCCCCGGTTGAGGATAGGTATGTGATGCACAAACACATCTTGGGTATGAGAACCAACTGGAAGCGTCAGTTCAAATGCGCAGTACCGATAGGATTGTGTGGTAACCAGAAGGCGAGGAATAACAAGATTTTGGTTGTATTTCACATTCAACATATCTTCAAGTATGTTCAGTCTTTTTAGGGCAATAGCAATCCTTTATGCACCAAAACAACTTGATATTGTACATTGGCTTAAACTACGCATTATAAGTGCTAGGTGGTTGCGGGTCATATTGGAGACCGATTTTGCAGCTGCCGAAAACCGTGTAACACGCGTCCTTATCATAAGGTGGTGGTTTAATTGATTTACACGTCGTCCCTTGGAGGGGATTGTACCTCATTATTGTCCAATATTTTTGTAGTCAATAGAAAATACTTGCTATTCCTTGTAGTAATGAATTAATACAGAAAAAGATACTTCTAAATAAACTATAAAGTTCAAGTTTCCAGGAGGAACACTGGATTCGAACCAAAATGTTTCGACTAAAATTTCATTATCTTCTGAATTCATTATTTTATAAAAAAAAAAAAAAAAAAAAAATGTTATCAACTCTCTATAATAGATGAATGGGGGCTCATGTTTCATTACAAATCCAAGACTCCAGAGAATTAATCGATTCTCTTCTGTACATAACATTATTTTTTTATGTTCCGATATTTAATTGTCTCAGTTGCACTTGGAAATTCATATCAAACCCTTTTCATGAAGCTCAATACTATGCTTGTATGGAAAAGTTCTTTCTAAGGTCGATATATTTAACGATATAATATTTAATAATGGCCGTCCCATTCCTGTGGTGTTACATTTTTGGCATCAGGCTTTCTTATTTTCTATCTAAAGTTCTGTAAATTTTCAGATAATATGAGGGGCTATCACTGTGTCATTAGAGCTACCAGCTATGTACATGTAGGCCTACATGTATATAGCTATCAAACAAACATATCACAGCCCCAAGGGAATATAAGAATAGGGTCCATTGAAAGAAAATAGGCCCCAATCTAGGCTGTGACCCATGTGCAATCACTGATGATAGGTCTATCATTCCCCGAAGCTTCAAATTTCTCACAGTTACGGTTTAGGAGAAAATAGTAGAAATTACAAATCGAAAAAAATTATCTACCCCCGCCCCACTGTGCACTATGTACAACCCTGACGACAGGTATATTAATGCCCAAAAGGTCTAGTTCCTCATTTTAAAAATTCACGAGGAGATAGGAGATATTACGAACGCACGAGATAACATGATTTCGTTACTTTTGATACATTAGAGGCTGTTCAACCAACCGGCAGTTTTTGGGGCCTTCCAGTGAATTTAGGGTGTTCAAAGAATATACCATCATTTGCTGTTTTAATAATTTACTTAACTAGGAACTGACCAACACATAAATTTAGTAATTATGGTTTCGATCTGTTTCTTTGGTATTTTGTGCCTAAAAGAACAGAACTAAAAGCTACGTTTAATATCGTCGGACAAATAAGGCACAAGTTTTTAACCAGCTGTCAACGTCACCTAACCTGTGCATCTAAACTACTTTGAATAATTTACATGACAAAGGGCTAAAAAAATTCTTTCGATGCAACACGTGTAAAAATGTTACCTGTTTAAATGATGAACACGGCTATAAATTACTCTTAATTTCTTCACGTTCTATTTAGTCACAGACCCGGATGCAATGCAAGGTTAGGTGTAAAACGTGAAGATACAGACCAAAGGCATCAGCACACTTGATACTCTTTCACTAGCTTTACCTCAAGATGGTTATAAGGTCCTTTTTTACTGCAGTTGTCATTGTGACAGGTAGGTAATTGGGGTATCTATGATACAAGCATTTTGACGGAGTGCAAATGTCTGACATTTTGCTGAATAATGAATTAACAACCACTTAATCGAAATTTCCTTGAATGTCATATTTTGTTACATTACAAGTGGTGATACAATGACGGACAGATGCCATGGCCACTCGAGAGTGTATGATATCACTTTAAGAGCTCTGTTTGAAATACGTGCCCACGTGTGCTTGAAATACGTCGAAGTGTGCTTAAATTTTTCTCTATATAGCCAAAGAACAGAAATAGAAATAGATCATATCATAGACTTATAGATTTTATGGTATTCATCACCACGAGCGCCTTTATTAGGTTGTTACTACGAAGAGCTGAAAAGCATGGGACATTGGCAGTAATTTTCAAACCAGTTTAACATTATCTAAAAACGTCTTTTTCTTAATTCGTAAGGGTACCAAAATATCGCTTTTCATTACTTTTCGGTATTTCGATAACTCTAAAAATGATTTCAACATTTTGATATTAACTCCAGTGTAATCTGCTAAAATGCATACACTTTTAAGGGTATCTGGTGGCGACAACAAAAAGCATCGGGTCGAATCCAGTTGCATTCACCACTGTTGCCACATCTACTGTCAGCTCTGCGGTCAGCCATGCTCAGCAGATTAATACTGCACAAAACAGTGTGACGACGACGACTACGGCCCCTAATAGCAACAGCATAGCATTAGCCACAACGCCTACAACGATTGCGAATTCCGAGTCACCCAATCGGAGCCCAAGCCAAGCAGGATCCACTGTGACTACGACTGCTTCGACTACGGCCCCTAAAAGCATCAGTGCAGCGTTAGCTACAACGCCTACACTTATTGCGAATTCCGAGTCACCCACAACGACAAATGTAACCGTAACCAAGAGTACTTTAGACACTTCTTCGAGGCCTGCCACAGACAAAAGTTCCAGTGGTACAGAAAACGATAGCGGCACAAAAACGGATCATGTTACAGTGGGGGGCAATCGTTCTATCTCTCTCGGTACCTCTGAGCCAACAGCTCCATCCCCAGCAGCATCTGATTGCCCACCAAATGGTACAAGTAACGACCCAAAATGCAAGACTACAAGCACAATCCCCAGTACAAGTAACGATAACAGAACGGGAACGACCAGGGCTTTGACCAATTTGACACTATTGTCCGAGACCAGAGGAAGACCGACCACGCCGATCGTGAAGAATCTCCAGCAACAGCAGTTAACAGATTACGAACACGCTGTTATTGGGTTAGCTGTCACATTGGCGGTTATTATGATCGCTGCAGTCGGCATGGTCATCCACAAGTGTCGCCGTTCAAACATGTAGGTACCTTGTATTAAATGCTGTTTACATTAAAAACTAAAACTGAATAGGGGTTTAAATTACCACAGAGAGAGGAAGTAACGTTTGTGTAAGATATTGCCTTATAACGCCTATTTGGTTTAGATAATACCAAACAAGTTGGTATGATAAGACTCGGTTTTACATTGTACATTTAACATCGTTATATTACAGGTACGGAGTTTTATACCCAGAAGAAGGGTCAAAAAGTCTGCGAGGGCAGTACGCGAGGTAAAAAGCAAACATCAAAAATTTTTAATTAGCTTTTTGTTTATACGTGTCAGTTCCCTAATATAGATTTCCAATAACATTTTACTGAAGAGCGCTGATAGCTACAGTAACATTAAATTCTGCACCAATCTATACCAGTCGGTCACCTATGCCTCTTTTTCAATTTTCACCTTTTTGCCTGGATCAATTCTCTATCGTTCTATTGTTTTGCAGATTCTACGATGACACTATCCTGTAAATGGGCCAATATGGTAACGGGGAAACACCTACGTGGAAAACTGCGATGTGTGGTGTTGGGGAAAAATCATCTGCAAGGGTCAGTAAAAAAGCACCTATGGGACGAGCATATCAAAAGACGTTTGGGGAGCACATAGACTACATGAAATTAGGAAGTTTAATCTGTGGACTATCATATTTCAAGCCTGCCTAATAACCTTTCCAGAACATTTGTACATGGCATGAATGCATATTTACGATATGCCTTCCAATGAACTTGTGTTGAATATTTACTGTAACAGTTGAATCTCTTATCAAAACGAGGGGGTCATAAATGTGTTTGTGTGTGTGCGTGTGGAGTAAAATAAAGTCAAACAAGGAAATATAACCCAAATTTTAAAAAAATGCGTGACTAAGCCCATATATTTTGGTACAAATGCCTCTATAAATATTAAAGTTAAAAGAGGTTAGTATATTGATTTTTTTGTTGCAGTGCACTCCTTTTTGTTTCTTTTCTCGTTTTTTACTAGTATGTGCATATAATTAGTAAAACGTCTTTTATTTAGACATTGCAAGATAGGTTTGTTTTCTAGTGAAAATTAAACATATACACATCCATTAATCAAACTTAGTTGTGAGTATAAATTAATTTCTAGGAATAATGTTCAGTACTTAAAATTTTAACTCGTATCAACTTTTTACCCAAATGAATCCCATGTGCTAATACTATAGAAAAATGTGCCACCAAGGCAATTTTTACATCTTTTAATGGCAGTTCCTCCAGGGCACCAGTATAATTGTTTTTCAATTTTTTAGCCTCTTCTATATCATTTGTTTGTAGAATATCTCTTGCCAGACAACTGAAGGCTTTAATATCTTATCTGGTTTTTAAATTTAAATTTCAATTGTTTAAGCAATCACATACTATTATTATTGTCTATGAAACTATTGCATTAATACATGGGGACATGAAAAGTTATTACAATATTATTGACTTATCTGATTCATTATCCAAGATTTTATTCAAACAAGAATAGAAATAGAATTAAATGAAAATAATTTGCTAGCAGTCATTTCTCATCCCATGTAATAACAAGTATGATAACCAGGTACAGTTAAACAAGAAATCTTAATAAACAGAGATATTTTGTCCATACAGGAATTTTATTCTTTTTACATGGACTGTGTTTTTTAAAATCACAAATGCATTTAAATAAAGACATAAACATCTTCAACTATTTCTGAGTCATTTAAAGAAAGAAATCACTATCATTGCACATTTTCTCATGATAAAGTGCTAAAAATCATGAAGTCAACTACTTTACACCAAGAATAGAAAAAAGTGGTAATTTGAGTTTAACAAACAACAGAAGGATGGTCAATTTGTTTCAGAAAATAATCTATGTTGAAAAAGTTATCCATTCCAGTGTTACTGCAAGGAGGCCTTTGTAAATATCCCATATAATAATAATAATAATAATAATAATAATAATAATAATTTCTATATAAATACTGTATTTTTGGGGGAGGGGCCACCATGAGTAGTACTCACTCTTATTACCACTGATACACTAGTGTCAAAACTGGATTCTGTCATAAATCTCAGGAAAGCAACATTAAAAATAAAGATATTATATAAACATAACAAACAAGAATATTTTAATAAAAAAATAATAATAATCCTAATAATACCTAAGTTAAATAAATAAACTAAAAAAACAAATATGCCCTGGTTGCATACCCCCAAAGCTGATAACACTAGTATTTGAGATCATTGGTAAGTCTGCAAAAGTAAGTTTTAGTATAGATAAATATCTCCTTAAAATCAAAAGTATACAAATCAGTCATCAATACATCTATTAGTAATAAATAACTATATCTATCTATGATTTTCACTTTCATTTGACTACTGTAATAAATGTCTAACTTCAAAGTTCCAGCACTCCTCTCTGTTTCAGCAACACATCTAATTCACATTCTAACTTCTTATTTGTTCCTCTCAAGCCTTTAATAACATTAGCAGACCACTGAAAATATTCCTGCACTCTGTTCTCTGTCCAGCCATTAGGAGTACATCTGTTCAGGTCACGGAGATTGTACAATTTATCTGCTAGTTTGACCAGCTTTGCTTTGGGACTAGAGTGTGGGGCATGTTCAATCTGCTGGAGTTTTCTCTCTGCTTTGGGAAGAGATTTGTCATCAGTCACCTCTCGAACTATATCTGAAAAAAGAAAAAAAAAAAGACAGACAGTTACAGAAAAATCATGGCCAATGAGCTACAAATTCATTGTCAGCTTCATTTCCACTGTTCGTCTTCACCTACAATATTTTAGATACATGTATACTTTAACAAACTGAAACTTAAACCAAAAATGTATAAATTCATAGTACAGGTTTCATACACAAGTACAAAACAGGAAAATTGTTTAGTATGTCCAGTTTCCCATTCATGCTTAAATTTTCATTAAAATAACCTCATTGTAAATCACTAAATACAACAAGAATGTCCATCAATAAATTTTCAATTTAATTTTAAATGACACAAATTAGTCCCCATTTTAAATTTGTCTTAAGAAATTCAAAAGACACTTAAATAGTTTCAATATGCACCCCCTATCTTTAATGGTTGCGAGCGACTTGCGACCACCACGCCTACATCCTTTAACTTATCTTTCTTCACTGACAGGTTCCACTTTCAAAAAGACAGTGAAATCGGAGCACCAACTGGTGAAGGTGGTGTGAGGGGAGGGGGAGCAAAGAGTCTGACAGTTTCTTAGCTTAAAACATACTTGTGACTGCACTCCCAAAGGTCTCCTCTAGTTCCTCAAACGTAGTGTTCGTGTCCTCCACTGTATCATGCAGTAGAGCAGCCTGAGGAAAAAGTTTGGATTGATAAATATATATACACACACCAGGGATTATAATACAGAGAGTGATATGGTCTTTGTAAGCAGTAACATTTATGCCAAAATATCCATTTCAATAAAGGAGCTTGATTGGTTACTGAGACATAATAAACACCATTCTTTCATTTTTAAAGCTCACAATTCAAAATTCACTTTAGTTTCAATGATACCGGTACTTGTATTTCATATATTAGAAAATTTCATTCACTTTGGTAGCATGGGTATTTTATTTCAGTGAAAGAGCATGTACCTTACTGTCACAGTGAGTATTAATGTACCTGTATGACATCTAGGTCTGTTATATCAGCTTCTTCTGTGAGAATGTAAGCCACCCCTAAAATGCAAATTATCAATACAATTTATAATTTAATAAAATATAACTTAATAGAAGGGAAACCAACTCTACATAAAAGATTCTACATTCCACAATAAATCATCATCATCATTGCTCTTCGTCCCATGTGGGACATAAGGCCACTCCACAATAAATACATTGTTTTAACCACATACAGAAATATCATAAATTCCATTTTACTACCAGGAAGTTATGGCAATTATTCTGTTTGCTGTCATACCATGTAGAGCTTCAGAGGCTACCCTTTGTAACATTTTATTTGTCTTAAGCGACCACCTCTTATTTTACAATGTTGTAAGCGACTTGAATAATACACGTGTGTTCCAGCATGGCGGCTTACAGAGTTAGCACGTTTATGTTACATGGTGTCAGAAGTTAAACTTTTCCAGCTATTTNCTTTTATTATTGTCTATGAAACTATAGCATTAATACATGGGGACATGAAAAGTTATTACAATATTATTGACTTATCTGATTCATTATCCAAGATTTTATTCAAACAAGAATAGAAATAGAATTAAATGAAAATAATTTGCTAGCAGTCATTTCTCATCCCATGTAATAACAAGTATGATAACCAGGTACAGTTAAACAAGAAATCTTAATAAACAGAGATATTTTGTCCATACAGGAATTTTATTCTTTTTACATGGACTGTGTTTTTTAAAATCACAAATGCATTTAAATAAAGACATAAACATCTTCAACTATTTCTGAGTCATTTAAAGAAAGAAATCACTATCATTGCACATTTTCTCATGATAAAGTGCTAAAAATCATGAAGTCAACTACTTAACACCAAGAATAGAAAAAAGTGGTAATTTGAGTTTAACAAACAACAGAAGGATGGTCAATTTGTTTCAGAAAATAATCTATGTTGAAAAAGTTATCCATTCCAGTGTTACTGCAAGGAGGCCTTTGTAAATATCCCATATAATAATAATAATAATAATAATAATAATAATAATAATAATAATAATAATAATTTCTATATAAATACTGTATTTTTGGGGGGAGGGGCCACCATGAGTAGTACTCACTCTTATTACCACTGATACACTAGTGTCAAAACTGGATTCTGTCATAAATCTCAGGAAAGCAACATTAAAAATAAAGATATTATATAAACATAACAAACAAGAATATTTTAATAAAAAAATAATAATAATCCTAATAATACCTAAGTTAAATAAATAAACTAAAAAAACAAATATGCCCTGGTTGCATACCCCCAAAGCTGATAACACTAGTATTTGAGATCATTGGTAAGTCTGCAAAAGTAAGTTTTAGTATAGATAATTATCTCCTTAAAATCAAAAGTATACAAATCAGTCATCAATACATCTATTAGTAATAAATAACTATATCTATCTATGATTTTCACTTTCATTTGACTACTGTAATAAATGTCTAACTTCAAAGTTCCAGCACTCCTCTCTGTTTCAGCAACACATCTAATTCACATTCTAACTTTTTATTTGTTCCTCTCAAGCCTTTAATAACATTAGCAGACCACTGAAAATATTCCTGCACTCTGTTCTCTGTCCAGCCATTAGGAGTACATCTGTTCAGGTCACGGAGATTATACAATTTATCTGCTAGTTTGACCAGTTTTGCTTTGGGACTAGAGTGTGGGGCATGTTCAATCTGCTGGAGTTTTCTCTCTGCTTTGGGAAGAGATTTGTCATCAGTCACCTCTCGAACTATATCTGAAAAAAAAAAAAAAAAGACAGACAGTTACAGAAAAATCATTCCTGATGTGCTACAAATTCATTGTCAGCTTCATTTCCACTGTTCATCTTCACCTACAATATTTTAGATACATGTATACATTAACAAACTTAAACCAAAAATGTATATATTCATAGAACAGGTACACAAGTACAAAACAGGACAATTATTTAGTATGTCCAGTTTCCCATTCATGTTTAAATTAACCTAACTTCATTGTAAACCAATAAATACAACAAGAATGTCCATCAATAAATTTTCCATTTAATTTTAAATGACTCAAATTAGTCCCCATTTTAAATCCGTCTTAAGAAATTCAAAAGACACTAAAATAGTTTCCATATGCACCCCCCAACCCTCTATGGTTGCGACCCCTATGCCTATACATCCTTTTTCTTGTATCAACAGTTTGTTTAAAATTATCCATTCCAGTATTAATGCAATGACCATCTAAAAGGGTAAATGGAAGGTTCCACTTTCAAAAAGACAGTGAAATTGGAGCACCACTGGTGAAGGTGGTGCCAGGGGAGCGGAGTCTGACAGTTTCTCAGCTTAAAACATACTTGTGACTGCACTCCCAAAGGTCTCCTCTAGTTCCTTAAATGTAGTTTTTGTGTCTTCCACTGTATCATGCAGTAGAGCAGCCTGAGGAAAAAAATTTGGATTGATAAACACACATACACACACACACACACACACTAGGCATTATTATACAGAGAGTAATTTGTTCTTTGTAGGCAGTTACATTAATGCCAAACCATCTATCCATTCCAATAAAGGAGCTTGATAGGTTACTAAGACATAATAAAACACTATTATTTCCTTTTTAAAGCCCACAATTCAAAATTCACTTTAGTTTTCAATGATACTTGTATTTCATATATTAGAAAATTTCATTCACTTTGGTAGCATGGGTATTTTATTTCAGTGAAAGAGCATGTACCTAATTGTCACAGTCAGTATTAACGTACCTGTATAACATCTAAGTCTGTTATATCAGCTTCTTCTGTGAGAATGTAAGCCACCCCTAAAATGCAAATTATCCATACAATTTATAATTTAATATAATATAACTTAATTGAAGGGAAACCAACTCTACATAAAAGATTCAACATTCCACAATAAATACATTGTATTAACCACATACAGAAATATTATAAATTCCATTTTACTACCAGGGGGTTATGACAATTACTCTGTTTGCTGTCATACCATGTGGAACTTCAAAGGCTACCCTTCAAAAACCACACTTAAAAAAAAACCAATCAACTAACTCTGAATGTTGGAATGGATTAACCACTGGAAATGGGTAAATGAAAATATAGTCATTTACCCCTCGAAAATCTGTTTTATGGCACTTTTACCACCTATGGTAAAAGCTCCACATTTTCAAAAAACGACCCCCCCCTTTGAAATTGCTCGCCATGGGCCTGTAATTAATCATTTTTTTTGCAGCACACCTAATCATACTTATAATATTCAAAGAATATGCAGATCAATAGTACAAAAGTAATGTCAGCTTTCATTACAATTTTGCATCATTCATTACATCTCTGATCGTGTCGACACAGTAATTATTTACCACGGTGGGCTGACTTTAAAAAGAATGCTGACTAAACATACATGTAATGCCATCTTGCTCTTATTCACTGTTAGAGTGTAGATCTATTAATTTTAATCACGTCTGCGATGAAATGCAGGCGTAGATCTGACTACTGGTACAAACCTATGGGATGGTTGATGTATGGGGTTTGCTCTCGGTCCTTTCGTCTTTGTTTACTGTGTTTGAGAGCGGCAAAATTAGTACATTTGATCAAAATCTGTGCTGGTACCCGATCCATTTTATGATAGTTTGCTTCGGTTGTGTTTTGTCTCAACTACAGCATGCAGGTCACCACAGTAACGTGGATAGTTTGTTCCATGTAAGTTTTCCTTCAAATTACAATATAAAACTGAGCGAAGGGTACAAATATATTGATTAACTGACCCTTCGAACCGTGATATACGAAAAGGACCGACGTAAGAGGGAGAAAATAAACGCAACGTACGACTAGCTTCCTGACCCTTGTGTGGAACTCGTTTTCAACCTTATCCACGAAGCTGTATAACGTTATTTTTGTCCAACAACGAGGCAGCATCTCGGAGACAAAAAATCACGCTCAATCCGAGAGAAAACGAGAGTTAGTTAGTTCTAGCTTAACTTCCGGGTGTCGTATCTGTGTATAGAAATTAAGATGCCGATTAGCACGATGCTCACTGCGAATAACTTGGTCTCCCATATTCCTTAGCAGTCTTATCCAGTATATAGGTAAGTGTAAATGCTATGTCTAAAATCCAAGGTTAGAGGAAGATAACGAACGCAGGAGCACGACGTCAAATGCCTCCACCTGTCTCGAGTCGCACTCCCAGCATTTGCGGCTATTGCCACTGCACTCGGCAATGTTAGCTTACTGCTGCCCACCCCGACTTACATTTATGTTACATGGGGATTGAAAGAGCTACTTATGGGACCAGTCATGAGGTTGTGCATATTTTTTCAAGGAGATGCAGAGGGTTTATGAAGTGAACTGAAACAAAATTGTTTTAAGTGGTTGAGTAGTTATCAAATTACCCTTGTTTCGATACAGTTCCTACCCTAGCCATTGTGGGAAACCACATTTCAGTTTGCTAAATCACAAGATTTTCTTTTGAAATACTGCCAGCACCAGTGCAGCCACTGTCCTGTGTACCTTGTCTTGGGTTCTATTTTTTAAAGCCAGTTTATCATCAGAGGTAATAACTGTAGCTTACATGGAATACATTTCAGAATATCAAAAAATAAAAATGATTTTCTGATATTTTGGTCACAAATAGGAAGTGATGATATCTTCTTTTTAACTGATCTGGAGTTTAATTAGGATTGAAAATTCAAGAGTGTTGTTACTTGAATACTTTTACGTATTGATTTTTTTTAGCTTGGACAAAGTAAGAAGAGCCCCACTATTTAGTGGTAAGGTTTAAAAAGCCTTGAGAAGCACCCTATAGAGCAGTATGGTATAAAGATGTTATCAGCATTAAACAAATTAGTGGCGTGAAAGCTCATGGCAATGTAATAATTTTGTCTTCAGTTTTTCTGTTCTGTTCTGTCTGCCAAACAAATGAACTTGAGGCGTTGTTTAAGAAGAGTAAAGGCACCAGTCTCTGGTTTCCTAGTGTAGTAACTTCACCTAGAATGATATGGCTTCAATAATCTTATATGATGTATCTGACCCCAAATAACAGGCCTACCCAACTACCAGACTCGGCACTGAATGATCCCGAATTTACTGGTAGATCAGACCACACCACCCGTTTTCAAGGTTATGTCAGTACACATTTCGCAGTATCATACCCCGGAACAAATTTTGAGATGAGATGCACTACTTTCCAACCCCGCTGAGAATCATCACTATCACATTGCGAACTAGGCAAGTGCGGTGGAAATGGAAATCTAATGAGGGCCTCACTGCCTACACAACATCATTCTAGTTGAAATCACTGCTAGTTGGCAATAAGAGAAAATACTAGTAACCACATTGCAGAAAATTGTTTTTTTTCTCATATATATGTTTGGTTGTAGTAACTTTGGTCGTCTTGATATCATAACTTTTGTTGAACATCTGGTTTTAAAGCAGTTTTAGCAGAAAATGAGGGACTTTTGCAGCATTCCCCACACCATGTAACTTTGTGATATTCAATATCTTTTCTAAATTAATTTGTATGGTGACTTTGAGCAAGTAAATTAGTTTGGCAATTGATTTACTTATTTTGATATATTCCTTACATGAAGCTTAATGCCTTCCAAATATTATTAGAGCCAAGCTTATCGCTGTGGTGAAAATTTGCTATAATCTAAAAATTAAAGAACTTTTATTAAAAAAAGATAATAAATAACTCAATAAATTTCCAAATGAATTAATTTGAATAGTATAGAGGCTGATGAAAGTCACCACATAACTTTATTTTGATTGAAAATTATACCCCCCCCCCACTTTCACTATCTAAGGAAACGAGTCTTTTTCATATTTAAACTGAAAACATGCACAGAAAAAAAGGAAATAAGCATTACATTAACTATCCACTTATCAATTGGAAGTGTACCACATGGCTGTTGGGTTGTGATAATTTGAGTTTTTTTCATGTCGAGTAAAAATTGCCTTCACTGCCAAGAAGAAACTTTTGAGCATGTAAGAGGGATAATAAGAGGAAAGCAGCATGACAATAATTACAAAAAGTGGGGTTTATATTATACAGGCCATCTGGTAAATGTTGTAAGGCCATACGCGTGGATAACAGCAAACTGGTTTTCTTTTTCCTTTTTCTCCTATTTTAGCAGTGGCAGTTGTAGTATTAGTAGTAGTGAAAGGTCCTTGCACATTGAAGGATTTGTCATATTTTCAGGCAATTCAGTGTAAAACAGATCACATAAAACAGAAAAAGAACAACACTAACATCAGGTTTTGGCAAATAATGTATACCTTGTATATTTAAGATAAATCATTTAGACACCATTCAGATATCTTCTCAACAACAGTGAGACTTTTCATCCATTAATAGATCCCTTTAAAATTGCATGGTGCATGGTTATAACTTACACGTTAAATATTTGTTATAAATACAGAAATGTGCCCTAGTTTAAGTTTCTCTCATTGATCTGTATAAATGATCTTCAAAAGCATTGTAACAACTATTGAACTGGGTAGGAGTTAGTGGGGCTGATGAAAATATGAAAATGTTCACCCTTAGAATTTTGAACAAGGAGTTCTAATGTAGATCCAAATATTGATTTTAAAAAATATGTGTGTGTGTGTGTGTGTGCGTGCGTGTGTGTGTGTGTGTGTGTGATGTATATAGCTGAAGTATAAATGGATAATTAATATTATGTCAAGAGGCAACTATACATGCAAAAGGTTAATATATATGAATTTTGGATCACCCTTGATATATTGCACTGGAATATCTATTCTTTTGTCATTTAAATTGTTTGTACAGAGCCTGCTTATTATGTATAACATTAGATAAAAAAGATTTTGCATCAATAAAGACTGTGGGAAGTTAGATAAGGGGCTCAGTTAAAGGCCCTAGTTTTGATGGATGAAGATAATGTTGAATTTAAATATGTGCATTTCTGGTTTTATTACCTTAGCCTTTGCAATAGTATTTAATCTTTATTGCATGCTCCTCTGGAGATAGAATGTTAATAACCTTGGGATATCTTTGTAAGCACATCGAGAACTCCATTAAATTGAAGTAGACACACTGTAATTTTTTTAACCTGTAGTTGTTTTCCTGATTCATTGCTGTACGTCACAAAATGCCATTACAGAGTTCATCCAAATACAGTTTTCAGTGTAAAACATTTATAATGATATAAAGTTGTGCTATCATTTTAAGCTGGCACTGGTGAAAATTGACTATCCTGTCTTGTAAACATTTTGATAGCCATTCCATGGGATCGTAGGATCCGCACCTTGTTTATTTAAGTCAGTTAATTTGGTTTAATTGTGAGCCTGGAGCCAGGGAACTCTGAGTGTTTCTCCAGTTGTATGGAAAAGAAGAAACATCTCATCAGTAGGGTGAAGGAGAATTTTTGTTGTTGAGCTACAGCTCATCGTTTCTAGTACAAAATCAAGCAGTTATAAAATAAGGGTTTTACTCAAAATAGCATTGTTTGACAAATATATTATAAGGATGTTTAAAAAGACGGCCTGTGTCTAGTCTCCTACTCCTATAATTATCTCTGTAATGATTTATATTTTCTTGACAACTGTATCATGGGACTTCAGTTGTACTTAGAAAATTTGGCATTCAATCCATATGTTTGAAAACTGTGTTCAGTTTATTGCTGGAAAGGTATGTGTACACACTTTACTTGTAGGTGTCACTGTATGATTCATCATGGTTTGTGGAATTTTTTCAAAGGAGACATGGTGGAATTGATAAGTATTGTTATTTACTTATACCCACTTCTATACTAAGAATAGAAGCGGGAAAACTTTAGGTGTAAAATGGTAATGATTTACAATGGTCTGTTGACCTTACTTATATCTTATGTCATTTGTGCTGAATTTGAGATACAATGTAAATGTTCATGAAGTAATTTTGAAAAATGGTAGACCTTATTATTGCTGGATACTAAATCAAACCTCTGATGAATTTGTTATGATGAGTCACCAGTCTGAACAGTCTATCACTAAGAGACCTGGATTCCATTGGAGAAGAAATCTTAGTCTTTGATGGCTTTATTCTAAAAAATCTTGTCTGGTTAAATTGTGATCAGAAAGAATATCAAAGACTGTTTATGCATTATTTTACAGCCCAAGAAGTAAGTCCCAAGACCAAAACCTGTATCTTGACATGAAGTTCTCCTCAATTTTCTTTATATATGTTAGCTGTCTTTGGTGAGATGACTACCTTACTTTAAGTGGGCTAATAATTTGTAAAATAGCCTGAGACTGCTATCGCTCAGAAGACTTGGTGTAGTCAGCTGCTAGTGTTTTGAAGACTTAATGCAATCAGCTAGAGATAACCCTGTATCTGAGGTAACAGGTCTCATAAACGATAATTGCGGTTTCTGATTGCATATGCTGAAATAATGACTCAAACCACAAATTCATGATGCTAATGAAAAAATAGTGGTTCTCATCTATCACATAAAATATCACAAAGTTTTTGGCCAGGTTTTATACAGATTTTATACTTTTATCTTGCTGTTTAAATACAGATTTTTTTCAACCCAAACTATTTTCAGTGTCCTCTTGAGAATCTCTAACATGCACAGAACAAACAGAACGTGTAGGTAAATGGATACATGGTTCATGAAATTATGGTTTGGGTCGTTAATTTAGCAAGGACCCGCATTATTTCAAATTGTGGCTGACTACTAGGGTTGGACAGGGGATGATGAATATGATAATTTTTTTGCGATATTGATATAGGCCATTTATCTTTCATTTTATGTTTTAAACATTTTAATTGTTGTCAAATAAGTTCAACAAGAAGAAATCCATGCACTTAGAATGCATTTTAAATCCTATTATTTGCATCTTTAAGCATGCTTAAAATTTTTGAGTTTTGTAAATTGTGGATATGGTATTATGATTCAAAAAAGTAATAGCTTAATATTTTGTTTTGCTGGTGTCCAAAAACTGTTTTTTGATAAGAACTAACATATCGCCTGTAAAGCTAGAGGTCTACAAAGGAACACTACATCACTGTTGCTTGCCTCTTTTAATACTATTCCAATCAGCACACTCTATATTGATGACTTGTCCTGCTTCTGCAGCACTGAGAAGTATTCTATAACAATTGATCATGTGTCTCATGCTTTTTTTTTCCAGGGCTACCGAGTAGTTGCAGATATTTTCATCTCTATATAATATATACGTGTATGGTAGGAGAATCATGGGGAACTGCCTAGGGAAGGAGGAGAAGATCAAGACACAAGCACCACCCAGTAGAGAGGTTGCCCAGGGGGAAAATGGCTCGGTTGTGTTAAACCCGAGCAATGTAACAGTCACGTTCAACAATCCTCAAACAACCAACAGGCCCTTGCCTGATGTGCCAAAAACAAAACCAGGTAAGTTTCTATATGTATAGATCAAACAAAATTATGTCAGATTTGTATAAAAATTACGAAATACATTTTTTTTGTGGTGCACATCGTCTTACATAAGCTTGGACAAGTAAAACTTTTTATTCATCCAGGTACTGACTTAAGGTTTTTTTATGCCATTTACTTATATGCCAAAATAACAGGCACCTGTATTAAAAAAGAAATGAGCTGTCAAAAAATCTCTAAAAATGAGAAAGGGAAGTGAATGAATTTGATGAAGACCCTGAAAAGATTCTATATTTGATGCTTTGAGTATTAAGGCTTCAAAAGAAGATGTGCAGTTACAGCAAAACCTATCAAACATATAACATAACCAATATTGCTCAGTGGTTCCTTGGTTGAGCCACTGCTGTTGTTTTATATGCAGACACGGAATGTTTTTGAATAGATACTGATTTGCTATGTCTGTCATTGTCACTTTCTGCGGTGCTGTCTTACACGTTATTTGTGTAGTACTTTAAATTTACTTTGTCCCTTTGTTTTATAAAATTCTTGATTCCTTTAGAGATTGTCATGATGGGGTAATTTTTTACTTAAGTTATTGAATTTTTAGCATTTTTACATGTATTTTGGCAATTTTTGCCCCATACATGTCAAGTTGTATCTATTTTCATTAGTTCATATTTGCTGAGTGGTTTTGTTTTACAAAAATACTGGTTTCTTTTAAAGATTAACATAATGATGTCATATTTTGATGGAAATTGATTATGTTATACACTTAAACTTTTCAATTTCTACACTTACTTGAGCTATACCTAAACAAAGCTTTGGATCGCTAATGTGACCTTCCTCAGTGCGTGTTATTCTGAGACCGTATTCACAACAATGGCAACCCGCTTAAAAGGTTGCTGTCAAATCTCCTTATATACACTGAATAGATTCCCCCATTGGATTACGCAGCAAGCATTCAGGTGGGTCTATCATATTTGATCCACGGACAAGTTAGTCTGCTGTTGTGAATGTGCCCTGAGACTGAGCACTCTTATGAATTCACTAGTGTCTCAGTAATAATGCTGCCCTATATGTGAGGCAATTGATGTTTCTCCATGTCTCCATTGAGGCTGTGGGCACAGATCTGTATTCTGTCTAAATGTGTCTAAAAATCCTCCCCCCCCTCTCTCATACAGTGATGGGTCCTTGTCCAAGAACTTTATTGACTCCTATGGGATCTGATGCCCTGGTTTCTCTGAGTAAACATATTTAGAGTCCTCTGATGTGGTGGAGCTTCCGTCTCTTATGTTGACTTGACTTGTGTTGGTTGGTGCATTGTCCTTGTGAAGTTGATTTTGTTGGGGTATGCCTCTTCCATAAAAAGTTGTATCAAAACAGTTGTAAGCAGCAATAAGACGCTACATGAAATCAGTAGCTAGGACATACATCAAGTGTGGTGCATTTCACTTTGACTGGAAAATGTATGAGGCTCAAAACAGTTTCACATCCTCTTGCACAATTTTCTTAAGTGGTTTACTGTAAAAATTGGATAATTTTTTCCCATGTTTACCAAAATTTGCCCATTTACTTTAAAATAGAGCAATGGAAATGACTGTTTTTCTATTTAGTATCAGTATATTTGCTAGCTTTGCTGTCTAGAAATTATATAAATTGGGCTTCTGTGAAGACCAGACATTTTTAACAAGTGTATTCCACCCTCTGCAATTACTCACTGTTATATGAATGAGAGACCTGTTGTGTTGATTGGCCTATTGCATGTAGCCATACAGGTATTACTGAAAGGCATTTCATAATAGGTAACAGGAGGCTCCCCAACAAAATATTGTTGCTATGCAATCAATTAAGGAGATGCATTAATTTTCAAAACAATGAAATTTGTCACAAAGCCACAAAGAAGAATTTGCTAGCTAAATCTCTTTGCCTGTCAGGGTTTGCTGTGATCACATTGCCTTCAGTGTCTTTGACAATGCTAATGGGATTCAGTTGGCACAAATGTGTGCTCTTTTTGGTGATTATCAATGTTACATTTCAGTATTGTTTTCTCTTCCTCTGCATTTATATGCTAAAAACTGCAGTGCAGGATTTCTGTTTGAGCAGAAATCTGTTACAGGCTGTACAGGGAACATGTTATCAAAGACCAGTCCAGACTTAATCTGTGTTGTAGCCTGTAGATTGAAGGCATTCCTTGAAATCTAGAAAAATGAAAGTCTCCTTTTGATCCTGTGTGTGATAGCAACCTCATGACCTACTTATGCACAACACCTACTTGTCTGCTGGAGCCACACCTGCCCTTCAAAAAGGGTGACTAACTGGAAGCTTGGAGTTATTGGATAGCGTGCCACTGATATCTGCATGACAGTTTTTGTATTCAGCTACCACTTTACATTTCATTCTATCACACGTTTACGGAGCATTCTTTACCAAAGAAGTGATTGTATTGCAGTGTTATAGCATATATTAATCTGATACTGCACCAGCAACTGAACTAATGTGATGCAGTAAACATTTGAATTGTCAGAATAATAATAATTATTATTATAATGATGATAATAATAATAAAAGTCTATTGAACTCATTAAACACACATGATCCATAGTATCTCAGTCATTAAATGTTACACTTTTCAGTGTTTAAAAGATAAATCTTAAAGGCTGTTAATCTTTAGCACCTGTTATCTCAGACTGAAAATATAGGTCTATCTCAAGTGCATATCTGTCAGTAAATCAGACCTGTACCTAAGTGCAGTATATACCACTTCAGTTTATAGGCACACACTTTCACAGTGGCTATACTAATACATCATCAAGTGGTTGTGATATGATAGTTAATACTGTTGTTGAACTTATAATGCATGCTCTTGTTGTGTTTTGAAAAAGAAAATAGCACTGCATATTATTATTATTATTATTTATTATTATTGTCAAATTTGCTAAATGTATTACACTTTGACTATGCACCTTTTAGCAGCAGTAAGACATTTATCCATACAGTACATAATGTCTTGTTATTTACACTTTTGTTCTTTCCTTTATAAATTGTATGGGTTTGTTTTTATTTTGATTATATTTTCATTTATTTTATTTTGATATATTTAAATAGATTAGATAAATTATATTTTTTACTGCATCTTTGAGATTAGTGTTTCAGCTTATGTATGTCTTTAACATTGAATTCTTAACATCTTTAAGTTATTATTATTTTACAGAATGCATAAACGTATAAATGTTTTATTTAGTAGTAAGTCTACTTCATAGCCATGTGTTAACCCCATAGAGCCCGTCACCGCATATGTGCGGTTCAATTATCGCTTACCCCAAACGCCCAGAACCGCATATGTGCATATGTTGGAAAGATCGTCTTCTGTACTCTTTTGTATCGTGAGTCATGAAATGATATATAGTTTAACATCCGGGTATGTTTCTTGTCTCTCATTGCCACCATTTTTAAAGGCGATAGAAATATATATGAGCGAGAAAACGGCGATTTTCAAGACTTAGTTGGAGAAAGTAAAATCAAGATGGCGGCTCCTCGCTACGGTAGGGACCTGCGAAGGGATACTGTTATTGAAATGATTGAAAATCCGGACTTTGAAGAGAAGTTTTCGTGTGACAGTAACATAGACAGTGGCGTTGATATTCATTTATTTATGATATAAAGGATGATAGAAATATATATTNACAGTGGCGTTGATATTCATTTATTTATGATATAAAGGACGATAGAAATATATATGAGCGAGAAATCGGCGATTTTCTAGACCTAGCTGGTGAAAGTAAAATCAAAATGGCGACTTCTCACTACGGAAGGGGCCTGCGAATGAATACTGTTATTGAAATGATTGAAAACTACGACACTGATAAGGTGTTTTCGAGTGACAGTGATATAGACAGTGGGGATGATATTCCTTTATTCATGATATAAGTTTTAAAGATGTTTTTGTCATAGATGGTGTAAAAATTTGACTTCTATTCAGCTCTGGCCACGATGTTCAGGTGAGCTGAAAAGCTGGTATACCTGATAGCAAAACGATCATAACTTGAAAATTGATAGAGATAAATTGCTGAAATTTCCTGGATTGAAAGTTACTATAATTGACATCATCCCTGTGAATTTTCAGGCAAATGTATGTAGAAATAAAAAATTGATGTGCATAAGATAAATCAACTTTGTTTTATTTTACCCATTACCAAATGAAAATGTAGTTTTTAACCGGCTATAACTTTTGATACTGCATGTTAAATTTAAATGTAATTCTATTTTCATTTACCCTGAAATATTGGCTTTTTAAAAATGTATACTTTGTATGGGTAATAAAGGCAAACAAATAAATTATGACCAATTTACTGAGGTGACCCGGCTTTTCAAGGCTAGCTCACAGAATTAATTGGGCACAGCAGAGCTTTATGGGTCAGCATTAACTGGATCCTATGGGGTTAAGTGAGGGGAGATTTACTACAAATGGTGTTTCTTGCATAACCCACCTTATGCCATAGTGATTTTCAAGGCATTACTGCATGGCTGTGACCTGTTCATTTTTCCACTTCCTTAATATGAGGATGTAATTCATGAATTTAAGACATTGATATTTTTAATTTGAGAAAGTAGCTTTACGTCAATTATATAATGACCATTCTTTTTAAATTTCCATCACTGCCATCTCACTGGATTTGTCTGACATTCATGTTTACATTTTCATTTTCTTTATTGTAAATATAATAAAATACAAGTATATTTATATATATTTGTAACTTGTTATTGTTCCAGGGGCCTACATTGTTAAAGCTTTATATGACTATGAAGCAAGGACAGAGGATGATCTCAGTTTTCACAAAGGAGACAAAATGGAAGTTATTGGTGACAGGTAAGAGCAAGATCAAGTCAGTTAATGTTTAGTCAAGTCATAATTTGTGCATGATTCATTAATTCAGGGAAAATACCAGGGTATTTTTCCACCTTTTGTGAAGTTCAAGGAAGTAGGAAATGCTCATTTCATTGAAAGATCCTGATATGATTCATATTTTAATTTGAATAAACTTGAAACTTACATACCATTGTCTAAATTTTTGAAAAAAATATTAACTTTTTTGTGGCATGTTAATTTTTAGTACAACCTCACTTTGATTTTCACTCAGGAAAGACAATTATATCAATATGAGCATGAAGTTGTGCGGACACTTCAAAGCTTTGTTGCACCCAAAATGGACAGTTTTGTTATGGATTGACTGCTGTTTGTTTGACACTTGTACAGTTACTTTTTACATAGGAATGATTAATAGCTATTAAGATAACATAAAGATTATTGCAGGTCAGAGACAACGACCACAGTTTGCACCCCCACATGAAGAGTTAGTTGTCATGTAGATGTGTTTAGGATGGTCACCATTGGTTATTGAATTAAATATTTGCTGCCAAAGTATCATGTGAGCAAGGACAGTCGTTCAACTCACTTCTTACATTAAAAATGCAAATTTGAATACATTTGAAGCTTAATTTGACAACCTGAACATAAAGTCTTTATGCATACTCACAGGGATTTGTATACACTGTGCCAAATTTATCAACTGTCAGAGTTCTCTATTGCTCTTTGATAGATGAAAGCAAAGCTACTGAGTCACACACATTCCTTGGATATGCTGTACAATTTTTTTGAAAAAACTACCAATCACAATTTATTTTTTTTTGGTTGTCTTGGTTTTTAAGTATTACATCCCACGATCTGTACAAAGAGCCATGGAGATATTGAGGTTAGATAGGCAGCAAGTCTGTGGACATTGGACCAGGAAGTCTTGTGTTAACCAGTTATTTCATCCCACCTAATAAGTAAACCCCTGTGCCAACTAGACTTAGGCTGATCAATTTGTGTACACAGCTGATAAGATTAGACGCGGGGTCATGTTTTTTGCTGATTTAGCTGAATTATAAAGACAACTCCAGTAAAACTTCTTCAGAGATGAATTTGTTGTAAATTGTTTAAAAGTACAGAAGTAAAGAAGTTTTCCAGTTCATCAGAGATTGGAATGGTTATAACCAATAAATTCAGGATAAAATCACTGTATTCAGCATGTCAGCAGTCTTTTAAATTTCATTCCTTATGCCAGTCTTGTTTAGAGAGTTGGCTTGAATCGTCTTGTAAGCCCATATATGTAGAACTCTGTGAATCATAATGTAGGTTTGGGCCTGTATGTGTAATAATAAGGGATTTATTTACTGCTTTACTTAATACTTTTTTCAACAGTAGAAAAGAACGGTCGGACACCTTGTAGCCAAGTACTATTATTGCATTGATTTACAAAGTTAAATTGATAATTCTTTTGACCTATTGGTCTCTTCAACAGCTGTGCTGTGGCTTATGAAAATTAAGCATCTGTATGCTCAAGTCTAAAAAGGTTACAAAGTAGAATAAAAAAAACAGGTTTTTGAAATAGCAATAATTAATTTATTTCAAGAATCTATGAAAATTTATAAACCTGCACGCCCAAGTTAACATAATTTGTTTGTACATTAAACCAAATTGGTAAATCAGTATGTGACTAACCCCAATTTTTAAGGAATCAGATGTCTTTTTTTGCTCTTAGTTTCTTTAAAAGGGAAAATGCAATGGGCACAGGTTTGTTAAGTGGAAGTTTACAATGGACCCTAGGAAGAACCTTAAATTCTGTTGTTTTTGTACTCTAAAATTACCCACACTGGTGATTTAACATTTCCTCCATCCTAAAAGATACCCTGAAATTTATCGGCTATCCTCATTAAATATTGTATCTTTAAATCACCATTAACTTTTCCGTCTGCATCCAGAACTGCATCCAGATGTGTGCCTATTGCATTCTTCCATCCCTTTTTGTTGTCTGGGGCATCCCATGGTGTCACTGTAGAAAGAAAGAAAAACATTTTTCGACCAACCATAGAAAGTCACCACTTGTTAACTTATTTATCGGTTTTGTCTGGCCTTTGAGTGGCTTTTTTATTATAAGGAGTGGAATTTATGGTATCTGATGGCTGAACTTGATGAATCTATCAGAGGAAAGGAGTGTTACAGAGGAATTATTTGCCTAGGCCTTGATATGTAACCTTACCACACACATTGGCAATATTGTTTTTTTAGCACAATAATATATGACAGATCATACAAATTCATTTTATGTGAAATTAAAAAGAAATATCAAAAAAATATTTTCCAGTTTGGTTTATATTTGAATAAAGAAATGACTCAGAATTAAATTTCTCTGTCTGAAGTTCTGTAAATTAGCACAGCTTCAGCTTGACTGCTGAAGACATGTTTATTGTCACTGTTTTATTACATACATAATATAAAATGAGGTTTTCTTTTTCTTTTTTTTTTCTTCCAGTGAGAACATGGATTGGTGGTTGGCCCGTCATTTGGTGACAGGAGAGGAAGGTTACATTCCCAGTAACTATATCACTAAAGATGATGATTCCACAGAGTCACAAGAGTAAGTCTGGCGCTTAGTGCCTGTATTACAGCAGCCTGAATGGAAAGCTTTGTGGTGTTTTCTAGGAAACAGAAGATAAAGTTACATCAGAGCCATGCTTCGAACTCATAGATTCAGCTGAATTGATGCTAAATCAGTCATGTTACAATTATTGCTCAACATTATTTTGTACATTTATCATGGTGGTGGTCTGAAAGACTAATGTTGGTAATGGAAATGAGTTGAAATGTGCACCAGTGTTCAAGACCTCCAACATCTTTATTTGTCTTGTGCTAAAGTATAGATTTTTAGCTGGTGTAGCAGACAAAAAAGTAGATGACTGTACAGTCGGTGCAGAATGACTGCTTACACATGGTTATTTTGACTGGATCAAATCGATCTAAAGGTTGAGTCAGAAAACCTTCTGTGTATCTCCTGAGATAGTGATTGTTTGTTTAGAGCTTCTGTGCTTTCACAATGATAAAATTACATCATATCATTTGACTCACCGCAAAACCAATATACACTGGATTGTATGAATTGCTTCTTGTGGCATTTTTACAGACAGGCACTGTAAGACACTATATATTGTTTCACCTAAGTCTGTCAGTTTCATTGCCATGCCTCCATCATGCCCAAATGTCATTGAATCAATTTCTTTTTTATAAANGTACAGAAGTAAAGAAGTTTTCCAGTTCATCAGAGATTGGAATGGTTATAACCAATAAATTCAGGATAAAATCACTGTATTCAGCATGTCAGCAGTCTTTTAAATTTCATTCCTTATGCCAGTCTTGTTTAGAGAGTTGGCTTGAATCGTCTTGTAAGCCCATATATGTAGAACTCTGTGAATCATAATGTAGGTTTGGGCCTGTATGTGTAATAATAAGGGATTTATTTACTGCTTTACTTAATACTTTTTTCAACAGTAGAAAAGAACGGTCGGACACCTTGTAGCCAAGTACTATTATTGCATTGATTTACAAAGTTAAATTGATAATTCTTTTGACCTATTGGTCTCTTCAACAGCTGTGCTGTGGCTTATGAAAATTAAGCATCTGTATGCTCAAGTCTAAAAAGGTTACAAAGTAGAATAAAAAAAACAGGTTTTTGAAATAGCAATAATTAATTTATTTCAAGAATCTATGAAAATTTATAAACCTGCACGCCCAAGTTAACATAATTTGTTTGTACATTAAACCAAATTGGTAAATCAGTATGTGACTAACCCCAATTTTTAAGGAATCAGATGTCTTTTTTTGCTCTTAGTTTCTTTAAAAGGGAAAATGCAATGGGCACAGGTTTGTTAAGTGGAAGTTTACAATGGACCCTAGGAAGAACCTTAAATTCTGTTGTTTTTGTACTCTAAAATTACCCACACTGGTGATTTAACATTTCCTCCATCCTAAAAGATACCCTGAAATTTATCGGCTATCCTCATTAAATATTGTATCTTTAAATCACCATTAACTTTTCCGTCTGCATCCAGAACTGCATCCAGATGTGTGCCTATTGCATTCTTCCATCCCTTTTTGTTGTCTGGGGCATCCCATGGTGTCACTGTAGAAAGAAAGAAAAACATTTTTCGACCAACCATAGAAAGTCACCACTTGTTAACTTATTTATCGGTTTTGTCTGGCCTTTGAGTGGCTTTTTTATTATAAGGAGTGGAATTTATGGTATCTGATGGCTGAACTTGATGAATCTATCAGAGGAAAGGAGTGTTACAGAGGAATTATTTGCCTAGGCCTTGATATGTAACCTTACCACACACATTGGCAATATTGTTTTTTTAGCACAATAATATATGACAGATCATACAAATTCATTTTATGTGAAATTAAAAAGAAATATCAAAAAAATATTTTCCAGTTTGGTTTATATTTGAATAAAGAAATGACTCAGAATTAAATTTCTCTGTCTGAAGTTCTGTAAATTAGCACAGCTTCAGCTTGACTGCTGAAGACATGTTTATTGTCACTGTTTTATTACATACATAATATAAAATGAGGTTTTCTTTTTCTTTTTTTTTTCTTCCAGTGAGAACATGGATTGGTGGTTGGCCCGTCATTTGGTGACAGGAGAGGAAGGTTACATTCCCAGTAACTATATCACTAAAGATGATGATTCCACAGAGTCACAAGAGTAAGTCTGGCGCTTAGTGCCTGTATTACAGCAGCCTGAATGGAAAGCTTTGTGGTGTTTTCTAGGAAACAGAAGATAAAGTTACATCAGAGCCATGCTTCGAACTCATAGATTCAGCTGAATTGATGCTAAATCAGTCATGTTACAATTATTGCTCAACATTATTTTGTACATTTATCATGGTGGTGGTCTGAAAGACTAATGTTGGTAATGGAAATGAGTTGAAATGTGCACCAGTGTTCAAGACCTCCAACATCTTTATTTGTCTTGTGCTAAAGTATAGATTTTTAGCTGGTGTAGCAGACAAAAAAGTAGATGACTGTACAGTCGGTGCAGAATGACTGCTTACACATGGTTATTTTGACTGGATCAAATCGATCTAAAGGTTGAGTCAGAAAACCTTCTGTGTATCTCCTGAGATAGTGATTGTTTGTTTAGAGCTTCTGTGCTTTCACAATGATAAAATTACATCATATCATTTGACTCACCGCAAAACCAATATACACTGGATTGTATGAATTGCTTCTTGTGGCATTTTTACAGACAGGCACTGTAAGACACTATATATTGTTTCACCTAAGTCTGTCAGTTTCATTGCCATGCCTCCATCATGCCCAAATGTCATTGAATCAATTTCTTTTTTATAAATCATTTATGCCTGATTTTGTCACTGATGTGAAAACCTTAAGAAAAATCTATTCTATGGTGAACAGTTGTGAGTCATCAAATGTAATTATCTAGAGTCATAAATGGATTATCCATCATTATGTTTTTTAAAAACAATTTCTGTTGTATCTCCACGAATTAATTTTTTTTCAGCTGGTATTATAACATAGACAGAAGAGAGGCAGATAAACAGTTATTGCTTCCTGGCAATCCAAGAGGAACATTCCTTGTCCGTTCAAGCTCAGGTATATAAAAAAGGGAGGTGGGAGAGAAAAAATGTCTTTACTGAGACTTTTTTGTGTATTCAATTTTAATTAAAAATAATACATGTCCAAACTCACACCTTATAAATAATCTAAAAAACACAAAACACATATTTCTGTCTTTGTTGTTTTGTTAGATAATAGTCGGGTGTTACGGGTAGATTTTTTTTGAAATTTTAAAGAAAGGTCAAAAATGAGATAATTTAGAATCAAGTGGATTTGGTGATCCGTTGATTAATTGCTTTCTAATAATTAATATTGAACTGCCTTAGAGGATCTTCAGTGAGAGCTTTTCTCGTTTTCACATGTCATAGATTTGGATCCAGCAGTTGTTTGCAACAGGTAACATGTATATGTATATATATTTTTTTAATTTGGGAAAGTGAATATCTTTCATCTGAAAAATTGGTTAGAACAGAATTCAAAAGTCACTATAAATCTCTTTCCAGACAAGAGCTCATATGCACTGTCAGTGCGGGATTTTGACATGAAGAGCAATGACGTTGTCATTAAACACTACCGCATGAGGAGGCTGGACAATGGCGGCTTTTACATCAGTCCCAAGAGAACATTCGGGACCATCACAGAGTTGATCAATCACTATATGGGTGAGCAGGGCAATACTGTTTTATGTGGAAAACAGTAACAATCTTCATTAATTGGAACACTTCATTAATTGGAACAATTGTCTACTTTGTCAAGCAGTGTGTTTTTTTTTAACTTCTTAAACCTACAACTTCTTTATAGTCAGTGTTTTAGGATCTATCTTTTGGATATCATCCGCTTATTATTGGAACTCCAGATGTGACATTATACAACATATTAGAAACATACTATGAAGTCTCTTATTCATCACATTACTGATTTCAGAGGGATCTGATGGCCTTTGCTGTCAGCTTACAAACCCATGCCCTAAGATACGTCCAGTGGTGCCTTTTAGAGAACTGGAAATCAATAGAAATTCCATTAAATTGATTAAAAAACTAGGAGCTGGGAACTTTGGAGAAGTATGGGCTGGTAAGTGAATAGAAATTGCTTTACATTAAATCCTTTCCCTTCTTGGGCAGGTCAAATCATTTCTTATTACATTTGAATGATGAAACACAAAGTTTCTGATTGATATTAGAGAGGAGTGAGACATAATGTGACAATCTTTGCTGAATTCAATTTATCCAGGGGTTTGTTGAAAGTGTGAAAGTGGCAGCCTGTGGGTACCATCAGCTGGCTGCTGTTTTGATTACACAGCACAGGCATGGTTTCCACATGGGTTTTCATCATGTTTGATAGGGCATTAGAACATCCCAAAAAGACAGACAGAAGATATGATTCACCTTTGATAATTGCTGTGTCTCTGTTTCCGATCATTACTTAACTTTGAGATATTTTTGAGATTTTTTTTCCTATTTCCCATTTTATATCCCATTTCATGTGTTTGACCAAGATGTGTTGTATTTCCAGGCAAATGGAAGAATGTGGACACAGCAGTGAAACTACTGAAACCTGGATCTATGTCAGCAGACGCCTTTCTGGAGGAGGCAAAAATTATGCATAAATTACGGCATAACAATTTAGTCCAGTTGCTAGCTGTGTGCACAGACTCTGAACCTATATATATAATAACTGAACTTATGGTCAATGGAGCTCTACTGGACTACTTAAGAAAAGATGAAGGAAGAGCTTTACGACTTCAACAGTTTATAGATATGGCTGCTCAAGTATGTCTGCTTCAATGAATGAAAGAATGAAATTGGTATATACCAAGCTGCTGGATCTGTCATTGAGTTGATTAAAATTCTTGAATATCTAGTTTAGATGAAACAGTTCTTCTATGAATTAGAATAAGAAGGCAAAACTTTCTACGATTTTAACATTTATAACAATTATTCAGAACTTTTGAGTGTTCATGATCAGCATTACATATTAAATTGTCATTATTCCTATTGATGCTACAACATTTTCAATTTGAATGTTTCAGATTGCCTGCGGCATGGCATACTTAGAAGAGGAAAACTTTGTCCATAGGGATTTACGAGCTGCCAACATTTTAGTTGGTGAAAACAATGTAGTAAAAATAGCAGACTTTGGTCTAGCTAGATTAACAGCAAAGAAGAATGATGATGGAGAAGAAGAAAATGTGTATGAGGCTAATGAAGGTATTGAAATGTAATAATTTAATTTACAGAAACAATGTTTTGGATTAGAAGTTCATTATTTTGCTTGCCAGATTCGAAAAGTGATCTAACATGACTGATGTTCAATAAAGGTGATCACTCCAATGGATATGCACTAAGCTCCCCAGATATCATCTGGAAACTTTTCTGTTTATATACAGACACAATATGTATGTTGGAAACAAATAACTTGGAAGTTACATGCTTTACATCTTAGCAAATATATAGAAATCTGATTGCTAATTAGGTGCAACCATAACAGTTATGATATAAAATATTAATAAATCCTGATGATTTTTTCAGCCACAAAATTCCCAATCAAGTGGACTGCCCCGGAGGCAGCATGGGATAGGCGGTTCACCATTAAATCCGATGTCTGGTCATTTGGAATCTTACTGTATGAAATGGTCACATATGGAAGGGTACCATATCCAGGTAAACTGAATTCTGACTTTAAACTTAATTTCAAACTTTATTTCACAGATCTTAGAAATAAGGGAAGGTGAGTACATTTTATTCTCTGGTGCATGGGTCAATATTGTGATTTCAAACTTGGGAACACACTATGCGTAAGAGACTGCCAGAACATGCTGTTGATCTGGACTCGGTAATGCTACTAACAGAAGAGTTACGGATCAGGTTTTTTCAAGATAACTTTGGTGTCAGAAGTTAACATGAGCTCACTTTTTGTGTCTCAGAGATTGACGTCTTCACAGTTTCCAGTGTACCAGCACAATTTGGTACAGTCTCTTGCATCCTTATGATACCTTTAAGGGTAATTCCATATCAAAATAACCAATTTTTTGAAAACAGCAGAACCCCTAAGATTTGCTGATTTATTTTACTAAGGTTAAACATACATGTGTAAGGAGGTTTAAGGTTTGCTTTTAAAGGTAAAGGTTGATTCTATAGCCTTATATTAGTTCCAGAAAAACAAGGTCAGCTATTTTTACAGTTTTATGCCTGGTCTTAATGGATCTGGTCAATGTGTACTAACCTGTGTGGGGAGCACAAAAGACAACAGTGTAAATGTGGCAATTTTTGAATTGATGTGTCTGGAAAGTAGCACTATGGCACTAATAAATATCAGCCACATTTATCACCACTAAAATATTTTTTAGATAGTGATGAAAAATAACACAAACTCTATCTTGAGAGTTAGTGCAATTGGTTGGATGTTGCAGGTTTAGAGTGCTGAAATCATTATTTTTCAAGATAGTATATTATTAAAAAAAGAAGTGTATCCTTTTTTGCACCAAAGTGTTTAAAAGCACAGACATATCTGAAATGGACAATTGGTTGAAATGATATGGAATTACTTTTGTGATATAAAGATGCTTAACAATAATTTGCTAGAAAGACAATAGTCCATCTTTATATTATTTTTTTCTATCTCTTCTCCCCCATCAGACCCATTCTGCTGCAGTAAATTTTGCATTAATTATGAACTGCTGATTCATGGTCAATATCTTTAAAATAACTTGTATAATATCACCTTAAAAGGCCCTTTTTAAGGGTAAAGGATCATGCAATTATTATGTAGAAGGAAAAAAAATGAAATGCATCAGAAAAGCAGTCTTGCTTAATCAAACTTCTCTATGCATATAAAGGCGGCTTGTTGATTCAGCTTAAGGGGACAGTTCATGGGATTTGAAGGTTTTGGTAATTTTTATCATGCCACTTGTGGGGATATGTACTAGTTACGACACAAGTTGTCCACTGCGCCTCGCTAGAATTACGCTCTTGTATGTCGCATACAGTGGATGACAAGTAGTTGTAACCGACTTATACCAGGGTTGGCACCTTGAACAATAGGATGAGCGCACTTAAGTGTATGAAAATATAGGCAAGCCTGTTTGTGAAATATAAGTGCAATTATCGTTTGAAGCGCCAGCGTTGGTATAATTACTAGTACTTGTTATAGGAAGGTCTAAAGGATTTTAAGTCCAATGAACTGTCTCTTTGATAATTTTGCTTGTAGGTATGGACAACAGGACAGTACTGACCCAAGTAGAGAGAGGGTACCGGATGAAGAAACCACATAATGATGTAATAGAAGTCCCAGACTCGCTTTACGAGATGATGTTGAAAACTTGGGCCAAGGAGCCAGAGAACAGGCCAACATTTGCATATTTATACAGTTTCTTTGATGACTACTTTGTGGCCACAGAACCAGGATATAAGGAGACAGACAATTATTAAATGAATTAGTAGGCTTGATATAAAGGCAAGGATATTCTTAGTGTCAGTTGAAATATTATGTGTTGCTTTGTGGTGGTAAAAGGATTGTAAAGCCTAGATTATAGAACTTGTGGGATCGTTTAAAGTGTAAATAACAAGTAGCACAATTTTTGAATTCATTAAATACAGTAGATAATAAGAAATTAAATGTTTTAGCACAACCATGTAACAAATTGATATTTGCTTATTGCTTCAAAGTAGCTATGTGACTTTCATTTATTTTCATTATCTTTTATGGCTATATTTATGTTTTACTAACTAACCCTCAGGAATGTGTCTTCTGCAGTGGTTGCATTCTCCTTGCACTGCTTTTACTTGAGAATGTGAATAGTGGTGTTTTTGCTTATAATTACAAAGAAGAATGTAGATAAAAGTTGCATAATACCTACATTTGTTTTTTAGGACTAAAAAATAAAGAGGTAATGAAACAAGTGCAGCTTGGGTACAGAATGCCCAAACCTACCTCTCCGGAGTTCACTGTACCAAATGCCTTGTACGACAAGATGCTGGAGTGCTGGAAGGCGGACCCTGAAGAAAGACCATCATTTCATGAGCTCTTTGCTTATTTCACAGACTATGCTATTGACATGGGGGAAAACGAAAATGGTGATGAGGAATACAGAGGTCCTGAGGATTTTGGACATGATTACGCTGAAACCCCGGAGGAGGAGGAGATAAATTTGGGGCTAACTTACTGAATAGTAGTCAATATGCCTTTATTGCTGACTGTGGTAAGCAAATACCACTAAATGACATGTAATGTGTGTTATACCCTGTCTTGACAGTTGTGAAAACTTGCCTTGCATGTGTTTTGCCTCTGTACAATGCATTGCTGAACAATTACAATTATTGCATTCACAATACAATATTCAATTAATAACCATTTGGAGTTTAGACAAATGAGGAACACCATGATTTTCTGAGGTATCCCATTGAAGTTTTGCTACTTGAGACAAATAAATTCATAATTTATTGATATTGTTTTGAGTATCCTGTGGTCATTTGAAGTGGCAAAAGAGGCAGGTCTTTTTATCAAAATACATCAATTTTGTTATTGATAAACATGATACATATTACATGAATTGCCATGCTTAAAGCAATTTAAACTGCATAGGGTACAACTAGCATTTAAGTTTGGCGCAGGGTCTTAAAATGGCTTTTTAAAAATTTCATCTATCTAAAGAACATTAAAATGTGTTTGGATAAAGGGTCTTGAATGATTGGAAAAGACTCCATTAATGGGAAGACTACATTGATATTGGGAGTGAAGCAAATGTTTAATAAAGGCAATCAAAATCTGTTTAAACCTTGGTGCCAGTAAATTGCCCCCTTTATCTGTATAAATAGCTTGTGAGTAATTGCTTTGAAGAACGGGTTAATTGCATTTGAGTGAGCTTTCAAAATGTAAAATTCTTTCTAAGATTATATATTATTACGGTAACCGCTCTGATGTTGCTTGAATGTTAGTTTCATTTCATGTTCAATGCATTGAAAATGAAAGCTAAACCCTATCTTTAGTAGTTACTTGTAACTTTTCACATAAATTTGGTAAAATAAATCATTTAACGTGCAAATGCAGCTGGATTAAATTTAAAAGCAAGGCATTATTTGTGTTCTTTCCACATGTTTCAGATAAAAGTTTTGGAGATGCCAGATTTTAAATGTTTGTTGTTATTTTGATAAAAACAGTCCACATTTTGCTGAACTTTCAGAAGTTAAAAGCAGCCTTATAATTCTTATTTGGTATGCTAGAAACAGTGATAGAGGTTTCCCAAAACTGATATAAGGCAACTGTTATTTCTGTGGTACATAAGGCACGGTTTTCTAAAGGTGCGCTGTAGGGATAACAGAGCAGTTTTTCTTTGCATTTATGCATAATAGCAAACAGTAAGAAGTACAAGAATGCATGTTTTTATATAACATTGACAAAATAGATTTGATAGAATGCCAACAGGAATAATGAAGGCAAGTAGGGATAGTTGTATCATATTTACATCCTGTATCCACTGATTTGAACTGTGTATTTCTTTCTACTTAAAGCTTTTGTATAGTATTTTGTACATAATAAATTTTATGAACTCTGCTTGAGTAAAATGTTGAGAGAATATTGACATTTAGTTACCTATGTATAAACATATATCTATATCATTTCTTATATATTTTATATATTATAAACAATATTATCCACTTGTAATGTTTGTTAGTATTTGTAATGCATTGTACAAAAGTGACACTTTAACATTGCATATACATATATTTACATGGAATATGTTTTGTTAATGCCTCACAAAAAATCTTCAACATTGTATTGCACTTCTGTGTGTGTTGTCCTGAAGACAGGAGTGTGTGAGGAAACTGTCTGTCCAAAACTTCTTAATAGCAAACTGGACTATCACCTGGATAAGCCATTGCTTTAACACTGGCTGAACATACACATTTTTGTTATAGCTAATGTAGTATCTGTGAATTTTGTTTTCTGTATTGTGGACCATTTGTGTGTTTGTTTGGTACAAATAACTTACGGAGTTTTTAGTGGTAATTTGTGGTACAATTAAGAAAGATTGCAGTGGAGATGGAGTAGTTCTTGTGCTGCTCTGCAGCGTGCTGGCAGTACTTACTTCTGTGTAAATGTGGCATTGTGAATTGAAGTGTCTAGAAAGTAACACTGTCCGTCAGCATTGTCAAAATTACTTATTTTGCTGCAGTTGGTATAATTTTATTGTATATTTATGTTAAATATACAGATACATGTACTTGTAGTATTGATTTTACGCAAGTAGGTTGGAATGGAGAGGGCTCAAGAAATTAGTTTCTTGTAAGCTTTCTTATCATTGTTTGTAAAAGTCATTTCTGTTTTCACCAAGTGCAATTGGAACTGTTCATAAATCCTAAATTAGCTGCAGCTTTATTCATTGAGAAATCCTATCCGAGCTGTTTTGATTTTTCATGTTTCTATGTAAAAGAAAAATTTTTTTGTAAATTGCATATTTTGAAAATTTGATTGTGGTCTTACAGTATACAGACACATGCATGAAACTGTCTTATGTTTTTATGTTCAAAGTAATAAATAGATGCAAAGTATTATTGTACATACTCTTCTATACAGGATAAACATATTATTCAGGAACATTGTATACTCATACAGTCAAGTTTCTGGTCTCTTCCCTAGACCACATCATTTGTTTATCTTTCCAGATTTAACTCCAAAATACATTGACTGGCTTTTATTGAAAGTTTTTAATAGCAGTAGGAGGAACAAATACCTTTTTGATATCCTGGATTATTCACCAATAGATGAAGGTCATATAACTAGATGAAATTTAAGAATCACTGTTTGTGTATGTAATGCCAAGTCTAATGACAAAAAAAAAAAAAAAAAAAAAAAAAAAAAAAAACAAATTAATTAATTAATAAAAAAATTAAAAAATTAAAAAAAATTAAAAAAAAATTGAAATTTGTTTTGAAACTGAGTTTAGAATGATTTTAGATGTCCCTGCAGAGGGCCCTTCTTACTCATATATTGTCACCCAAATTTATAAGCCATAGCACAATGTTTGATTAATCTGGATTGTAACATCACATAGATAATAACTGAGATTACTTGAAGGATGACAAGATGTCTCTTTTCTGATGAAGTGATAGGAAAAAAGTGCCATGTCATCAATACTTGTCACTTTTTATCGTGCTGAAACTAGCCATGTTTCATGTGAAAAAAAAAGCGTTTGCATATAATGATGTAGTCTAAACTATTGCTTTTGCTGTGCAAAAAATATTTGGGCATCACTAAAACATTAATTTCGACAAGTGCTCATATTCCAAGTACAGTATTTTTCAGACACACCAAATATGTTCATTTGTTTTTCTTTCTTATTTTAGATTTTATGTTTCTGGGTGGCAAAATTCACTCGAACACATTATTGATCAATTTTCAAAGTTCGAAATATTTGAAGCGCGAGCACACTTATCACTCGCATTTTTGTGGTTTGGAGGTCGTAAATTTCCAGAAAAAAATAAATTAATTAATACTTAGGTGCTTTTCTGTCCTCTATGTTGTATACATGTATATTATTAATGAACATCAAAGTAAATAAAAATACAGTAGGCTTAAATGTTATAAGTATTAAAATTTTATTTTGACTCCCTCGATCTCCCCTTTTTACTTCCTTTCACTATTTGTATTGGGACCGCCAGGGAGCGAGACACGCCGACGTTACTTTGTTGAAGAAAAATAGTCAATAAATAGACACAATTAGAATTGTCTGTAAGAATTCGTAATAACATAGATCTATTACCTACGTATACATCAGAAAGAATTCACAGTTTAGATTACAAGACGTTGTATTGGTGAGCAAGTGCTCTGTGTTACTTGATTAATTATTGCTCCCTTATGTTAGGATAGGTGGCGCATAAATCAATTTTGTGCGGCTATGTGTTGATACTTCCTGGTTCTGCTTCACGGGAAAGTTTCGGGCAAATGTACTGTCGTCTTCTAACCATCTCCTGCGTCCTTGAACATGTCCGGTACGACGTCTAGGTGAGTATATACGATAGTTGGGACGTTTGAGGTATTTTATAGTGTATAAGATAAGCATTATGATAACTTTTTGTCTGATTTATCAACTTTCAACTTTAACGTTATAGATGTTCTCTTACAAACTTTTCACAAGTTAACCAACTTTTGAAGATGAACTAAAAAGAATGTAGTCACTGACCATTTACAGCAGTTACATATTTAAGGTACATAGAAAATGAGTGTATATATATATATATTCAAGTTAGCACTATTCTAACATCGCTTAATTGTTTTCAGTTTTACTAGAAAGTGTTTTAATAATTAATTGATGCGATAGAAATAAATCATTTCGTGAAAACTGGGAAGTCAGTGGATACCTGGTACATATACCCTTTCCAGATTTTTTTATGGCAACAAAATTCCAAGTTTTAATTGGCACAATTTCAATTAAATGCCTAACATTTTTGTTGATTGAAAATGGCGTTAATTACTAGTACATATATTACAGTATACAGTATACAGTATTCCACTTAATACAATGTATATATGTTGACTAAATATATATTTTATTTACATTTGATAATTGAATCATCTCTTGGCGCTTTTCTTGTTTGGCCCAATGAGCTAGATATTACTGTATTAGACCTACCATTGTGGAAAGAAAATGTTTTTGCTCCATGGCTAGCATTAGCACTTACTGCATGGAAGTGGTACTACATGTAGTATATGAGAAGCTAGCATGTACAGTAATTCATTCTGAAAAGTCACAGGAGGGCTGTTGAATTATGTAATCAATGTAATAAAACCTGACATGTATCATTGTGGTGCATATACTAGTAGTGTATTAGATCACAGAGAATATGAATATAAGGTAGGGCAGATGTTATCTTCATAATTTATATGAGGACAATATATGAAGATGTTTTTAAAAGAAGCGATTATTAAATTGCACAGAATTTCATGTACTGTATATATATATATTTATGGAGAATTGTACTATATGTACTATATATATATACTATTCATTCTCTCATTTCTTTTCTAGGTTACCCTCCCTGTGAAAGAGAATTTAGAAGGAACATACATGAGTCTAAAGATACCAATAACCACAGTGATATAAAAAAGAGAAGGAATTACTAGATTATTATATTGCCATATATATGGGCTAACACTTTTAAAAAAAATGGGGTGTGTACCAGGAAAACCCAAAAAGACGGCTTCAGAATTGGATGTCTCTGCCAGTAAGGGCTCTCAGTCTGCAGAAGTCTCACGTAGTGATCCCACACGCTATTCCAAGGATCCAACCAATCCTTCCCAAGCTGGAGGTGTCAGTCCCACAGAGGTCCAAGTCTCAGTGCCTCCAGAAGTCAACAGATCTTTCTCTGGGGGTGAGTGATTATAATTAAACCATCTCACTATCTTTTTTTTTCTTTTGATGGGGAAGTCTTTTCCATTCAATTCTTTCCTTAGATAAGCAGTTGGCTTTGTTAATAGTTATAAGTTGTGTTTTGAATTATATTTGTAAGTTATCGAGTAAAATGAGCCATTATTATTTATATTATTTCTATCAGTAATTTGATGACTTCCAAAATGATCTTGTGCTTGACTATTAGTAACATGTAGCTACATATAAAAACTTATCCAGTTTAAAAGGCCTTTTGACATCAAATGTTATGATACCGATTGTTATATCTTTGTTTACAGCTGTATCATTATACTTTTGGAGGTTTTAATATTACAGGAGACTTTTTAAAATAATTCTCCATAAATTCACTTCCTGCTTTTTAGGCAGAAGCTCATTAATAAAAGTCAACTGAGCTTAAAACACAGCTGGCAATACTACCCGCCAGCATATGAGACTAGAAAACTTAATGTTCACAAAACAGATATCAGTTATATTGAAAAAATTAATGTTCTGATTACTGACAAAAATCTTTTAAACCAAACTTTTGCAAAATGTATCTTCAGTGCATTGCAAATCAGAAGTGAAATTTGAATGTCCAGCACCATTACTTTTCTTACTTCTGTGATGTGCAAGCTGGATGTCTTTCTCTTTCTTTTCTTTCCTTTTTTTTTTGCATCTGATAAATGTATATTTTTTTATATTATTTGACAGCACATGTTGCTTCTATGAAAAATTATCTGTCAACCCTCATCTTATGTAATTAAGAGAAAAAAGGACCACAGGAACTATGTCTGTAATATAAATTGATAGTCATGATGAATTTTATCTTTTTTAAATCTAAATATTTGCTGATACCTGGATCAGTTGCTGATTTGATTCAAATAGCAACTTTTGGAGCCTAGATTTGTCTTTTACATGCTAGATATATGTGTTCACATACACAATGTGATTGAAGTAGAGCAGACATACAATGATGCTTTATCACGGATGTTTTCTTTGGCTCAATCTCAAGAACCAGGAAGCTTTTCCTTGACAAACAAGTATTGTCTGTTATTGTTAAATGGTATAATATGCTTATATTTGTTTTCACTGCCAAATATTTTTGATCTTTCATTACAAAACAAATGTGCCTTTGACATCCTCTTGACTTCATTTGCATAACAAGCAGTATGGTATTTGAATATAAGGATTTACAGAGCTTGAAAGTACTTAATTTTAATGTTAAAAAATGAAAACTATCATTAAAATCATTAATTTGATTAAAAAAAACTAATAAGCAAATAGTCAAAACTGGCATTGGTTTAGTTTATTAGACTATGGTTGTCCTTGCCACATGCTAAGAAATTTCTGAACTTCCATGCTGTGGAAGTTATAACTCTGGTTCAGCTTCCTAGGCAAATACATACTTCCTCTCTGATAGGACAAGGGCCAAGTGAAATTTTTCATTCCTTATCTGCTGTCTCTATGCAACATAGATAACCTTTTCTCTCTTTATCACATGTTAGTCCAAACTATGTATGTTATTAAAGCAGCCTTAACTGGAAATGTTTCCTACTTAACACCAAATGGACAGTCACTGCACCTTGAATTAAGTTGTTTTGTTTACTTCCTGGTTGTAAATTGTTTTAACAATTTATAATTAAAATTATAAAGATACGGACCCATTTGAACAGGGGTAGAAGTATTTCATATGATTATTTTATCACTAAATCAATACTTTGTGTTAACAGTTAACGACCTGAAGTTGGTACCGTTGCTCTCTGGGGACAATGTTTTAGGGTCAGATTCTAGATTTGGGAGCACAAATGTATAATTAATTAATTAATCAAGTGGTGGGCTTGTGGCAACTAATTTTATTTTACGGGTACTTAATTTGTGGCTGAAATAGTTAATATCTGTGCTCACAAATCTGAGGCTCGAATTAGCAAAGGCCTAATCTGTAATTAAGGCCAGAGTGAGCAATTTTTTATGTACAGACACAGATGTGTCTGTACATATAGCCATCATCTGCGTCTGTCGTCGCCGTCGCCGTCGTCGCCGTCGCCGTGCACTTTTACCAANTGCAGACACATGCATGAAACTGTCTTATGTTTTTATGTTCAAAGTAATAAATAGATGCAAAGTATTATTGTACATACTCTTCTATACAGGATAAACATATTATTCAGGAACATTGTATACTCATACAGTCAAGATTCTGGTCTCTTCCCTAGACCACATCATTATTTAAATGCAAGCTGTCCTTTTGTTTATCTTTCCAGATTTAACTCCAAAATACATTGACTGGCTTTTATTGAAAGTTTTTAATAGCAGTAGGAGGAACAAATATATTTTTGATATCCTGGATTATTCACCAATAGATGAAGGTCATATAACTAGATGAAATTTAAGAATCACTGTTTGTATATGTAATGCCAAGTCTAATGACAAAAAAAAAAAAATTAATTAATTAATAAAAAAATTAAAAAATTTAAAAAAATTAAAAAGAAATTGAAATTTGTTTTGAAACTGAGTTTAGAATGATTTTAGATGTCCCTGCAGAGGGCCCTTCTTACTCATATATTGTCACCCAAATTTATAAGCCATAGCACAATGTTTGATTAATCTGGATTGTAACATCACATAGATCATAACTGAGATTACTTGAAGGATGACAAGATGTCTCTTTTCTGATGAAGTGATAGGAAAAAAGTGCCATGTCATCAATACTTGTCACTTTTTATCGTGCTGAAACTAGCCATGTTTCATGTGAAAAAAAAGCGTTTGCATATAATGATGTAGTCTAAACTATTGCTTTTGCTGTGCAAAAAATATTTGTGCATCACTAAGACATTAATTTCGGGGGCGTCTCGATAGTCCGAAGGTTCATTGGTCCGAAGGTTCATTGGTCCGAAAAGTGGTAACATTTTCATCGATTTTTTAATCAAGGGTTCATTGGTCCGAAGGTTCTATAGTGAACATTCGGACCAATGAACCTTCGGACTATTGAACCTTCGGACTATCGCTACGGCCCCTTAATTTCGACGAGTGCTCATATTCCAAGTACAGTATTTTTCAGACACACCAAATATGTTCATTTGTTTTTCTTTCTTATTTTAGATTTTATGTTTCTGGGTGGCAAAATTCACTCGAACACATTATTGATCAATTTTCAAAGTTCGAAATATTTGAAGCGCGAGCACACTTATCACTCGCATTTTTGTGGTTTGGAGGTCGTAAATTTCCAGAAAAAAAAATTAATTAATACATAGGTGCTTTTCTGTCCTCTATGTTGTATACATGTATATTATTAATGAACATCAAAGTAAATAAAAATACAGTAGGCTTAAATGTTATAAGTATTAAAATTTTATTTTGACTCCCTCGATCTCCCCTTTTTACTTCCTTTCACTATTTGTATTGCGACCGCCAGGGAGCGAGACACGCCGACGTTACTTTGTTGAAGAAAAATAGGCAATAAATAGACACAATTAGAATTGTCTGTAAGAATTCGTAATAACATAGATCTATTACCTACGTATACATCAGAAAGAATTCACAGTTTAGATTACAAGACGTTGTATTGCTGAGCTAGTGCTCTGTGTTACTTGATTAATTATTGCTCCCTTATGTTAGGATAGGTGGCGCATAAATCAGTTTTGTGCGGCTATGTGTTGATACTTCCTGGTTCTGCTTCACGGGAAAGTTTCGGGCAAATGTACTGTCGTCTTCTAACCATCTCCTGCGTCCTTGAACATGTCCGGTACGACGTCTAGGTGAGTATATACGATAGTTGGGACGTTTGAGGTATTTTATAGTGTATAAGATAAGCATTATGATAACTTTTTGTCTGATTTATCAACTTTCAACTTTAACGTTATAGATGTTCTCTTACAAGCTTTTCACAAGTTAACCAACTTTTGAAGATGAACTAAAAAGAATGTAGTCACTGACCATTTACAGCAGTTACATATTTAAGGTACATAGAAAATGAGTGTATATATATATATTCAAGTTAGCACTATTCAACATCGCTTGTTTTCAGTTTTACTAGAAAGTGTTTTAATAATCAATTGATGCAATAGAAATTAATCATTTCGTGAAAACTGGGAAATCAGTGGATACCTGGTACATACACTGTATACCCTTTCCAGATTTTTTTAAGGCAACAAAATTCCAAGTTTTAATTGGCACAATTTCAATTAAATGCCTAACATTTTTGTTGATTGAAAAATGGCGTTAATTACTAGTACATATATTATATATTCCACTCAATACAATGTATATATATATGTAGACTAAATATATATTTTATTTCCATTTGATAATTGAATCATCTCTTGGTGCTTTTCTTGGTTGGTCCAATGAGCTAGATATTACTGTATTAGACCTACCATTGTGGATAGAAAATGTTTTGCTCCATGGCTAGCATTAGCACTTACTGCATGGAAATGGTACTACTGTAGTATATATGAGAAGCTAGCATGTACAGTAATCCATTCTGAAAAGTCACAGGAGGGCTGTTGAATTATGTAATCAATGTAATAAAACCTGACATGTATCATTGTGGTGCATATAGTGTATTAGATCACAGAGAATATGAATATAAGGTAGGGCAGATGTTATCTTCATAATTTATATGAGGACAATATATGAAGATGTTTTTAAAAGAAGCGGTTATTAAATTGCACAGAATTTCATGTATATATATACTATTCATTCTGTCATTTCTTTTCTAGGTTACCCTCCCTGTGAAAGAGAATTTAGAAGGAACATACATGAGTCCAAAGATACCAATAACCACAGTGATATAAAGAAGAGAAGGAATTACTAGATTATTATATTGCCATATATATGGGCTAACACTTTTTAAAAAAATGGGGTGTGTACCAGGAAAACCCAAAAAGACGGCTTCAGAATTGGATGTCTCTGCCAGTAAAGGCTCTCAGTCTGCAGAAGTCTCACGTAGTGATCCCACACGCTATTCCAAGGATCCAACCAATCCTTCCCAAGCTGGAGGTGTCAGTCCCACAGAGGTCCAAGTCTCAGTGCCTCCAGAAGTCAACAGATCTTTCTCTGGGGGTGAGTGATTATAATTAAACCATCTCACAATATTTTTTTTTCTTTTGATGGGAAAGTCTTTTCCATTCACTTCTTTCCTTAGTAAGCAGTTGGCTTTGTTAATAGTTATAAGTTGTGTTTTGAATTATATTTGTAAGTTAGCGAGTAAAATGAGCCATTATTATTTATATTATTTCCATCAGTAATTTGATGACTTCCAAAATGATCTTGTGCTTGACTATTAGTAACATGTATCTACATATAAAACTTATCCAGTTTTAAAGGCCTTTTCACATCAAATGTTATGATACTGATTGTTATATCTGTGTTTACAGCTGTATCATTATACTTTTGGAGGTTTTAATATCACAGGAGACTTTTTAAAATAATTCTCCATAAATTCACTTCCTGCTTTTTAGGCAGAAGCTCATTAATAAAAGTCAACTGAGCTTAAAACACAGCTGGCAATACTACCCGCCAGCATATGAGACTAGAAACAGATATCAGTTTTATTGAAAAAATTAATGTTCTGATTAATGACAAAAAATCTTTTAAACCAAACCTTTGCAAAGTGTATCTTCAATGCATTGCAAATCAGAGGTGAAATTTGAATGTCCAGCACCATTACTTTTTTTACTTCTGTGATATGCAAGATGGATGTCTTTTCTCTTTCTTTTCTTTCCTTTTTTTTGCATCTGATAAATGTAAATTTTTTTATATTATTTGACAGCACATGTTGCTTCTATGAAAAATTATCTGTCAACCCTCATCTTATGTAATTAAGAGAAAAAAGGACCACAGGAACTATGTCTGTAATATGAATTGATAGTCATGATAAATTTTATCTTTTTTAAATCTAAATATTTGCTGATACCTGGATCAGTTTCTGACTTGATTCAAATAGCAACTTTTGGGGCCTAGATATGTCTTTTACATGCTAGATATATGTGTACACATACACATTGTGTTTGAAGTAGAGCAGACATACAATGATGCTTTATCACGGATGTTTTCTTTGGCTCAATCTCAAGAACCAGGAAGCTTTTCCTTGACAAACAAGTATTGTCTGTTATTGTTCAATGGTGCCATATGCTTATATTTGTTTTCACTGCCAATTATTTTTGATCTTTCGTTACAAAACAAATGTGCCTCTGACATCCTCTTTACTTCATTTGCATAACAAGCAGTATGGTATTTGAATATAAGGATTTACAGAGCTTGAAAGTACTTAATTTTAATGTTAAAAAATGAAAACTATCATTAAAATCATTAATTTGATTAAAAAAAACTAATAAACAAATAGTCAAAACTGGCATTGGTTTAGTTTATTAGACTATGGTTGTCCTTGCCACATGCTAAGAAATTTCTTAACTTCCATGCTGTGGAAGTTTTAACTCTGGTTCAGCTTCCTAGCCAAATACATACTTCCTCTCTGATAGGACAAGGGCCAAGTGAAATTTTTCATTCCTTATCTGATGTCTCTATGCAACATAGATAACCTTTTCTCTCTTTATCACATGTTAGTCCAAACTATGTATGTTATTAAAGCAGCCTTAACTGGAAGTGTTTCCCATTTAACACCAAATGGACAGTCACTGCACTTTGAATTTAGTTGTTTTGTTTACTTCCTGGTTGTAAATTGTTTTAACAATTTATAATTAAAATTATAAAGATACGGACCCATTTGAACAGGGGTAGAAGTATTTCATATGATTATTTTATCACTAAATCAATACTTTGTGTTAACGGTTAACGACCTGAAGTTGGTACCGATGCTCTCTGGGGACAACATTTTAAGGTCTGATTCTAGATTTGGGAGCACAAATACTATTAATCAAATGGTGGGCTTGTGGCAAATAATTTTTTTGGGGGGTACTTAATTTGTGGCTGAAATAGTTAATATTTGTGCTCACAAATTTGAGGCTCGAATTAGCAAATGCCTACTAGTAGTCTGTTTTTAAGGCCAGAGTGTGTAATTTTTTTCCTCACATCAAAATATTTGGACCAGTGACATTCTAGTTCAAAATCAACATGAAGTGACTTTCCTGCTTTAAGATTTGATGACAAAACATTGTCTGTTCAAAACTCATTATGAAATGCCAAAATTCAGAAAAAAATGTGTAATTGTAAATGTTTCCTTTCTTGTGATCTTGACGTGGCAGGCACTACAAGTTTGTAATTAGGCAGTATAACCATGTGTCAGTAGATATAACTTCCTTCACCAGCATGATTATATATATAGACCTGTGGATATGATGATATATATATATATATATATATATATATATATATATATATATATATATATATATATATATATATAATATTGACCTGCTTATACCACTGTGTCTATTTTTCAAAAAATCTTCTATATTTTTAAAACTTATTGGAACATTACTAAATATGTTGTAGGAGGGAAAGTAGTCCGTGCATTGTATGATTATGCAGCCAGAACAGATGATGACCTTACATTTGCCAAGGGGGATAAACTACAAATTGTTACAGACACGTAAGTTGTTTCTCAATTTTTACACTTTATCTTTGTTCTTTTTTGTCTTATCAGATTGATATTTTTTTCTAAACCATAAATCAGATTGACATTTTTTGCCATTATTACTATGGAATGAGTTTGTGAGGATTCTTCCAGAAAGGCCCATTTTCACTACGGAATTGACAGTTGTTTTCAATTTGCATGTACCTAAGCAGCAGCATATTTTGGTATTTGAAAGGGAGACATTTCATTCCTGTGCCATACCTGTTAGTGGATTAGATTTGCTCCGCACCCTGTGGTGATCTTATCAGGATCCCACAGTCTGCTGAGATAGTACAGACTAAGTTTAGCTGCCATAAACAGACTGGAAATAGGTCCCATAAACGCATTTTACTCAAATTGTTAACTTACCTGAAAAAAAAAATACTAATGTTGAAATTGGGTGTAGAGTATGGTTTGAGGTAAATGTGTTATAAACAAACTTGTAAATATCCACGCTGAATTCTGAAGTTAGAAAAAAAACTAGGAAATGATGAAAAACTCATTTTCATCGGGAACTTTGTGCAATGGAATTTTTTTTTTACAGAGATGGTGATTGGTGGATAGCTCTGCACATGACCACTCATCAACAGGGTTACATTCCAAGTAACTATGTGGCAGTTGAGGATACCTTAGACTCTCATGAGTAAGCTTTGTTGTAATAACATGCCAGTTAGAATATCAAAATATTTCATTGTAATTGTTTTGAAAATACTGCCGTTATTCATTGACAAAAAAAAACAAAAAACGTGCACTTGATCAAGCAGTACTTGTTTGGGTTGACTTGGCTAAATTGCTAAATAAAATCATGACTCATTTTTGGGGTTTGATAAGTTTTTTTCATTATTGTTCAATGTTTTGTCTTTGTCAATTGAATAAAATGACATATGACATTTTGTTGTATATTATTGAATGCTGTCATACTCATGGCCAAAATTAGTCAAGTTGATTTAATAATAGTTTGATCAGACTGAGAATCTTTTTTGTTTTTTTTCAGTTGGTATATCAAATGTGGCCGCAAGGATGCTGAACGGTATTTAAAAGAAAGTGGGACACAAAGGGGGATGTTCTTGATCCGTGAGAGTGAGAGTCAAGCAGGTAATTATTTCATGACCTTAATCTTGATCTTTTAAAATTAGATGCCAATTGAAGGGTTGAATACATCTTTGATAGGCACATGAGAAGGACCTGAAGAAAAAAAACTATAGGGAATAGGATGAAGTTGTTGGTGTATTCATCACAACTGTTTATTGTACAGGAGTCTACAATTGTGCATGTATTTTTATGAGGGTTACTGTAATAAAATGTTGTTTGTTCTGAATAACTTATCAAGAACAAAAACTCATTTTGTTAATGATTCATTTTATGATATACTGTGATTTCCACATTAACAAGGTAGTTAACATTTTGGATTTCAAGGTAAGGATAGATCTGTGGATAGAATTTTGTTATAATAAAGGTATAACATTGTCACATCTGAGGGGGAATGAATTAATGGAAAATTGTGAAGAATATTTCAAAATGAGTATAGTTAGTAACCCTGTACCATTTTGCATGTTTTATGATTTTATAAATGGTTTGATTCAGTTGACTTTCACTCTGAGTGACCTACCCTAGGATAAATATGAACATTTACTTTTGAATGTATTAGATTTTTTTTTTTGTCCTTCATATTTAATGAAGTTCTGGGTGTATTGTAAACCATACATGGGTTGGTGTTTTAGAAAGCTTTACCTGCTTGATATATGTGAAGTCATTGTTAATCATATATTGCAGTCTTCACTGCTTGGACAAAGCTCCATTAGTTTTACGTGAGATGTGTAATGTGAAGCACCTGAGGCTGATTATTGGCTTATGTGAAAGGGAAGAGGTTGAATTAAAATGCTGTTAAGCCTGACTGCAGGTGTACTTTTTGATGTGCAAGCCATAAAATGCAACTGTTGATATTGCTGGAGGAGGTTTTTTGGATTAGAAGTTTGTGCTCACAAGTTTTCTAATTTATACGTATAACAAAGGATGAATTAGGGGTTCAACCAAAATATTAGGTTTATCTCTGTCATAATAAGATGGAAATCGCAACCTACATCATCACACACAATTGAAAATTGTTTGAAGGAGGAAAGGGAACTTGAAAGTTTCAGTGGTTGGTTTTGTTTCATTGATGCCACAGAGCATCTGCAAAGTATCACTGCTTGTTTAAAAAGGTCAGATTATTATGGAAAGTTGAAGCTGGTTAATGTAGCCTATCTGAAAGGAACTATTCTATTGAGTTCAATTAAAAAGAAAATAAAAGTCAACAAACTAAAAGTTAAGTGGTTTATCCAATNAAAATATTTGGGCCAGTCACATTCTAGTTCAAAATCAACATGAAGTGACTGTTTCCTGCTTTTAAGATTTGATGACAAAACATTGTCTATTCAAAACTGATTATGAAATGCCAAAATTCAGAAAAAAAATGTGTAATTGTAAATGTTTCCTTTCTTGTGATCTTGATGTGGCAGGCACTACAAGTTTGTAATTAGGCAGTATAACCATGTGTCAGTAGATATAACTTCCTTCACCAGCATGATTTTATATATATAAAATTTTGACCTGCTTATACCACTTTGTCTATTTTCGAAAAATCTATATTTTTAAAACTTGTTGGAACATTGCTAAATATGTTGTATCTGTATGTTGTAGGAGGAAAAGTAGTCCGTGCATTGTATGATTATGCAGCCAGAACAGATGATGACCTTACATTTGCCAAGGGGGATAAACTACAAATTGTTACAGACACGTAAGTTTTTTCTGAATTTTTATACTTTATCTTTTTTTTTTTTTTTTGTCTTATCAGATTGAATTTTTTTTTCCATTATTACCATGGAATGAGTTTTGTGAGGATTCATGCAGAAAGGCCTATTTTCACTACGGAAGTGACAGTTGTTTTCACTTGGCACATACCAAAGCAGCAGCTTATTCTGGAATTTAAAAGGGAGACATTTCATTCCTGTGCCATACCTGTTAGTGGATAAGATATGCTCCGCACCCTGTGGTGATCTTATCAGAATCCCACAGTCTGCTGAGATAGTTCAAACTAAGTTTGGCTGCCATAAACAGACTGGAAATAGGTCCCAAAACGTAATTTTACTCACATTGTTATCTTACCTGAAAAAAAAAAAAAACTAATGTTAAAATTTGGCATAGAGAATGGTTTTAGGCAAGTGTGTTATGAACAAACTTGTAAATATCCACATTGAATTCTTCAGTTAGAAAGTAAAAATAAAAATAGGGAATCTGATGAAAAACTAATTTTCAGTGGGAACTTTGTGCAGTGTAATTTTCTTTTTTACAGAGATGGTGATTGGTGGATAGCTCTGCACATGACCACTCATCAACAGGGTTACATTCCAAGTAACTATGTGGCAGTTGAAGATACCTTAGACTCTCATGAGTAAGCTTTGTTGTAATAACATGCCAGTTACAATATCAAAATATTTCATTGTAATTGTTTTGAAAACACTGCCATTATTTATTGACAAAAAATGTACACTCGATCAAGCAGTACTTGTTTGAGTTGACTTGGCTAAATTGCTAAATAAAATCATGACTCATTTTTTTGGGTTTGATAAGTTTTTTCATTATTGTTCAATGTTTTGTCTTTGTCAATTGAATAAAATGACATATGACATTTTGTTGTATATTATTGAATGCTGTCATACTCATGGCCAAAATTAGTCAAGTTGATTTAATAATAGTTTGATCAGACTGAGAATCTTTTTTGTTTTTTTCAGTTGGTATATCAAATGTGGTCGCAAAGATGCTGAACGGTATTTAAAAGAGAGTGGGACACAAAGGGGGATGTTCTTGATCCGTGAGAGTGAGAGTCAAGCAGGTAATTATTTCATGACCTTAATCTTGATCTTTTAAAATTAGATGCCAATTAAAGGGTTGAATACATCTTTGATAGGCATATGAGAAGGACCTGAAGAAAAAAAAACTATAGGGAATAGGATGAAGTTGTTGATGTATTCATCACAACTGTTTATTGTACAGGAGTCTACAATTGTGCATGTATTTTTATGAGGGTTACTGTAATAAAATGTTGTTTGTTCTGAATAACTTATCAAGAACAAAAACTCATTTTCATTTTATGATATACTGTGATTTCCACGTTAACAAGGTAGTTAACATTTTGGATTTCAAGGTAAGGATAGATCTGTGGATAGAATTTTGTTATAATAAAGGTATAACATTGTCACATCTGAGGGGGAATGAATTAATGGAAAATTGTGAAGAATATTTCAAAATGAGTATAGTTAGTAACCCTGTACCATTTTGCATGTTTTATGATTTTATAAATGGTTTGATTCAGTTGACTTTCACTCTGAGTGACCTACCCTAGGATAAATATGAACATTTACTTTTGAATGTATTAGATTTTTTTTTTGTCCTTCATATTTAATGAAGTTCTGGGTGTATTGTAAACCATACATGGGTTGGTGTTTTAGAAAGCTTTACCTGCTTGATATATGTGAAGTCATTGTTAATCATATATTGCAGTCTTCACTGCTTGGACAAAGCTCCATTAGTTTTACGTGAGATGTGTATGTGTAATGTGAAGCACCTTAGGCTGATTATTGGCTTATGTGAAAGGGAAGAGGTTGAATTAAAATGCTGTTAAGCCTGACTGCAGGTGTACTTTTTGATGTGCAAGTCATAAAATGCAACTGTTGATATTGCTGGAGGAGGTTTTTTGGATTAGAAGTTTGTGCTCACAAGTTTTCTAATTTATATGTATAACAAAGGATGAATTATATTAGGTTTATCTCTGTCATAATAAGATGGAAATCGCAACCTACATCATCACACACAATTGAAAATTGTTTGAAGGAGGAAAGGGATCTTGAAAGTTTCAGTGGTTGGTTTTGTTTCATTGATGCCACAGAGCATCTGCAAAGTATCACTGCTTGTTTAAAAAGGTCAGATTATTATGGAAAGTTGAAGCTGGTTAATGTAGCCTATCTGAAAGGAACTATTCTATTGAGTTCAATTAAAAAGAAAATAAAAGTCAACAAACTAAAAGTTAAGTGGTTTATCCAATTTNTTGAGAACCCGGACAGCCTCTATTTGATTTATGTCAAATTGCACAGATGTGGCTGCCTCCCCTTTGTTGGTTTTTAAAAAATGATTTCAGCAATTTTCATTTCTGTTTTTCTAGGTGCTTATGTTTTGTCTGTCACAGACTGGGATGAAGTAAAGAAGTACAATGTCAAGCACTATAAGATAAGAAATCTGGATAATGGTGGCTTTTACATTACAACTAGAACCACATTCAACAGTTTGACAGAACTTGTAGATCATTATAAAGGTTAGTTGGGTTATTGACACTAGATGTTGCATTAGAAATTGGATAATATTTCATTTGATCCAAATTTATAAGTATATTATGAGCACATCTAGAAAAGTATGGCATTAATCTAAATTTGCCATATTTGTCTTTAAAAAGATAGTAAGCATATTTTGACATAATTTTTTTTTATTCTCTCCAGTTCGTGCAGATGGGTTGTGCTATCATCTTACATCACCATGTAAAAAACCTGCACCACAGATGTGGGACCTTTCCCCAGAGACAAAAGACAAGTGGGAAATCCCCAGAAACCAGCTGGAGCTGGTGCAGAAACTGGGCAGTGGGCAGTTTGGAGAGGTCTGGAAGGGTAGGTGATGGAATGACCAGTATTGACATCTGACATAAAGCTATGTTTTTGTCTTTGCAAACTTAAGTGCCACTTCTGTAAAGAAAATTAAATATAATGTTATACATTTTTATTATTAAAAAAAATATTTTGGCAAGTTTACAAAAAATTTGAAAAATGTAGTGGTAAGTCAAGTGGAGAAATTTGTCTGTTATTGATTGGTGTTTCAAGAGTTGTTCACTGAAATTTTTTTATCCTTGAATATTTTTCAAGCTTCACAGTTGCTCACTTTTTCATGGAATGAATCTTGATGTCTTTCATTTTATCTTTTAGGGATGTGGAATAATACCACTCCAGTGGCCATCAAAACCTTAAAAAAAGGCACCATGTCACCAGCTGCATTCCTTGAGGAGGCCCAGTTTATGAAGAAGCTGCGCCATGACAAGCTGGTTCAGCTTCTGGCTGTGTGCTCAGAGGAGGAACCCATATATATTGTGACAGAGCTGATGTCTAAAGGAGCCCTGCTGCAGTATCTGAGAGATGACCATGGCACCACCCTCAAATTACCACAGTTGGTGGACATGGCAGCCCAGGTGAGTTTATTTTGTTTCTTTGTCCAGGTAATATTTTATATCATAAAAATAATATTTGGCTTAATTTCTGGATTTATTAATGTTCAAGATAACATCTAGTCATGGAATACATTGATGCTGTTAATAATTATAACTGTTAAATAGTCAGTGACTCTATAATTGTAAATTTAGCCAGACTTATGTTAATAATTCCTAACACCAAGCCTGGGGTCAGTGGACACAGTTTCATCTTAGGTCCAGCAACCCCGAAAAATCTTACAAGGGGGCAATCAGTTGCTTCTTATATGCATGCTTTGTAATGTATCTGTTGGTTCCAGATTGCCAGTGGCATGGCGTATTTGGAGCGTGAGAAGTACATCCACCGTGATCTGGCAGCCAGGAACATCTTGGTGGGAGACCAGAATGTGGTGAAGGTGGCTGACTTTGGACTGGCCAGGATTATTGAAGATGATGAGTACAATGCTAGACAAGGTAATGGTTAGCAATTTGAAATATAATTGGAGAATTTGAATGTTTGAGACATATTTTAGTTATCATTCTATTATGATTTACAATTAGAACTGCTGCTATGTTTGAGACAATGCACTGTCACCTATGAAATATACATCGGAACACTTCAAGCATCTGCAGGAGGGTTCAAGTTGTATATCACAAGAGGGTGGCAGTGTATGAAATAAACTCCCCAAAAACATATAATAAAGTGTATATTGCCAGGTTCATATAACATCTCTTTAGTTTGTACCTGAACCACTGCCATATATATCACAAAAACATTGCATATTCCTTATAAAGTTGTACAATGAAGTTATTGCTTTACAGGCTCCAAATTCCCCATCAAGTGGACTGCCCCAGAAGCTGCCTTATATGGCAAATTTACCATCAAGTCTGACGTGTGGAGTTATGGTATATTGCTAGTGGAGCTTGTAACATATGGTCAGATCCCATATCCTGGTAAGTTCATCATTTTATCCTGCAATATAGCTTTTTTTTTGCTTCAAATGTTGATTACATGATTGAAGTTTGATTTTCCCTCTGAATGTCCCTGGTGTTTTGAATGCAGACATTCATCATGAATATTTATGTTGTGCTGTGCTTAAAGATGTGTGGTCATTTTTTTGTGGGGGTAGTTAAGTTTTTGAAAGTGTTCCCCTGACAGAGCAAGGTAAGGAGAGTGACGTACCTGTTTTGCTTTATCATCTCACTGCAGGCATGAACAATGCAGAAACCCTCCAGCAAGTGGAGAGGAACTACAGAATGCCGTGTCCCAGTAACTGCCCAGAGTCCATGTATGAGAAGATGCTGGACTGCTGGAAGAAGACACCAGAGCAACGGCCAACTTTTGAGCACCTGTTCTACTTCTTTGATGACTATTTTACATCAACAGAGCCTGGTTACAAAGAAACTGATGACTATTAGTACATTGATACATTACATACAGGTGCTGATCGGATGTTCTCAAGTCCTGTGTTGTCCAGAGCTATAATGATTGTTGCTTTTGTTCTGCTTGCTATGTTTAGTCTTTGTAGGTTGCTGTATGCATTTTTTTCTTCAGATTCTATCTATGACTCTAGGCTGGTGCTTGTTGCTGGCGTTTATTGGTCTTTCTTTTTATTTTATTGCTTTTAATAGGTATTTTAATAATCTAATCTGTTGTATTTGTAGCTGAACTATGCTTGGATTTAACCCATGCTTAAAGATACTGAGTGAAACAAGAATATTAATATGCTGCAGCTCATTATTTTATATGCAATGCTTCTAATTCTTTTGTAGAATATGTTTTGTGAAGTTAAATACTAAGAAATTATTTTAGCATTGATTCTTTATGTCAGTTATATTTGCATATTTTTCACAAGTAACTTGTATATACTGCTGCATGAGTATATCATGAAAAATCAAGTCTGTTTGAGTAAGTTATATTATTACATGTTTAGATGTACAACTGTATATATTATTAATTTTTTTTTGGTATATATAATTATAGGTATGAGTAACAGAGATGTCCTAGATCAAATTGAGCGAGGCTACCGTATGCCCAAGCCACCAAAATGCCCAGACAGCCTGTATGAAACCATGCTGCTGTGCTGGAAATCTAATGAAGAGGAAAGACCTACATTTGAGTTCCTGCAGGGCCATTTTGATGACTACTTCATCTCCACTGAGCCCAGCTACAAGGAAGCTGACAATGACTAGATGCCTCAATGATTCATTTTATTAAAAATGTCAAAGACTTGCCCTTAATGATCCTTAAAAACTGATGAAAGATACAGGACCATACTGGAAACCTTTGAATTCAGATGGATGAACGTTCATGTCAAGATCATGATACTTTGCAAGATATTCAATTCACTAGATTACTATCCCTCTAGGGAAAACAACAATTAGCTTATTACTTTTTGATTGTGTTGTGTTTTTTTAATTGACATGTAACAACAAACTCCACTGGTTACAGACCAGTCATTGTGATAGCCACTCGTGCCTGAGTGAATTTGACAAACATAGTATTATACATGTTCAATGCCACTAGTTCCCACTGAAATTATGTTCAAGTAATTTGACTTTACCCTTGTCAAATAGCCTGCAATGCTGAGTACTGCTGGTTACTTACCTCTTCAGTAAATGGCATAGGAATTATGGAACCCATTTCACATGGATCCTTACTACATTACAAATGCTTAATATTTATTAGACTTGCTTAGCTAAGCCTGTTAAAAATCTAAGATGTCTCGAGGCATTTTAAAAGCCCCTTACCTCATTTCTTTGGTCTTTTAAAACTAAACCCAAGACCAGGATCTGATTGCCTTAACACTGATTTCTACTCACTTTGACAATTGTATGTTTCTTTATTGAGAAAACTATGTTCAAGTAGGCATATTGTTTGTAAATGGCTGAAAGACAGCTATTGCATTGTAAACCTTACATAGTTGGTTGAGTTATTGAAGGTTAGCTAAGCCCACTTACATGGGCACACAATACCACACATTTTGATTCAGTCGGCATTTTTAAGTCCCCTAATTTTCAAAATCTAATAAAGTGTTTAGTTGTTAATTAGATGTGTATATAAAATCTGAGTAGTTTTTCAGTGTACTATTTAATGTCAGCTGGACTGAATGCTAAATTCTTGTTGAAATTCCCAAAATATTGCTGTGCAAGGCATACTTTTCTAGATTCTTGTGCAATGAAAATATTTTCCATGATTTCAATTACGATGTAGGTGTATTTTACCAATATTCAGTTTTACAATCATTTTTGATTTTTTTAGTTCAAGTGTGATTCTACACTTTTAATCTTTTATGCATTGTCTACTGTAATTGCAAACCCTTAATTAATGTTGGAAAATGTCAATATACTTTTTTTGATTCTTCATCTCTGTTTCTTACTATAGTCAGCATTGATTTGAAGCTTTTGAGATGTGTAACAAATACATCTGTGTCAACTCTTGAAATACATGACTTGTACTGCAGAAGTAGAAGAACAAATTATATTAAGTTTTGATAGCTAATCCCAGATTTTATGTTAATCAGGTTGTTTTATATCAACTGTTATTAAATCAGAATTAGATTCTTTGGCAACAGAAGTAAAGAAATATGCCCAGTATATTCATTATATGTCAGTGATTTGTTAAAGATCGGATAACTGTTTTAATCAGTATATGTTTAAAGCTTTGGAAGATCCAGAAGGTAATTATATAAGTGGACTGTGACAGAAGTGGACTCCCCCCCCTCCCCCAAGTACGTGCTATAATGTGTAGGGGAAGTAAGGAGGAGGGTACATATTTGATCCATCTTAAGTATTAAAATGGTCATATGAAATATACAAATTCAAATGTAAAGAATATATATATATATATATATATATATATATATATATATATATATATATAATAAGTGCACTACAGATATAATTACCTTGAGAAAAAAATCAAATTTAAGGCTTATTTAAAGGCAAAATTTTCTATAAATTGCTTATACATAACTCATCGCCTTTTACAGAAGCATTTGATTGCACCAGTAGTTAAAAATTATAATTTTGTAGACTGGGCCTTAAAAACAAATGCACCATATTTTTGTGCTTCCAACATTATTATTTAAATTGTAAATCTAATTTAGCATTTTTTTAAGTGTTTAGTAGATTAGTCTATTGCGAAGCTTGTTTTATAGAAACATTCCAAGCTCTAAACCAAAAATTTTTCTATGTGGTTATAATTATTGTTAACCATTTTGAATAGACAGATTACATTATTGGTTATTTTGACAGATTTTGGGTCTACAGAGGAGTAAGTGGACTGATTTAGGGAGTCTTTGAGATTTCATTTCATAATTAATAGTGTAATTTTGCCTTCCTTTTAGGAATCTGTACATTAAGTTGGAGATTCTGAAGTTGCAAACTTTCTTACAAATGTTCTATATATACTAAGTTTTTGCATTCTGCAGTATTCTGTGCAGTTTACTGACAATCTTTATTAACTCTTAGTGACTTCTACAGTCCTCCAACAAAGACCATCTTATGTCAGCATTTCATATTTGTTAATTAAACAACTGTACCTTATGAAATAAAATGTTAAAATATGACTAGCCATTTTGTAATATTTCAATCTTCAAAAAGGAACCTAAATTTGTGATCTATAATTTAGGTTATCACACCTTTACCCTAGGGAATGCATTTGAGTAAAATCTTATTATATTATTATTATATTATATTATATTTAAGTCTTATCACCTTATTGATTTAATTTTGTAATTTACAAATAGGAGGTTACCAGCTTTGTTTTTGTGAGAAGCCATCTGAAAATTTAACATAGAAATATATGGAAAATTCACACATAAACTATTCCAGAAATTCACCCAAAAATGTAAGAAAAAATATTTTAACTAAGGAAGTGAATTTTTCTAGATGTGGAGTTTTTTTACCTGCAATTTTAAATTGTATGGGAAACACTAAAAAGGAGAAATTGGGTAAGTATTGACCTTAAAGAATTCCTTTTCAATCAAAAAATGTAATAGATAGGGGGGTCCACTTCATGTACGTGAGCTTGGGACTATCTAAAATATTTGATCTGTAATTCAACACCGTACAGTGTGGAAGATTCACCAGAATTCAAAAGCATGAAAAACAGAAGTATTGATTCAGTATCTTTTGCTGCAGATTACAGAAAAGAAAATAAAAACAAGATGGCTTCGCCTTAGACTTTTTTACCCAGTATTACCAAACAGAGGATAAGGTACACTTTCGATGGTTTATTGCCCTATTGTACTGAAAATAAACCTAAGTAACATATTGATAAATTCTGTTGTCTTTGCTTTATCAAATTCATCCAATTTTTTCTTCTTCCACTGCTCCTCATTTTATACTATTTTTACATCATAAAATTTTTCTTCCCTTCAACATTACATTAACTTTGTATGGCAACTTACAATACTCGTATTGTTGTTTATCAAAAAAAAAAATTATTAGTAAAAAATCAAGTGATTTATTTTTATTGTTTTAAAACTTATTTTATTCTCGTTATAATACCTCAATTATGATTGCATCATTAATAAAATATTATTCTTGTATTACTGAAGTTTTGTTACCGATTTCTTACTTCTCAAGCACCCAATTTGTACATTATGACTATAGATAGTGTGGAATATTAATAAAAAGAATAATACTGACTAGAAAAAGACATGTATAATTATATCTGGCTAAACTTTAAAACTGGATATTGATTAAATAATGATTATATTGCATCAATTGCAAGCAATTTAAAAAGCAATACGCTGATGATTTTTTAAAGACTCATTCTTTGATTATAAGGCAGGCTGCAAAAAGACAAAAAAATTGCAACAAATGTCATAAAATCAACTAATGGTTACATTCAATTACACAATCTTAAGGATAAGTTATCCTTTAAAAGTTTATATCATACATAAATGCCCCACCTTTCCATGAGGTAAAATTCTAATTATACTGATACATGTATAAAATAGATATATATTCATGTTTCAATGGCATACAAGACTATTTTGAGCACAATCACATAATTTAGAAAAAAAGTCTCAGTTTTCTTTACTAATCAAAACAAACCTATGTCAGGATTTCATTCATAATTTGCATAATGAACATGAAGTATGTTTCAAACAGTGTACTTGAGACATGGAACATTTCTCATTCTACGTTCTTCTTCTCCAAGCATGAGGTTATAGCACTTCTGATGACTGGTTCTTCTGCCAGATGCTTCTGGGCCTCCAACAATGAACACTTTAGGATGGCACAGACCAGCGCAGTGGGTACAACCTGAGGAAAGACAGAGAACGTCATAATTCCGGTTCATATACCTCCAAGCAAGATATACTCACAAGCTTGCCATTGATTTTCCATACTCCGACTCAAATGAATGTTTCTTAACATCTTGATATATCATAATACACACAACTGCTTAGCAAATACAGCAAACCATCCTGCTGTACAATTTAAAAAAATCGTCTGGCCAACTCTAAAACATGGCTTGCAGATACTTCTTCGTTATGATGTCGCTGTGATAAGCAACATCAGAAATATGGTGAAGTGAAACAGTCATAAGGTACGACAAAAGTATGAATCTAATCTGCACATTAATCATTGACATTTTGATAAAACATGTGGCTCGTTGGATACTACAGTAACAAAATATAAATTGACTCAGTAATAAAAAAGACCACTGATTTGTGAAAACCTTGTATGACAGTAAACATAGTTTGATTGTATGTATTCAAAGCTACAAAAAAAAAAAAAAAAAAAAAAAAGCTCCATTACCTTCTCCTGTGATGTAGCCTGTAAAATATGCTGACTGACATTTGCAGTGGTTTGCTGGCCAGTCAAAACATCTGTGCCATATATGGACTTAAGAAGGTACTCCTGGGCATCTTCTTTATTGCAACCAGAAAATGTCTGTAATAGAACAGATTGCACCATGTATTCTGCAGTCAAAGAAGCAAATAAAAGCAATATTTGACAGAAGTATTTCATTTTAGTGAATATATTGTTTATTTTTTTCAGGAAAAAAGAGTGACTTTATAAAAGCACTTTTATTCCTTATTATACTATTATTCTACTATCAATTACCATACAAGAGTTTTCAAAAACTCATAGAACAATTTTAAGATTGATTTCAAGTGGAGGTTTAATTGAATTTCTGATTGTTACAAAAAGAATATCCTTTCAAAGTGAGCATCAACCTAACATTACTACTACACGTAGTAAGATCACCTGCCTGAATAATTTTTTTTTCATTTTTTACCTACCTCAACAATTCTAACCGCTCTATGAAACAGCTTGTTGTTACTAAAATAAAACCATCCATAATCAGTTAAACAACATTACAAGCAAGCACATTACAGAAATACGACAAAAGACTTCATTAGCAGAAATCAGTTAGTGCAACCAAAACGTGTTACATTATACTTAAACATAGCATTTCATACAGTTTTCTATAGATCAAAACAACACACAAACGATCTTAAAATCTTTATTGCTTTTCTACATCCTACAAGTACAACTAACTCTGATGCAGGGAAACCATAGCATTGAAAGGATGCACATCATTGCTCTTATTATTTACATATGAATTATGCAATTCAAACACCAATCCACTTTAATTCATTCTCCAACAAAAATGTTGTTTAAGTTACTGTACTGAAATCCAGTTTTTATATCTTCCTTATATTAGAGTTATACAGGTACATTTCTCAGCATTTCCCACCTGTGCCTTACCTGACCCTAAGGTCCACCATATAATTCTGGTAGACTTTCCCCTGCATTATGTGTGCCCCTGTGGTGACAGCATTACACACCCATTTGGTGGCTATCTCTGCAAACAACTTGAAACTGAGGTCTAAGTGCTCTGGGCCAAAAAGCTCCTGGATCTGAATCCACGGTAACTGAACTGTAATTTTATTTGTGGTCTTTGGCACCTGGAAAAGTTGATGATAATAATTTTATCTCTGCCTCATAATTTGCACCAAGATTATTTTCTTACAAAAAATAAAGGTGGTTACTAGATCCTCTGATACCCCAAATATGGGTTCAATTGTAAAATGTGAAAATATCAATCAAAACATTTAACATTAATATTTGGTTATGTACTGTAGATAACACACAAAGCGCAACAAAATACCTCTTTCATTTTTTCCTGCCCACTTTGTTCACTATTCATAATGTGTATGACAGCACTTTCTGCTGGCCCATTCTGCACAGTAGCCAACAGTGGCAATAGGGAGGTATTCATAGCAGAACCTGGTAGTTTAAATTGCATTGAAAAGATCTCACATTTTAATGTTTTAAATTTTAAGTAGGCTTCAATTTAACTACCATTGTAAAAGAATTAAGTTCTAAATTCTTTGGCCAAAGTGAAGTTTTGCAAATAATAAACTATCTATTTAAGACAAAAATTACAACTTGTTTAAATAACAACAAAAAGATATCATGTTTTAATGTATTAAATCTAAAACAGTTCAATACAAGTACCATTGTCCAAGTAAGTACAGTACATGTACTTGTCATATAATGAATAAAATTTCTTCAATCACATCTCTGATCAAAGAGAAGTTTTGCAAATGATTAACTATTTATCTAAGACAAAAAATGACAACTTTTAAGAAAACAACTTAAAGAAAGCAGCAAAGGACAGGTTAATCTTCTCACCATGGTTGATGAAGATCACAATATCAGAGTTCTGAAGGTTAGGCAAGATGGTTGATTGAAAGTCATCTACTGCTATGGAGAAGTGCCTTCCCTGTAACAATTGACAATATCTGACCACATCCAATTACATATCCTAGTTTACTGTGCCAAAACAAATGAAATCATATCTATATTTCTGCAAATGAAATATTCAGGCACTTATTTTATTCAATGCAAAAATCTACATTCTACTTCCAAAGTGTGCTTTAGAGTAACTACAGATAAATTAAGATTTTTTTTTCAAATATTGATTACTAACAGTGAACAAAAAGATATTTCTTTTGGAACAGGAGAACTTTTATAGTTAGAGTTATCAAACTAGATTTTAAGAGCCAAATTTCTTATTTCCTTACTAAAACTGATATGTTGCCTTCTTGGTTTCTTAGTTCATCAAATCCCCCTATTAGAAACCCCCTTACTCCATCTAGTGCTGAAACAGAATATAGAAAAGGATATTTGGATCATTCAAGTCAAGAATGATAAGAAACAAGTGTATCAATGTAGATTTCACATTAAATTTTAAGCTTTTCTCATGAAAAATATAGTAGGAGAAAATCCAAGTGCCTAATCTAACACAAAATAATCTTAAAGTAAAATGGAGTGTTACACCCACAAGTCCCAAAGGTTGGAGGACATTCAGATGCATCTATCATGGCAAGAATTCCAAGGCTGTCAGCACCAATATAGTAAATGTGGCCATGTTTCCGCAAGCTGAAAAAAGTACAAAATAAATTAATAAAACTATCTGCATCAAAATGTAAATTATCTTTGAAATTCTTTCAGTTTTTTTATTATTATTATTACACGACCAATACAGAAATACATAGTCCACATTTAGAAGTGTGATACATGTACCTCAATTTGAAATGAAACTCAGAAATATATTAAACATCTACTAATATACTTTTGGGGATTTCCTTGAGGAAAATAAATGCACTTCACTAAAAGCTGACAGCAAGCATTACTACAATGAACCCTAGAAAATAATCTTTAAGTATAAAAGACTAAAAAAACCCACTGACCACTGTCCTGCTAGATTGATAACAGCACCTATGTATTGTCTACAGTGACCTATTGCCTCATTCACTGTGAGGTATGTTTCAAGAAACTGTTCGGTATTCCTAAAGGGAGAGAAAAGACTTCTTATTGATAAACATAATTCTACAGTTAGTTCAACAACCAGGGAAAGTGTAATAAAATAATGATGAACAACATCCAAGTATGTGAAGTGTGCAGTAACTTAAGATCTGCAAAGTTTTTTTTTTCAAATAACAAAAACCATTACAAACTTAACAAATTAATCCCTTATCGTGAGCATACCTGAGCTGTTTTTCTTTAAAGAGACTGAAACCCTGAGCAAACATGACATCTAACAGAATTTTGGTGGCAGTTCCACCTTTCATGCGACTGGATCCTGTTATAGGTTCTGGCTAAAAGAGACATCCAGGAAATTAAGTAAAAACACCTCATTTCTGCCATCTACATGTAGAAACATTAAAAATTAAGATATTTAACGACAAACCTTTAGAAACTAAAATCCTGAGATACGATACATTCGTCTGGGTTTTAGGGTAAAATAATCCTTGTTTTTTAATCTCTCAACAAGAATAATCACTTATGCAAAAATTGATAGCTTAAATGGGTTTTTATTCTGCAGATTATTCAAAATGATTTGACTCTACCTACCCCAATTATAGGATTTATGATGCAACAGTTTTTTGTCTTCTGCAGGTTTTCTAGACGCTTACACACTACAGCAAGAGAAGTATGAAAATGTCACAGTTAAATGGTTGCTTCAGTCTTATAAAAATGCCTTGCAAGAATTTCAAAGATGATGTGTGCGAACTTCTTCTTTTTAAAGTACAATGTATTTGCCTGCTTTTATCTCGCCAATAGTGAAATAGAAACATTAAACAATTCATAACAATTTTGCTTAGTATATAAATGAAAGAACATCTGAAGAAATACAGTATTTTCATTGCTTGAAAACAAACCTTCCAAAATCGTTTTGCTCCAGTTTTCAATAGGCAAATTCCTAAAATATTAAACATGGAATTAAACACACTTTATAAAAAATATATCAACCATATAAGTAACTGTGCGATATACAGTGGGCTCTTACACTGGAATTTATTTTATCCATCATATCTAAATAAAACTCCAATAGTTATATAATCAATGGTTTACTGAACCAAATTCATCTAAATCACAACCATGAGTTGACCAGGCTAAAGTTTCATTTGTATAAAAGTTCTCACTTTGCTAAGTCCACTGGGTTAAAGCCCATAAGTACAGGAATGTAAGTATCCAGGTTGTCCATACAGAAGTCTAGCTGACCAGCCACAAATGATGCACTCAGTCCACATGTAATACCAATGTACAAGACTTTCTTCTTGCCTGCACATACCTGTCAATTTACCAACAGACAAGGCCTTTTGGGGTAAATTTAAAAATGTACATGTCAAAAGTTCATTTTAGATCATGTTATTAATCAATAATGTGTTCTGATTGAGAACAAAATTTATAATTTACTTATCTTTTTTTTTTCAAATGTCAGTTCACATATTCTAGTCAATTGATTACTTGCTACTAGTTTATTTACAATCAACTATTTCTTGCATAGCCGTTTCCTTACATTACAAAAAGATAAAAACAAATAAATAAATAAAATAATGATAAATAATCTTTTAAAACCCTTTAATATATTTTTAACTAAGTATCAGTAGTACATAACAAGCAAGAAATAAATACTTCTTGCAACTTCTTTGCTCCAAGCACTGGATCATCTTCTGGCGCTTCCTGAGAGGTGAACAAAGCCCTAAAACATGAGAGCACAACTAATAAGTAACAAAATATGGAAAACTTGACAGACTTTCTTTCGGTTTTTCACAGTGAGCACATGAAAACTTACTTGGAAAATTGTTTGAGCAACTAGTGAAATTCTTAAAATAAGTAATTGGAAGGAAGTTGCATAAAACATTTATAATAATTAAACCACAAGCTACGACATACTTGTCTCCTCCAGCAATGACATAGCGGAAGCATTCAGGCATGTCCAACTCTCTCAGCCATTTATTGAATGTCCTCTGAGAAAAACATTTAACAAATTATTGTCAAAACCAAGTTTTACATTTTTTGTACTATACTTGTACACTCAAAAACAAGTGAATTGTTTTTACTGATATTTGAAATATGACAGATGGTATCATGTAAACATTAAACTTTGTCCATTGTCTTAAGTCAACAATCAACAATGACACCGGAATTAAGAAAAAGGACAAATTTCATTCTACTGAACGACACAACTGAAAAATCTCATTTAGATTCTCCTATACTTCTATCAACATTTACCCATATTTTCTTGTATACTTACGGCTGTGAGGAAAGCCAGACGCCCAGAAGTGCCACAACCACTGAGCACAATTAAGTTGTCTGAAGGTTTCTAGAATCAATCACAATGTCATAAATATGTATGATCTTTTTTTTTTTTTCATAAACCACACAGGTATAGCATTTCCCTATACTGATATCTTAACTGAATAAAATTAATAATTCAGAAAATTCATACCATTTGTACAAAACAGCACTAGTGATGCATTGATGCCTTAACAATATTACAACTTTAACATGATAATAACATGAAATAGTTGTTTACCCTGAGTAAGTTTGCTACTTCTCCTGCTATTTTTTCAACCAGTCTAATAGTTCTGCCGTCCAAAAGCCCTTTAAGCTGATCCAAGTCTTTCTGACCCTACATCATGTAAAAAAAGAGAGCCATAAGTACATTCATCTTGGATAACAATACCATTTTAGTAATAAATATGTAATGAGGCAAACTGCAAGATTTAAAAATTTTTAACTCAAATAAAATCTATTTCCAACCATGTAGAATCAAAACTAAATCAAAATACCAAATATCACCAATGGCAAAATTCACATCATTATGCACCTCTGTTTGGTTGTCCCATCCATGGAAGATTTCTCTGTCACAATGCTGCAAAAGACTAACTATATCTAGGAAGACAAAAAAAAATTCTTTGAAAGTTAATGTCTAAAATTTGCATACCATAAATACTAGCTGGCTATACATTTTTTCACTTTCCCTTTGAAAAATCAGCACTTAAATCATCATTTCCTACCTTCAATCATTTGTGTTAACTGGTCTAAGGGTCAAAACTTTTGGTCAAACAGAATTCTTGAATTTAATGCAAGTGCCATTTTAAGGACATCTTGTGCTACATTTTCATTAATGTTTTGTCAAACTGTTCCACGCAGAAATTCAGCTGAACATGTCATATAAAAAAAGACCATTATGTTACAGTTTCAAAATCATGTAACAATTACATGATGATATATAACACCATGTGTGCCAAAATAAGGAAGCCAACCAAGATAGGATTCAGTGACATTCCACTAGATCCAGTATCCTTAGAACAATATTTCTAGCACCTAATTACATATTTTAACTTTAAACAAAAAATGACATGATGACAGGCATCATAACTCAATGTTTCATACCCTCTGGTAAAGAGATGTCAATATTGGCCGTCAATGGATTGCTGCGCTCTGTGACTGGCAAGGAAGACATATTAAAACATCTCTTCTCTCTTATCCACTTTTACTTCTTTGTGATGTCACAGCTGACCTAAATGCTGACTGATAAAAGGTAAGAAGTGAATGAATTCAAGGCATGTTTGTAGTTGTGTTTAAATGTAATCAGTACTGTACAATTTCAGATAAAAGACAATCCCTTTAATTCATTGTCAACAGATTTATCATCCTTTTCTAAAAATAACTGAGGCATGCCTAACTTGTATGTATAATGCAATGTTCACTCCCTAGATGTTCAATTTTCCCACAAGGATTTCCTACTAGTTTATAGGGAAATTTTCTGTACAAAAAGTTTTGTGAATTGCAATGCTAATTGTTTTTAAAAAATTCAAAATATGGAAATTTCATTGTTTTCGTAGAAAGCTCATAAAGAGTAATGGCAAACAAAATGCTGAAAAAAATCATCTTGACCCAATATAAAGGGTATGGAATACCTTTTGTGTTCAGCGTGATTGGCCTAATTTATTTAGTGTGATACATTAATTGAGATCAATATTCTACGTGAAACATGATTCAGGAATTTGTGGTGATTGGCCTGAACATATCTTGGTGATTGAGCTGTTTTAATCTTGGTGATTGGTGAATAAGGAGGGCAGGAGTATCCCCTACCCTCAATATAAAATATATAACTGATCTGGAAAATGGTTGGGCATCCTGATTGGGTATTAAAACACAAATCAAGACCATTCATGACATTTATTCCATCCACATTATTTCCCAGAAAAATAAAAAAATTGCCAGCAGTTGCCAGTAAATCAGAATAATCAGGTAAAATTAAAATGTATATTTTGAAAATTCAATATTTTCACAAACTGCTTGCTTAAAGAAAACACATCTACCGGTAAATTATCCTATGGGCAGTACTCACTTACACAAACATATGTAACAGTAAATATTGTCGATAAGTTATGTAGTATAGTGAATGACACAAATGGGCTTCATATCTCACTCCAACCTGCTGCAGTCTTTATCAGAATATGTCACTTCCTTGTTTTGGATTTAAGCAGGTATGGAAACTTACTAGTAATGCAACATCTCCAATCTATACAAAATATTCGTCTTGTTAAACACAAAGCAGGCCAGTAAAGACCTGGGCATCATTTCACTTCATGCACTTTACGTAGTGAACAGATGAAATTATAAATTTTTATCATTCAAATAATCTGTACATTCTTTTACATGTATGAAATCAACTTCAAGGTGTAATCAAAATGGGAACATCTGAAAATGCACTTTTATACCAACATTCACGATAGAGATACGAGTCTGATGGGACAACAGAGACCCCAAATTCCAAACACAGGATATTCAGTTTCATTGACGGTTCCAAAGCCGTGCCACCCCTACATGAACTTTTCAGAGCTGCAGCATCACGATGAGAAATAAATAACATTTCAAATTTCCGCCAAGCCTTTAATTGCGATCAAACAAGAAGATGTCTGATTGGCTTTACTTTGGAATACTCGGGCACGTTGGAAGTTTATTTGACCAATCAAATGCTGTTTAACAACATGCTTTTCGACTCCGCCCGACAGGCCGTATCACTAGAGAAATATCATTCCGCAGAAGACACGATCGCGTTAATTATATATTGCGAAACTCTCCATCTGCATATACCCCCAAAGACGCAATTTCCCATTAAGTTATGATAATAAATAAACAAGTTCAATATTCCATGAAATGATTCAAGGAAAATCTCGTTTTCGTGCGACCTATGTTTCGCAACAACCTGCTGAGCGATGTGGTCGTACTGAGACGGTGTACTCGAACAACACTTCCTGGTGTATGGGACGTTTCTTTTGTTATCTTTTACAGAAGGCATTTGACCGACTGTGCGAAGGAGGCGGAAAGGTATAAGGTGTTCGTTTATACCAGGAGGACCCATTACTCAAAATGGGGAACTGCCTGGGCAAGCAAGAGAAATCTGGCTTTGATCACATTGGGGAGGATCAGGGAAAGACTTCAAATGGCAACAAGATTCCCAGCTCATCCGAGTCGGCACAAAACGGTGGTGTTGCAACCACAGGACCCCTAGAAACTAGTCAGCCGCAGGCCTCTGGATTCCCACAGACACCGAGCTCGCCTATGAGCGAAGTCCCACTTAGCCCTGGTGCTAAGTTATATGTTGCCTTGTATGATTATGATGCTAGGACTGAAGAAGACTTGAGCTTTAAGAAAGGGGAGCATCTAGAAATACTAAATGACACTCAAGGAGACTGGTGGTATGCCAGGTCTAAGATTAGTAGAGTAGAAGGTTATATACCGTCCAATTATGTGGCCAAGCTAAAGAGTTTGGAGTCTGAACCGTGAGTATCCTTGATTTTAATATTTATGTAAAATGAAATCACATTTGTACAGTATATTTTTAATATTGTAAACAAGATAACATATTATAATGTATGATATATTATTTGTTAGTATCAAATTTAGAGGGCATATACCACTGAGACCACCACCCTTGACAATTCTCATGTGAATTTTTCAGAAAATGCAAAAGTAACACTTTAGATTATTAAATGATGGCATTTTGAAAGAGACTGAATGGCATATATTTGCAAATCATCTAATTGAAACTGCTTACACATAATTTTTGTGCTATGTTGGCAATAGAAGTCCTTGGATTTTCTAGCAATAAGTGAACATGTGGAGGACTTCCAGTGTTTCACTCAAATGATGTCTCTATTTTATGAACTCCTACAAATTGGGTTCATACAGGAGGAAAACATAAAAGAAATAGGAGTGCTAAGCCACAATTATAGGGTGAACTAAATGGTAGCCTATTTAGGTTTTCTGTGCCTATTCCAATTTCCCCAGAGAAAAAAAAGCAATTTTCTCCTTGTCCCTGCACATAGATTTGAAGTATTATTCTATTTCTAATCTTTAAAAAAATTAGTTACTAGTATGTCTGGGCAGATGGGTAGACCACCATTAACGGGCCAAGATGGTTTGATTAATATTGTATCTAAGTGTAAGTATTCATTTTTGGACTTATTAGCTGTTGTTACCTTGTAAACAGTGAATAATAAAGTAATGTATAACACAAGTGTCGGGGACAAAAGTTTCAAATTATTGAATAAAAACACAACTGAACTGTTGCTCTTTTAGAAAGTATCCATTGTAGTGTGTTCAATTAACAGTGCAAGGATTACAAAGAGATTCAGCTGTGCTCAGACATTAATTGACTTGATCCTCCTGTGATACATTCAACTTGAAACATTTAAGACCCACAATGGTTCCACGTTTAGAACCACCTTAATGTGTTAAAAGAGGAGATAAAATGAAGACTGGGAACATTACCTGATTTTCCTAAGCCAAAAGTTAATGGATTTCAGACTTATGTTGTTGAAAATGAGTTGACGCCAGACAACAGTCGACATATTACCATTGGCAAAGCACCTAGAAGTTGCATCTAATGTACTTATTGAGTCATACTACATTATGGCATCCCTAATGTGGCATTGCACATACTAGTAAATTGGCTGCTTGTGTCTGTCTGACTAACTGCACTTCGTAGACATAAGAAAAGAACTGAATCCATTGGGCCTTTAATTACTAGTTGCTCTACATATTTATAGCTGATGCATTTGTCAGCTTGTTGCTTACATGTTTTTGAACTTTATAAACTGAAAACCTAAAGAAATTTTAAAATTAATGGGCAATTATCATTTGTTAATGTTGAATAATAAGAATGTCATCAGAACTGTGAATTTGTATCTGTATCTTTCGTTTATTTATAATGACCTACATCTAATAAGAATGCAGTACTGGCACCTCATGACTGTGAAACTCACTGTTCCCCATGATATGTTCTCTTGTCACCTGTAATGAAGTCACATCTGTATAATAGTCAAGATGAATTATAGCAGCAGCAGCCCCCTCCCCCCCCCCCCCCCCCCACACACACACACACATACAGCCCACCCCCCATGTCATCTGTCAGGATGCTCAGTTGGTGTCAGGATATTGATGAATTACTCTGTGCCTGCTTGGTCCCTAGAGCTGTATATATACATACAGGCTACTTGCACTCAGTCTAAACCCTAGACCATACAATAGCATGGTGCAATGCAGTTTAAGGAATGTTAGGGTGTATTCCCATAGATTTTAGATCGATCTATCCCCGTGGGGAGTCTCACTAGATTACTATCAGATAATCTGGCTTAAATGTCCGTCCTGCCTACTACAAGCTGTAAGGGGGTAATTAACTTTCGTGCCCACTCGGTGGACAGCTATTAAGTGTGAACCCCCAGAGAGTTAGGTCGATCTAGTTGGATCGATCTAATCTCTGAGAATGGGGTCTTATACTAGTCAAATATATTCTTATAGGATAGTATGGGATAGTTTTTTTGTTGTCACTGTGGCCTACTTGGCTCAGCTACTTGCAAAATGAAAGTCATCCAGCTATTAGATTTAAAAAAAAATGTTTCAAGTCTTGTAGAGAACTGGCCACTGTAGTTACCCTGTCGTGGTAGGACTGCCCAGCACTTCTGTCCAGTAATATTAACCAGTAGTTCTTCACACAATTAGAACAGCCCAGCTCTCCCTTGTTGTCAACATTCCCTGCTGATGAGAGCCAAATATTCGAAGAAAAGACAGCAAAGTGATATTCTTTTAGAAAATGGATGAGAAAAGAGAAGTAATTGGATTTACATCCATTGAGTCGTACCATTCGCAAGGAGTTGGCAAAGAAAGGAACTTGTTTATTTCATAGAAGAAGACACTTAACTTAGATGTGTTTTCATAATTCAGAAGTGGCTGTTTTTTTGTTGTAATCTTTTGATTTATAAGGGATGACTCACCGCCCAAGTAGAAGAACGCTTATTCCCAAATCTGGTGGTGTTATGAGATATCGATTATAATAGCATGATAATGTTTAATAAAATGATTTTGGGCTGATTCATAAATGGTTTGATAGTAATAATAGGCTTTTTTAGTGTATGTAGGAATGACAAATACTTAAAGCACAGATAAAGATTGCCTGAATATGACCCAGATTGCGAGAAATGTCAAAGCTATTTATGTGGCACATGTTATGAATGTTGAAGATAGAGTTGTATACTATTATATTGATGCTGGCGTGATACCCTGGCCTGATGTGGTAGACCAAGGCATCATTCCCATAGAGATAATCAGTCTACGTGGATCGACCCAACTCTGCTGAAACAGTCAACTAAACTGAATGATACGCATCATCCTTGCATACTATGGAAAAACTGGCAATTATGCGAGTTATGTTAGAAGAGGAGGAATGTCATTCGGTTAAGCTGATTGCACTTAGCAAGTCTCTGCAGAGTTGGGTCGATCCATGTAGACCAGTGGCGTTTATGGGAATGTTTTCTAACATGAACATACCAGAGACATATACTAGTACTCTAAGACCCCATTCTCAGAGATTAGATCGATCCAACTAGATCGACCTAACTCCCTGGGGGTTCACGCTAAATAGCTGTCAGCCGAGCGGGCACTAAATTTAATTACCCCTTTATAGCTTGTAGTAGGCGAGACGGACATTTAAGCCGGATTATCTGACAGTAATCTAGTGAGACTCCCCACGGGGATAGATAGATCTAAAATCTATGGGAATGGACCCTAATACTGATACATGGCATATCTGGGTCTCTCTTTAAATCTAATACCCCATTCACACTACGCTCAGTTATCAGGATAAGTTGCGAATTAGGCCACAATTCGAATAAATGCAGTAGTGTGAACGCAAGAGGATTTCTGTAATGCGAATTTTCAAAATCCTGCAAGCGAGGTGGATTTCTAAGCGTGATTCGAATAACTTACCGGAATCGACACCTGTACAGATCTTACTGCGCATGTGTGCAGATCAGTGCGGGTATTGATGAACACTTATTTCTTTACCGATTGCACCAAACGTATTTGGAGGTCACCACTCACTACAACATGAGGAAACAAACTTATTTTGCCATCTCATACTTCTCAAGAATGCTGGAATGTCTTTTGAGTTGCATTTGTCATCACAAATTTTTGTTGGTATTTTAAGATTTCCTGTGCGGCGCATGCGCCAGTGTTCAAAACAGGAAGTTAAACCTGAAATTTTCAACTTGTGATTCGGTTTCGCTTCGCATGTGTGAACGCAATACCGAATCGAATTCCTCACGAAAAATTCGAATCATAGAAATGTGCATTTTTTGCAACTGTAGTGTGAATGGGGTATAAATGTCCATATGCAATGATGATTGCTATCCAGGTTTATAAGATATAATGAAGAAACATTAAGACATCTTGAAAAGCATTCAATGAGAACATTATGACCCATTTTGTTAAGCTGAATACTTAGGGTTGTTTATTCATAAAGCACTTGATAGCATTACCACGTTTATTTTTTTCTTCATTACCATCTTTTTCATCTTATGCCTTTAGCCAGAGTCTCCCTTTAACATTTTTTTTTTCATTAGAGTCATTTCTGCATACATTTGAAAACCAGGTACCGTGTCTCAGGTCTGCAGAATTATTTATCACAAAATGTTGAATCGGCCTGTTGAATCTTGCTGGTTACAGATATCAACAGTGCTCTTGGGTTTTATTGCATTTTAGGTGCACTTAGGTTGCTTAAAATGATGTAAACTTGCCCTAATACATTTTCTCCCCACTTGCCAACATTTGGATGAGTTGCATGCACATGTGAAGACAAGCCCAAATGAAGCTCAGCATGCTAGGATGAAGGCACCTGCTGCAGTAAGATTACCTCAGACAGAACCTACTGGTCAATAATTAAGGGAGTTCTTACAGTCCTAGAGGTTTTTAAGCAGCATAGGTTGGAGATTCCATGCAAATTAATTGAAAAATTAGAACTTATCTACGAAAAAAGTATTCCACACTCAAGATATGGATAAAACTGTCTACCTGCATTAAGCATACCTAGTGTTATATCAGTGATTCATCAGACATTTATTATCTAGAATGCAAACCTTTTACAACTGCCCTAGATTACAGGATAGTCATTTCAGATGAGTTTAAGTTGGAAAGGCCCTTGTGTAGGATATTAGTTGGGGGTCAGGATAAGATATTCATCATGCATGATAAATGACCATGACTACACTGTCCAAGGTTACATCAGAACTGTCAGGGCACCTGCTAGTATTGGATTTATTGTCTCCTTACTTTCGTGTTATTTCATGTGTTATTTAAGTCGTTTGAGTGGGATGGATTAGTCACGTATCTTTTGTGAATGTGTTTTGTTGTTTATTTGGTATACTTGTATTAGTATGCCCGCAGCTTTGTTGGTTCAACACTGTATGAATCACACCTTCTGCATGTGCCATTTTTAAGAAAAGATTATAGGCAGTGTTCACTCTAATAGACTTAGGGGCCGTTCCCATAACCCTATCATACTAGCTAGATTGATCTAACTCTTCGGGGATTGTCACTAAATTGTTTAAGTGGCTTAAATGTCTGGCATGCCCCCTCGTAACTTCAAGTACTTGGGTAAAGTTGGGAAAGTTTTGTGGTCCATGATGTTGTTGCAAGGGGGCATGCCAAACAATTAAGCTGATTACGTTGGCTGCATCTAAACGAGAATTCAAGCTGAGATAGATCGATCCTGCTAGTTTGATAAGGTTATGAGAACACAGTCTTGCACAAGAGCCCTAAGCTTCTTGTATTGTAATAAGGCTGTGAGCCAAAGCTATATATGATATTTTGTCTGCAGGATGACCAATGTCCATATGCTTTTGCTTGTCCTTTACTTATCTCAAATGTAATGCTGGATAGTACTGTATACAGGTGCAAAGTGTGAACTGACACTTGTATCTTACCATCAACTCATTTCATTTAACCACAAAGTGCTTCAATGGCCATGCCCTTAAAACAACACATTAGCTTCAGCCCAGACAATGGGTTACTATTAAAGTGCCTGTAAAACAGGATTGGTATGCACTGAGTGGTTGGAGTTGACTTGCTGTCCAGGTAGAAAAGACAGAACAGTCATGATGCATCTGTTAGAGAAAACAAGCATTTCAGACAGGTCACACACACACACACACACAGTCAGCATGTGTTCTAATATTTATTGCTTAGTGCCATTCTGACCTAAAACAGACTTACTAAGGCTTTGTCTAGAGATATTATAGAATATGGTCCAACAAAAGACAAGTTGGTAAAAACAAACCTGCATTATCTAAAGATTAAATAGAACAAAATACCTTCATTATTTTGGCCTTCAAATTAATTCCAAATTATTATAATGTAGTGCACAAATGGTAACACCTAATAGTGTTATATTTTCTAACAGACAAATCTCTGAAACAACATCTTTTTTGTATTGGGAGGTAGGATATATATATATGCCCTCTAAGTTTCCTTATCTCATGCAGTCATCACCTGATATTGACATGGTTGTGTAAATAGTACAGTTGGCATATTCAGATTATATCTTGGTTGCACTGCCTTCTGCTAGATGATGTTAAATAAAACTCTGCACTCTCTCTCGTCTCCACCCAAGTTGAAAATGTATGTCTGAGATTATCCACCATTTAGCATTAGATAATGTCTCTCAAGACGCATACATTATGCTTAATTTCTGAATGATTCTGTATAAATTTAAATGATGGGGAAAGAAAATATTTGTGGTGGTGAAGTACTTAGTGAACCCCCAATTTTTTTTTCAAATGTGGGTTTTAAAACTAGGGCCACTGCAAATAGCATGCACACCATAAAATAACTCTAACTGAAGATGTGTGTATTATAATCAGAAGTTCAATAATTGAATATGCTCCTATATTACTTTGATTTCATGCTGCACATTTCAGTGCAAAGATGGCATTGATTATGATTGCCCCTTTGATAAAATGTTTTCCATTGATGTGCCAGTGAAATTTATATCTTTTGAAGTAGCATTGATTTGTGTGTGAGCTTTGAGTATGAGACAGATATTGACAGAGCTCAGCTCAAGGGCAGGGTCATAGACTGTAAGTAATGTGCAGGAAATGTACCTTTTATGCGTGGATTGAATATTCAATAAGTAACTCATTTCTGTAATAATCACAAAAAATATTCCTGCACTTCCTGGTAATAAATTTAATGCAATTTGGCATAAGCAGCCAAGGATATAAAAATGCAAGCTATAGGGTGCATTTGAGTATGAAAAATTTTATTTCTTGGTAAAGTATTAATACTTGTAAATAAATGAGAAATCTGAACAAAATGTCTCTCTCAGGTGGTAGATATAGCAGTGCAGTACACTACATTCACATCATGTAGTCATTGTATATAGTGATTGGTGAGATCAGATTGCATCATAAATCATATTGGATGTAAAATGAGCATTTACCTGTACACTCCATTTGATTGAGATAACAGTTGACAGGGAGTGTTTGCTATTAGCCTAATTGCAATAACAACATTGACAAGTCAGTTATATGATCAAGGCTGTAAGATCAAGTGTCTAAATGTTGTGCCTCATAGGTAATAGACACTTTAGATTGTTTAACAGTTTAAAATATTATTTTACCATCTTTACACAACCTGGCAGTAAAAGGCCTATTTTACTGAACGAATTTAACAGTGTGCTGTTTCTCTTAATGGGAATCGAGAGAAATATATAAGGTTGTTGGGAAGAAAAATTAATGTAGAACTTTCCTGGTGTGAGTTGTAAAGGTCCACCATGTTGTTTCCCACAAAATATTTTGAACAAAATAAGTGGGCCATTGGTTAGTGTGTTGTTCCATGTTTCCCTTGTTCCTGAGATTGTGTGGTATTGTCATATCAATTTCAGAAACGATTGCTGTTTCTGATGCAGGATGCCATCTTTACAGATTAAAAGAATGCTAAAACTGATGTATAAGATAAATAGATATGTAAGCAAATGGGGGCTGTTGCTTGGGTCCCATTCTTGGCAGAAATGATACAGTTGATATATTATCACAGGTAGAGGTATTTGTTTCTTAGTGGCTAGCTTGATGAGAAGATTCTATTTTCAGGAAATGCCCTAAAGAAACTGCAGATCCTGGAATATTTTGCTAGCTGGTTTACATTTCTTAAACGCCTCCTCTGTTATTCTAACATTTTCACAACTTGATCAACAGTGTTAGCTTCTGTTTCATTTAGGCGGCTGTTGGATTTACTCTGTTGTTCTTTCTCATTTTCAGGTGGTATTTCGGCAAAATTCGTAGGACAGAAGCTGAAAAGAAGTTATTATTACCAGAAAATGAACATGGAGCATACCTTATACGAGACAGTGAGAGTCGGCGGAATGATTTTTCTTTATCAGGTGAATATCTAACTTTGTGTAAATCCTGATCAGAATGTAAGCAAGGTTTTTTTTTTTTTTAAAATTATTGAAAATAATGCATTTTTTAAAAAATTAGACTCGATTTGCAGTCAAATATTCTTGTTTAAAGGACTAACCACTACAAAGATGAAATACATCCAACATTGAAACAGCTGCAATAACTAAAGTGAATGTTGTCAGCTGCAGACCTGTACTTTTATGTAACTGTCCATCTTAATAAATCTGCTCTGTAAAAACAATTTGTACCAGGGAGTGATTGCAGATGCTGCAGATGGCTTACATGCACATGCACGCGCGCACACACATGCTGTGGCATGCGATAAGTTTGATATTTTAATCAAATTGTAAGTTTAGTATTAAAACAACCAAACTAAATAATAGAAAATCATCCCAGGCTATATTATTATTATTTGGTAGATTAAGGGAAGACATTATCTTTTCTTTTTAATTTTACTGATATAATAATTATCTTAAAAGGTATTTAGCATATGATATAAAAATAAGGTTATGTTATTAAAGTCTTGTAATAGAATTGGATTTTCATGCTCGGTTTGCCCCCATATTATTTGTTTCTGTTTAGATTCAATATTTTATATTTTGCTTTATGAACTAATTAAAGTCATTTAATCTATTTTTAATCTATTTAATTTGTAACACCGAGGCACATCAAATTGTGAATTAGGTATTAGAGGCATAATTGGTTCCAGGGAACAATAGTTACTTAACTCTATGGGATTCAATTAAAAATGTTTCTTGGTCTCAGAACAGTTGGAAAGATTAACTGGCCATAAAATGTCTGAAGGAGATATTTAAGTTGTGAAAATGTTTATAGAACTTACAGTTAGATTTTCTCAGACTGTTGTTATTGAAGGAGTTCGTTTTCCTCTGTGAAGAGATGTAACTTGCTGTTAACAATTTTGGGGTTTAAATATATTTTTAGCTTAATGAAGTTTCATATTGAAGACAAATATTAGATAACAATGAAAATGCTGTCTTCACTCTTGATTTGGATTAGCCTTATGATGTTTCCAAAAGTGTTTTGCAATATAGCTTGTTTGTTGAAAAATGCCAACGAAGGTTTTTGGAACTGATATGGAATATGAGATTTGTTTGAAATAAAAGAAAACCTGTCATCTTTAACTGTGGTTAATGAAGATAGAGAGACAAATGGTTATGATGAACAGTTGTTATGACTAAGTGGGTGAGATGAAAAAAATTAATTCCCAGAAAATGTTGATTTTACTAATTGACTGATTGTTCACAGATATGTTTTGTCCACTGATGCTAGTTTCTTAAATTAAAGGAAATGTATTACCTTGGACATAATAACGAATCCAACGTATCACTTACATATTTCTACCAGGACATTATCTGGAACCTTTTTTTGTGTCATTCACTGTTTTTCTCTGTGTGTGGGAAAGTTTTTGAATTTCAGATCAATGAAGGTGGATAAATGTCATTCACACACTCTATCTAAGAATCATCTTCATTGATTTGATATTTAGTAATCATGTATCAGATGAATATCTCCCATACTGCTGGAACATCAGATTCACTCTTAATGGGAAAAGTATTTGTGAGGAATCGTTGTCATGTTGAAAAGCTGTGAATTTTCCTTGAACTAATATGTAACATAGCCTTATAGATTGTAAGAGAAATTCAGCCTGGTTTATTTCAAGTTCTTTGTCTACAGTATACATTCCCTGTAGAATAATTTTGTTTGCAATAGGTATTATGACTCAGCACTGTAAAGAATAGTGTTTATTTAAGAGAAAGCACACAACTCTGACACAAAGAATAAGATCAGAGTTGCTTTAAAATACATCTCATTGATTTGATCATGACCAGCAGCAACTGGCACTATCTGCGGGTGTCATATACTCACTATTGTCAACTTCAACTCTCAAGCAAACCCTTTGTGAATTGTAATTCTTTTTGATTGAATTTAATTTTGTTATTTACCACCTGTCAGTTTAAATAATATTGTACAAATTCTTTTGTTTTTTCAGTGCGTGATGGTGATACAGTAAAACATTACAGGATACGACAGTTAGACGAAGGAGGCTTTTTTATTGCTAGGAGAGTGACTTTTAGAACTTTATCAGAACTGGTAGAACATTATTCTGTTGATGCAGATGGACTGTGTGTTAATCTACGGAAACCTTGTTCACAGGTGGGTTGAAAGCTATTCATATGATTCCGATCTGGATTTATAATTAACTCCTTAAATATATGTAAAATAATTTTTCAGACTTAAAGAGAAAGTGCACACTAAAATTGTGGTGGTCAAAACAATATAATTCCTAATGAGAATTTAGTTATTGGTTATTTAGTCATTTGTATGAAAGAGTTTATTTATATTTAGATATTTAAAGTAGGGTATGTTTATTGTCACTAGCATCTTCCCAGGGTGCATACATTTTTTTTTTCATGGTGAAATGTTTTGCTTTGTGCCACATGATGGCAAAGATGTGAATATTTTTCAAATTTAACTGTAACATTACTATTAATGTAGCATATAAAAAATTCCTGTGGGATATGTACAAATAACCGTGAGGTTGATTAACAAACTTGTAGCAGGAAAACATTGAAACCCACAGTAAAATGCTAGACAAATTTTAGTTTGGTTGACTGGGGCATTCGTATATTGGTAACCTTAAAGTTGTGTAATATAGGTTTTCCATCACCCTCTTCAATCTAGAGTAAAGAGTGTCTACAACCCATGAGTCACTTTCATTTTTTGCCCCTAAAGACTGTCTCTCAGGATGTAAACACTGCAGCAAAATGTGCCAATTTTGTTGCTGTGAAAAATGTAGAGTATGTGCAGAATTTCCTCCCACTGTTGTATTGCAGGAATTGTCATTTTAGAAATATGTCACACTCCAAAGGGCCAAAGTATGTTGGCTGATGTTATGTGATTGAAGTATTGACCTAAGTGTGTAATACCAAGAATGCATTCTTGATAATATAAATAGAAAATAACATCATCAGCTTTACTGATTTATCTTACAGAATATGACACAAATTCATAAAACTCACCTAGCGGTTCAAAATATATGGGAGGGCTATCAGATAAATGACAGGATCTTTTGTTCACGTGCACAGACATGATACCCAGTGCTTTGAAGAATAACAATAATTTTCTTGTACCCATGCTGGCCGGTGCACTCGCACTCATCAAAACACCATTCTTTAGTGCAGCATCTTTAAAAAGGGGGAAGTCCGGGAACTTTTTCACAAATATGTGACTGGTATCTATGTATGTTAGTCTTGAAATTCTATACTCTGTCTTTTGAATGCTTTTGCTAGCTGTATCTATAGAAAGATGAAGTCCAAAAACCATGGACAGTTGACCAATGTTGAAGTCCATAAGATAATATCTGTAAGAACAAAGGTTAATAGTACTGGGAGTTGAATAGTAGAGGCTCTATTGGTATGTCGTGTGTAGGTCATACAATAATGCCATTTGAAAGAGATGAAGAGATGTTCAACATTTTTGAACTGTCAACTTTTGACATTTAAGATGTTAAGATCAGTTTAGCAAGGAAGTTCAGTGTCTTTTACTTGGTTGACCCAAAAGGTCATGTCAAGAAAACCACACTCAATCCTACACTGGTATTGTAGCTGTCATTTTTATGGTGCAAAATGATAGTTCATCTTTCAGATTAAAAAAGATGATTCTTGTGAGAATCTATCTTAACCTTCACATTTGAAAGAAAAAAGAATGATGATAAAGGTTAAACTAGCAACTTTTCTTTGTCACAACCCTGTATTGATATACAGTAATTTACCACCCCAGCGTAGTGAATTAGGAGATTATCAACATGGTAACAGAACTGTTTAGATGGACCAGGAAGTAATGCACAAATATATGTATATATGTTTCAAAGATGTATGTTGAATTTTTTTTTTTTTTACTTTTTAGATTGAGAAACCACAAACAGCAGGCCTGTCATATAACACAAAAGATGCCTGGGAGATTCCCAAAACATCATTGAAAATGATTCGTAAAATTGGCCATGGGCAGTTTGGTGAAGTGTGGGAGGGTTTGTGGAACAATACCACCCCAGTGGCTATCAAGACTCTAAAACCAGGTGAGATGAGAGAACTTGTTTATCTGACATGATGGTTCATGGGCATATATGTAAGATGCTTATAATTGTTATACAGCAGAACTTTTACTCCGTGTAATGACAAATGTGTAGATAACCTGAGTACCTTACGGCCAATTTAGAGTTCGCCTTATGGCAAAATGTAGAATTCCAGAGAGAACTAAATGATTTCCTGGTATTCTTCTTGTTGTTATGCTCTCATATATTTGTTATTCCAGGTACAATGGATGCTAAAGACTTCCTGGCAGAAGCTCAAATCATGAAGAAGCTACGGCATCCCAAACTCATCCAACTCTATGCAGTCTGTACGCAGGATGAGCCTATTTACATAGTCACAGAACTAATGAGGCATGGTAGTTTACTGGAGTATTTACAAGGTGAGGAAATGTTGTATTGGATCGCTACTTGGTCACAAAGCTAATGAGGCATGCTAGTATACTGGAGTATGTACAAGATGTACAGATGGTATTTGAGTATCAACACAGTCTCAGAAGCTTTGTGAAAAGGTAATTCACTGGAGTATTTAGGAGGAAAGAAAACTATATATTACATATTTATATTAGAGAGCTTTCGCACCTGCACGTTTAGGTGACCGACTACATTTAGCTATCCCTAACCGTAAAGTGATTCGCAGAAAGATCTGGTTAGCCTTTACAGATAGTCGAATTGTACAGTAGGCTGATACATGTTTCACGTGCTAAAAGCAGAGACATTAAATAAGGTCATACACCATTGGACAGGTTAGGTAATTTTGGAATGGTCTTCCATACGCAATTTATGTAGATCCGGCTTACCTCGTTAGAAGGTATCTGTTGAGTCCCTTCAGAGGAGCAAATTTGAGTGCCAAAGAAGAAGAATTCAACAGGAGAATGTCCTCTGTACGGGAATGTGTCGAGTGGGAGTTTGGAAACTTATTGCGAAGCTTTGCCTTCCTAGACTTTCAAAAGAATTAAAAAGTTCTGTTGTCTCCTGTAGCCAAGCACTACTTGGTAGGTGGTCTTCTGGTCAACTGCCATACCTGTGTGTATGGCAATCAGACGAGTCGGTACTTTTAACTAGATCCTTCCACCTTGGAGGACTATTTAGCATGAACTGTACACGTGTACATTGTGCGTATGGAAAATTAAAAAGTAAAATGTAAAATTCATACCGCAAGCAAACACTTATTTAAATGAAATCTTGAATAAAAAACTAATGTTTTAACAAAGATTCAGCCCATGTGTATCTTGTAGGCAGCAAGAGCATAGTATGTCAATTCAGTTTTTCTTTTTAACCAAAGACATAACCATCTCCATTATTTATTTGTCTTTCTCAATTTGAGCTTCTCGCTCTTTCTTTTCTAATTCAAAGCGTTCTTTCTCTTTGTCTTTCTGGTAACTGACGTAATCTGCTGATGTATCAGTACGGCGCTTTTTAAGTGCCGGCATGTTGTCACAATTTTCAGCTAAAAAAATAAAGCGTGTTACCAATTACTGCAGCATCAGTTTTTCTTACTGTTATATTTTTAATCAATATTAGAGACAATTTCATGTATAGAAAGATGTGCTGTCCTTACTTTTATTTATTATTAATTAATTTAAATACACAAAACAGGACGCCATGTGACTTACGAAACGAGGCTTCATAAAATTTGCATTAAAAGTCAAGGAGACATGTCCTGTCAACTAAAGGAGAAAATCGTGCTACTAGCAGTATCTTACTAAACGGCACTTACCTTGCGGATATCCTGCTTGTTATGCATCAAGTGCAGATGGCTAGTCTACAGACCACTTATAAAGGCATGGGTACTCGTAACAACTGACCTAACAGTCTTATCATACAATCAGTCACGCGAACGGAAGGCCAGTTCTGACTGCCTTGTGGTCAGTGGAAAATGCCTTTTTTTACAGGTATAACCTATATTTCAATAGTAACAAAAAACATAGACACAAAAAACGGAGACAAATTTATTGCAAAAATGAAATTATGCTGATTTGTCAAACTGTTTTTCATTGATGGGTAGCAATCTGGCTGCGGATAATGATCTCTCTAACTGTATATGTACACGTCACTAGATAGCAAAATATGATGACCTAAATGTACAGCTCTCTATTGTCTCTTATGAGGCATGGTAGTTTACTTGTAATTTTGCAAGTGAAGAAAACAACATGCAGATCATGAAAATAATTGCAGAGCTTTTGAGGCATATTGCTTTGCTGAGGTATTTATGAGATAAGCAAGGCTGTTAAAGGGATTGTGGTTTGTGTGGTCTGCCAGCAGTTCTCGGCCTTCTCTTAGGATATTTTCTACCATCTTCTAAGTCCTGGCTGACAGAACAGAATGTTAACATGAACGACAAACTGTGGTTATGTTGGAAGTCTAGATAGATAGCTAATCATTGTCAGTGTTTACCAACTGTTACCTTTTGGTGTTGTATACAATACTGGTATTCAGGATTGCCATGGATATTACAATTGAATTAAATGCAACACATTTTAAAAACTATTTAACCAAGGACAATTTATTATACAATGGCCAGATGTTACTAAGAAGCATTACAGAAACACCTTTAAAAAGTGAATTGACATTTATCCCCTTGTTGTCCAGGTAAAGGTCGCAGTCTGAAGCTCCCTCAGTTGATCGACACGTCAGCCCAGATAGCGGCTGGGATGGCTTACCTGGAGTCCCAGAACTACATCCACAGAGATCTGGCTGCCAGGAATATCCTGGTGGGAGACAACAACAATGTCAAAATAGCAGACTTTGGTTTGGCCAGGGTGATAAAGGTAAGTTGGGATTAAGTACATTTGGTTAAAGTAACATTTTGGCGTCATAAGTATTCTATGTTCATTTTGCTGGTTTGGAATACAGAACATTTTCTGGTTGAGATAAAGTACTTTTATGGATTTTTTTTTTTTTAATGAAAAAATAATTTCCAAATGGAACAAATCTTGAATTTAAGATGAAGATTTTTGTCATCAGGCTGTCAGTATGTTGTATTGATTCACCAAATGAACCTGTTAGTTTATGACTCTGGTGATTTGTGAAAATAAAAGGAGAATCTCTATCCACTGCTTGTGACGCCTGGAGTGGTGGAATTCTTGTCACACTCCTATGTATTGATCCATCTCCAGGCGGCTAAGCAATACTGCCCCTTGTAACTAGTATTAAGCCGACGTGATGAGGCTTCATGACTCCTTGCGTGTGAAGTTAAGGAGCACAGCTGTGATGGGTAATAGATGAGAGATGATTTGTGAACTAAATCACTTGATTAAACCATGTTCTTAGAGCATGGTGATTGCACCTAAACAGCGTAATGCTTTGGTGGATGTGGATTTTAATTCCATTCCATTATTCCTTGTTAACTGAAATGTCAGTTTAGAGGGCTGGGCTGCATGCTTTGAAGGAGAGTGATATTCAGACAACTCATGCAAGTTTCTGATTATTGATTGTTCACACCCACTCCTATGAAAGATTAGATATTCATGATAAATATAAAAGTTTACAGTCATTTCAATTTAAGGCCCATTTTGATTCATCCATGTTATATATCTTTTAATCAACAATTCAAAAAGAATTTTTAAAATAATTAGTTACATTGGGTTTTGTCTCAAAATAGGTAAAGGGACGTGAGAGGGAGAATTTTTTCACCTTACTAAGTATTGTTTATTGTGAATTCTACAGTGCATGGAAAATCTGAACTACTCTTTATAGTCTTTCACTTTCTTACTCTTCATATTACTCTTAGTTTTCTCCAATTTGACATCTACATGTCAATTTAAGGCAGCATTAACTTTCTTAGTCGAGATTCCATAGAAAATATGCTTGGACAACATCAGTTTAATGGACCATAGGACTAGATATAAGTCATCAATGGCCAGATGATTTGTTTTTACATGGAAGCCATTTACTTGTATTTATGCAGTCACTTTCCCATTTTATGTTTGGAAGCAAATAGCAAATAGGTATTTTCCAGGGACTTCCCAGACTTGTCTATCATGCTGACATGAATGCCTTTGGCCAAACTATTGATTGGTGTGTGATTTCATTTTGCAAAACCATCCCCTTGATATGATTTTTATCATGATTCTTAAAAGCATTTCTTGCTGAATAACAAGATTAGTATGTGTTATGTGTGTGATTCTTAGTAAATTTATATTTATATGAAATTTATGTCACATGTTTGAATTTTGAAAAAGAATGTTTTTTTTCCCATCATTTTTTACCCAAAATAACAAACATAAAATGGTCAGGATCTTTCAAGGCACTGTAATGAAAGCAGACTGTTTTCCAAGTTGTCAGAAACTACAGGATATCATGAAGTCAAGTGAGAGCAAAATTTTAAATATAAAAGGAAAAAATTATTATTCTTTCAAGTTAACTTTCTACACGTTACAAATCTTCTGTTCTAGGAGGATGAGTATGAAGCTCGCGTTGGTGCCCGATTTCCCATCAAGTGGACAGCCCCAGAAGCTGCCAACTACAACAGGTTCACAATCAAATCAGACGTGTGGTCATTTGGTATCTTACTCACAGAGATCATCACTTATGGAAGGATACCTTATCCAGGTAGGAATAGGTGGTACACAAAAAAAGGGGGGAAATAATGATTAAATGAGCAATTTTCTCTACTGTTTAAAATGAACTGTCCAAGACCCCATTCCTATATAGACACCATGGGTCAACATAGATTGCTCCAACTCTGCAGGGACTCTAGCTGAGTGCAATCACCTAAACTGAAGAACATGCCTCCTCCTTGTTTCCAGTTTTCTTGTTTAATCACCAACTTTTCTGTATTCTCCTTTATGTCAGGAAGAGGTGTGTTAATCTGTTAATCTGATTGCATTCAGCAAGAGTTCCTGTGGAGTCTGATCAATTTACATAGACCCGTGGAATCTATGGCTATTGGGGTCTAAAATGCAGTTGTTTCATTGATTAGTTCGAGTTTATTTCACTGTATATATGGTCTCTGGCCTTTTTACAATAATTTGATTATCATTTATTTCTGTAATTGGGCATCACATTATACATCTCCCTTGTCCATTTTTAATAATGACTTTCTTCTTATTCCTGCTTTTGTCAAATAATTCACAATTTTTCTTAAAACTCTAATATTTATCGATTTCATCAATATGAGAAATACTTCATGTGATATGCATTTTGAAGACAGAATTCACTGACGACCTGATTGTACCTTTCCAGGTATGACCAATGCCGAGGTCCTCCACCAAGTAGAACATGGCTACCGTATGCCAGCACCCCCTGGTTGTCCACCAGCTCTCTATGAGGTGATGCTAGATTGCTGGAAGAAGGATGAGATGGAAAGACCCACATTTGAAACATTGCAATGGAAACTTGAGGAATTCTTTACACTGCAAGGCAGTGAATACAATGAGGCCAGCGTAGTGCGGTAATAGTGCTCCATAGTCATACAAGAGAGAGAGCACACACCTGTGTCTTGCATCATTTGAAATACTGTTGATGTGTGTATTGAAGTGGGACTGAATTTCTTAGAAATGACACTTTTTTTAACGGGTTTCCTAGAAGCATCTGGGACACTGTTTCACTTTAATTAATGCCTGTAAATCTCAAGAAAAAGGAATGGGCCTGTAAGCTTCTTATCACGCAAAAAACCTGATGTTGTCTTGCTGAGAGGCTGTGACAGATTCATATGATCAAGATGTCTGCCAACAGGACTAAATGTCACAACATCTTAGGTGCTGTTTGAAATGGGTGTGAATTGGTTTGAATGTTCCATTCATGGTTTTTCATGTCTCATCTGCGATGACATGGAGGAAAAAATGGCATTTCCAATCAAGAATTGATTAAAGAAGTTGGATATAGATGAAAGTCATTTAGTCTTCATCAGTATTAGAAACTGCCTTCAAATGCATTATTCATGTCTGCGTAAAACAACCAGAAGACGTCTGATTTATAAAAGTTTATGTGCACTGGATTAAAAAGAAGTTAATGTAAAGCTGTTGTATTTTCACAGGATACTGCCATCCAGTGCATATACAGTCATTTCATTTCCTGGCACTAATATTGACAAAACCCTTGATGGCCTTATGTACAACCACTGTGGGAGATGATACCTTGTTGCCAAGATCATGTATGCTAGATATCATTGTTTTATTGTTCACGTTAAAAGTATTATCTGCAGCACTAGATATTTAAAGGCAAAGGGGGATCTTCCGTATCTTAATTAAAGGAGTTTTGTGTTGATTACCTCTATCTGCCTTAAATCTGTTTACAACATTTAAAACATTTTTAGTTATGAAAAAAACATTTGAATGTGATGTCATCGTTAGAATATGCAAGAGATGGGATAGGCTTTTGCTTGAATTTAACAAAAGCAAAACATTGAATTAGTAAAAAAAAATTTAGATAATAGCATTTAGAAACGGCATTTAGGTAGTGTTCTGACTGATTGGAGAGGTATCTCTGGGCATCAAAAACTAATGAAAAGGCAATCAAAATATAATCCAGTGTGGTAAACAGTCCCTTTAGTTTGCCCCCTTCACCACGAAGCTCTTGTCAAAAATGAAGTATGAATAAATGGTTTGAGACGGGCTTCCAAGATATGCAAAAGTTGAAGGTTTTATGGTACTGCAGGCAAAACTCGATATTACCAAGTGATATTAGTTTGTACAGAGAGGTATGACACACCAAGCCCCAACAGCTACAATAATCATAATATATGATGATAATATAATTATGATAAGTTTTCTTCTACCAATGTAAAGTAAAATGTGTATTGGTTTGTTTAAAACAGTCTGTGTAGATATACCGTTTGATGACTAGCACTGATTTGCTGAAGTGCTGCAGTATAGATAAGTAATTTCAGTCTAACATAAATGGTGTTTCTAGTGCTAAAATAATTGATAGCTTGGGTCAACAATTGAGCGCTTTCATTTTGATCTTGTGCAAGTCTGGGACAAGTTGTAATTCTGTCTAGATTAATGCATTGCTCATGTTTTATATTGCCTGTCAAATGATGAGTTTTAATTAGAATGAATCTGGTGTTCTGTTGAAGAGCTGCGATGTCATGGGACTTTGGAAGAGAATGAAAAATTACCTACAGCTTAATTGGTAATTCAATAATTTTTACACTGAATGCTTCAGAGTCCTACGTTATGCAGCTATGCAGCTCGAGTCGGTTATAGCAGTATGTTTTATAAGAAAACCTGTGTTAAGAGAAGTCATAAATTAGCTTTGTTCACATGGGTTTCTACTTCAGATATGCCTGAGAGTTCTTCCATTCCTGTGTCTATTTCCCGGCTTTCCATTTTTCGTCAAACTGACATTCCATATTTGTTTTCTCCCCATGAATGGTCTTTTTATCATTTAACTCTTTTTATCATTTTACTTTTAGCCTCATTATCTTAAATGACTATTGCACAAGGAATGGGGATGGTATCTGTTCATTAATTATGCTATTTTGCATGGGTTGTTAATTTGGCCAAGTAAAATTATTGTAAATTTTTGATTGAAATATTTAGTGTCATCTTTGTGGTGAAGATAGAAAGATTTAAATTGTTGTGCATTAGTAAAAACAATCTAGCATAAGATTATTATAGTGTCACCATGACCATGTGTTGACATTCTTGGTATTTGGTCCATTGATTTTTGACATGATATTTGCAAAACATTACCTTCTCAGTTTTTACATCTAAAATGGTACACAATGAAGTATGTGAGAATGTTGGTATATCTGATAACATTTGATGTATCCACCAGGTAACTTTTGTACCATAATTGTGTCATGTTACAATTTCCTTCACAGTAATTGTGCAAGCCACTTTATCTCTTGATTTTCTCAGTGGAGTGCAACTTTTGTTGGTACCAGAGTCCCACTTTGGAACATATTTCTTATTTCTTGTCATTTTCCACAGCACTGGATGTTTTCAAACATTTTGTATGGCATGCTTATCGCATTTTGTATCCCAAGAGTAGTTCTTTTCCAAAACTCTCCCAAAGAACACAATATTTGATATCAAAGCATACCTAGATGTAGATAAATTTATATCATAGATATCATTCATTTAGTGGTATTCGGAATGGAAGTGTTGTTCACAGTATCTTATTAATGTCTCTTTTAATTAAAATTGCATTTCTGAGGTCATAAAATGTAATTTCATGTCTTGGTATTTTATACCCACACAAACAATTATTTTGCTGCTACACTGATGATTGGCCTAAGCATCAGCTCAATAAGCTCCATGCTAGCTTATAGAAAATCTTTTTCATGAAAAGAGACTTGATAAAGTACAATATTAATCTTTAATATTTTGCCGAATTAAATCATTGTCAACTATTGTAATGTCTCAGTTTGCTGTTCATGTACAGTGTCTGTGGAGCTTATTTGTAGATCAGTGGACATTTGTGCTCTGGGTCTGTGTCATTTGTAAATAAATATTTGAAGTATAATTGTTTTCTCATTTTACTCTCAAACGTGTATGAAAAAGGTAAGCAATAGTGTTTTGCCATGTTTTATTTCTTCTATATATATATATATATCTATATGTTATTTACACATATTGCTCTTGCAATGAATGACACTTCTTTTTCTTGAAAAAGATTTAAAACTGGATATGTAAAAAATTAGTATTATTTTACAACTTGAGCCTTCAAAGTCAGCAAATTTATAAAATGCCACTTGGTTCAGATGTCTCCTAAGACCTATCTTCACAAGACAGGTGTACTGACACAATGCCCTCCAATATAAAATGGTCTTTGGCTTGCTCTAGGAGGGAAACACTTTGTTTGCAATGTCTATGAGACCCACTTCCTTGAGAGCGATCTTCAAAGTCCCTGGGGTGGCACGTTCAGCTTCATTTTCCTGTAAAGAATAATCCAAAATGAATGGCACATGAATGAGAAAATCTGTAAGAACTGGCTGTCAAATAAACCATAGATGAACCACTTAGATTAAGTGATTTGAAATTGAACCTGTCACTGGAATCTAATCAAAACTTTAATTTCTCAAAAAAAAAAAAAAATTTCTACTGCAATAAAAGATTTGGTGAATTTGCCGTCATTATCTTCTGATACCTACATCAGACAAGAAAAAAATCACTTGGAATTCTTAAACATTACAACATTTTGTGAAGAAAGAGAGACTTACCATCCACAACGTAAGCATTTTCAAGGCCTGAGAAACTGTGTCTTCATTGTCGCTCTCTATGTAAGCAATGTCATCTTCAGGGAAGTTGAGCTCCACGGCCAGTCTCTTCCACTCCTGACTCAGCTCCTCAGCCACAGTGGCCACCTGATCTGCCGTGACCACCTCCACAGCCTCCTCTTTACCTGGGGAGACACCAGTAAGTAATGCTTTTATTATATAAATCACGGGTAGGATATGTGTCTTTCTTCATTATTTTTTTCTGTCATCCATTCATTGCAACTTAAACAGCAAAATGTGCGACTGGCATTTCCTGACAAAACCCACTACAATCCTTATCAATGTCGAGATTTAAAATGCAGGTGGTGCTCAATGCAGTTGCATATTGTTTGCCCGAATAAGCTTCTCACAAAGCACATAAATTCTCACTTTTCATGCATAATTCACGCCTGTTCCCAAGTATTGGCAAAAGCATAACGTGATTTCCCAAAGTGCCATTTTTCACATTTTCATCACAGACGTGGCTTCATAATTACGCCAGTTACTCGGTCACCAGAACTGGTTTGACATCACGATTTACCAGTACTGGTGTTATGATACAAATGACTGGTATTGGCAATCTTGTCACAACCTAAGTATTGGTGTATGTGACAAGTGACCAGTACCAGAACTCACCAGTCTCTTCAGCCTTGTCCAGTTCTTCTTCTTGGTGTTCCTCTCTGATGTCCTCTTCCTCTTCCAGTTCAGTCTTAGGCTCTTCTTGCAGAGTACTCTAAAGAACATAATGCACAAATAAGGAGTACCAAAACTAGTGCTGGAGACTTCTTATAATTATCCACAGATTGTAAATCTATGCCAGCTACATTTATAAAATATGTATATATCAACACTGGTTTCTATGTTAACTAGAATATTATGTACATTAAGCCATATCTGAAAAGTATACCAAGAACACAAGGAGTGACAAAAATGGGAACTACAACTGGCATTTTGTTATCAAAAATATACAAACACAATGCTGATCAAGCTCAAAGTATTTACATATATCTGTGTCTATACTCACAGGCATTTCCTTGGCAATCCTCATCACCATGGACTCCACAAACTTTGAGATTTTGAGAGCTCCTGGCTGCTGGTTAGTTTGAGCAAAGAAGTGAGGACTTCTTCTAGCCAGCAGGCGCAGAGAACGCCAACAGAAGTTGCTTTGGCTCACGAGTCTGGTAAAAAACAGAGTGACCTCTGTATTAAATTACATCTTAGAACAAAAGATCAATGAAAGTGCATTGCTGTGATATGGAAAAAGCCCATGCCTTACATCGCTTTGTTTCATCGACTGTGAAATGCTCCAACTTGAGTATTTTAAGCAGTGTTTTTTATATTTTGAACTGAGATGAAAACACTGAGCACACATACTTGTACTGCTCTTCTATCTGTTGTTCTGGATCAGCCTGGAGTATTGCTTCCTCAAAAAAGTCTTCCAAAGATGGCAGGAAAATCCTGGAGCAAATCAATTGTAATGCCATTACTCTTCCCCCCCTCAAAAAATCTCTGCCATATCAATGTATTACTAGACTGTTTTCCACACTACATTACAAAAACCACAATAAAAAAAGGTAAAACGATGCTTACCCGTCACACTGCCAAGGATAGAATGTATTCAAAGTGAAGTTACACTATCATGAAAACATCCATGCTCAACAAAGGCAATATCTCATTGTACCTTTTATCAGATTTGCAAGCTTCCATATTGGAGGGGTAAATGTTCCACAGTCTGGTCAGCTCATCATTGCCCATCTTCACTACCTTCCCTCCTGTGGCCTTGATGTCCTCACCTAAACTCCTCTTCCGCACTCTGAAAATAGCAATTTGCCATTACAGAAAGTTATGAATTTCTTTGCCATTACAGATTTGTTCCATACAATTTTTTGTGTCAGTGAGAAATTGTCAATAATGGAAAAGCCTAAAACCATGACTAACACATCACTGAGAAACAGAATTAATGAGAGCTTAACCCAAAACTTTCTGATACAGGTAGATCTATGCTTGGAACACTGGAAAATGTCCTGGAAATCTTATGCTTTTATTTCATGTGTAGAACTGCATGGTACATGAGACCACAGGGCATGCTCTGTCCTGAGATCTCATGAAATTTTTTAATTTAAAACACAAAAAATTATTTTCATTATAAGAGAATGACATGTCATGGAACTGAGTCGGTCAGACAAAAAAAAAAGGAATGCTACAAAAATTTTCACGAGACATGAACAATTCAATTCAGTGGAAGAGTATAGAAACACATTAAACTTACCTCAAACTTTTCTGTTTTGCAGTGTTTTCTGTGGCCTCCCTGACATAGCTGGGGCATCCCTCATTCTTCCAGGCATTCCAGTTCTCTTCTCTGGCCAACAGGTGCTTAAAGTAACAGAATAAGGCAGATGAAAGAGATATAGTCAGCATGTATGTCAAAGATTACACTTATTAAGTACATAAACAGGAAAAAATATTTCAAACTTAAAAGTGATTCAGACAAGTTGATATGACCCCCCAACTTTTGTCACAAAAGTACGGGGATTAAAAAAGAGTACAGCTAGAAGGTGACTGAGCTTACCTCAAAATATTTAGCAAACTGTTCTCCATCTGGAGGCGTCTCCCTGAGAAGTTGAAGCACTTTATCTGTGGACTCCCTCACCCAGTTGGACTGCTCTTCTGATAGCACTTGGTTGGCACTGGAATGATATTAGTACTCTCATCTCATTTCTTATGTTACAGTCAGTCAGCCAAAAAAGAAAAAAGAAGGTCATGCTAATTGTAGGTCAGATTACCTGTACTCCAAAGACAAAGAAAATAATATGGTAACTACACTAGAGATACAATGCTGAGAGGGACTCATAAGAAAAAAGTTTCTCAGACATTCGACAAATGGAAAAACTTTCAATATTTGTACCTTTTGAATTTGACTGTTGAATTCAGATACTGGAATAGGATGAGAAACTGTACAAGGACATATCTTCTGAAGTTACCGTCACTCATCTGGAGGTCTAGCAGCTAAGATGAAAAATAATGAAAAATTACAACACTGTAGAAATTATCAATTTGTAAGATCTGGTTTTAGCAACAATTCATGATGATAGGTTTGCACTTGTAAGAATTATGAGTATGTGATTGCTGATTAGTCTTTAAGTTAGTAGTTAACAATAACCAAGGGATGATTTAGAGTAATGCATCATATATATATATCATCATCCAAGAAAATTAGATATACTTCAGTGTTCATTCTAGGAATGTTTCAATGTGGGACAAAGGGCCCCCAACATTAAAAAAAGTGGGTCATTACATTTTAAAGTGGGCCCTTGTTCAAATCTTGAAATTATAATATGTAACGCATGTTGTTTTACTGCTGTAGTATTTATGTTCAGAGATGAAAAAAATTTATTATAAAAATATGTTGACTTATAGTTGATCAAATTCAATAAGTAATCCTAATTTTCTAAAACAAAACCCTTGAGTTGACGCTCCAATTTTTGTTAACAAGTATAAGATAACACTAAAATATGTTCACGATTTATTTACCAATAACCAAGTTCTTACTATAACAACATTTTAAACCCATTTTTGGCTTCAATTTATGAAAAATCCATTTAATTTTACCTCTTCTGTCCTCTGTCCCATTATCAATGACCCTTGACTAACTGGCATGCATTCATGACTTATGAAATTAATTGTCTCATCCCTGATAATGATATATAATTCGTTGATAAAAAGCTACCAGATTGAGAATGATATCACACATATTTCGACAGCAGAGACATAGGTCTTACTAAAAATCATTGAGAATTGTTCCTTTTTTTGATGTTGTTAATGAGATTGTCAATGAATTGACACTGTATTGCCTTGCACTGTTTCTCATAATTAGCACAAGTCACAAGGTGGTCCCTGGAGAATTTACGATGACCTTTTCCCCACTTTCAGGAGAAATTCTTCAATTTAGCTGCCAGGTATACCAGACAACATTTAAGTCCTTCCGAACTTGTGAATTGCAATGCCCTCTTAAACAATCCAGTAAACTGATTTCACCACTGCCATGATTGCTCCATCTCTACCTAGAAATGTTATAAAAGTTACAATTAAATTTTAATTTGGGCATAACAACCTACATAAAATGTTAAGTAGTGTTGAAGGTATCCACAAAGAATACTCCAGCACACTATCCCTTACTTTATTTTTCCCTTAATCACCATCAGCTGAGACCAAATTTCTCAACACAATAAAATTATGAACAATGAATGTGAAAATTTTTACCTATATATACAAAAAATAAGGTTCAGGGAAATAACATGAGCTTGACGCCTTATGTCTATGCGACGCAGCAAACACATTGTTTACATAGTTGTTCAGCATTGCGATATCCCAGAATGCACTGTCAAGAGTTCCTCAAACTGCACAAATATAATTACAACACGTGGGTCCGGGACCGTCACGATAATCACTTTGATGTCTATTGCTCTGTGTTTAAATAAATATTGACAAAAAAATAACATCTTACCTTCTAAAGCTCTGCAAAAAGTCTGTTTAGCTTGAGCTGCTTCCGACGTTTCTTGCATGGCAGCGGACGTCTCATGTCACATAAGGGTACTCGTTCGAAATTTATTAGTCCCTTGAAAGAAGATATTGTCCTTTTTTTTCAATGCATAAGCATTATCGTCGTGTACAAGTCACTTGTAAGTATTTCTCCACCATTTTTGAAACGACCTTGAAGTTGCATTGCTATTCGATGCGGTATCAGCAGTCGTGACGGCTGCACAAACTTTTGTTCTCTTTTCTGGTGGGAATGTCTGCTGTGCATGATCATGATCATCTCCGTCGCTACTGTTCTGAGCCGTTTTAGAGTGATCTTCGGGATCGATTTTCTTTTAAAAACTTAAAATACCATTTTGCTTTCTCCGCCGTCATGCACAATGTACGGGTTGATCAAAGTGACTTACATGGACAATTAATCTCAGCCTATCAGGGATTCAGGAAAGGAGGGGCGATCGCCACTGATTAGCATAAAGCGCATGACGTCAGCATAAATTAAGATCTTTGTTAAAACTGCGACGCGTAAAGAATATCTTCGTTACGTTTAACATTAGATCTTGATGTCAAGAAAAGTTGAGTAAACAATCAAACTTCGGCCGTGAATTTGCTGAATTGGAGGGCGCGTTTAGAACACAAAAATGCGCCGCTGTTAATTCTCTTGAATTTTGTTGGCGCAGCTCACTCTACGAAATGCGTCAATCACATTTTTTCTGCGTCAATGACGCAAGGGCGCATCCTAGAATGAACACTGATACTTTATTTCATACTTATGCATCAGGTAGAACTGATGAAAATCTACAATTAACATAGACAAGATAGCACACTGACAGCACTACATATATTTGACTCTACTAAAACCACTTCACACTGAGTTGCAATATACAGATCATTCAGCTTTCTCATGTATTACTAAGCAATAAGCAATGTAAGACATTTTATACATAAATAAAAAAGTTTTTTCTCTGTTTCCAAATGTATAACTCAATAGGCATTCCCTACCTTTTCATTGGTCAGATACTTGGCAAAGTACTCGTGTGTGTCTGACTGCTTGGGTTGTTCTAAATTCTTCCTACTGGATTTTATGTCATCGAGTTTATTACTTGTGAAAACTTTAAGTACTTCATCTGCATTCTAAAATAGAGAAGTTCTATTCAGTGTGTTGACGGGATCAAATTCAAATATTTACAAATCATTCAACATTGTCTTAAATGGGCATTAGTGATGTCCTGATAGAAAACCTACAAGAATCCATGTGAGGCAGGCTAGGCTTTTAGTAATAAGACTGAAATGTTATGCTTTGTGAATGTTACAAGATTAAAGTGATTTCCATGTCCACTTACCACTACAAACTGTTTCCAAGCTATCTTCTCATAGCACTGCTGTGGATTTCTGAAGTTGTCCTGAAGAGACCAGAACCGCCTGTACAAATTGTAGTCTATGGGAATGGAGCTGGAATTGTCAGAATAACACATAGCATTTACCTTTAATATAGATAGTTCTATTTTACAGACATAAAAAACAGGCATTTTTTTATAATTTTCAATATCATTAACCATAATTAAGTTATCTTGATCCAAGTGTAAAAGGTAATATTCATGAGTAAAAATAAAAATTAAAAATAGTAGATAATCACAAAATACAAAAAAGCATGCCTAGGTTATTCTAGCAAAAAAATTTTAAACTTAATTATAACTTAATTCTAATTTGTCTGAGAGACATAAGATATTTTATTCTCTCCCCTCAAATGCCATCATTTGATTTAGCAAAATTTTAATTTTGATCAAAATTATCCATTCAATGTTATCCTGGAGTGAGAGCTTGTTTTATCACCTTGATAAAGTATCTTCCATTTCTCCTTCTTCAATCTCCATGCTATCATCTTTTTCTCCATCTGTTTCCGACTAGTGAAGGTACAAAATGACAACAGTCTGAATATAATTTTTCACTTGACAGATTTCTACATTCTCAACTTGGTTTAATCAATTGAAAGCATCAACTGCTCTTGTAGGGTTAAACTAATATTTATATGAAATAACTTTAGTGATGTAACATGACATGAACATATAGAAATACAAAAGCCAATGCACCATTAGCAGATAATTTAAAAAACTGTTTAAAAAAAAAGAATAATAAATTAAGGCACAAACATTTCAATATTATAGTGAATTCACATAGCAATAAATCAATAGCAGCTGTAAAAAGACTCACAGATTTCCTGACAAAATCTTCTGCACTAGAGCTAAATGTTGTGACATTATCTAAATTGAACTGGGATGTTAGATTGACCCCTGTAAAAGAATATTTCAAAATTCTAAAGGACACATAAAGAAACAGTAGAAAAACCAGTGAAACAAATGTGAAGCAGCAGTAATGTTCTGCAAATAAACCTTTCTATGGTGCAGTAACGCTGTATATGAGAAAAGTATCTTGTTACACGTGGTTTTTAATTTTAAGTCTAGATAGTGACATGGACCTCTTTCATTATATAATAATTTTCAGAGATAATCAAGGGTCATGCTGAGTGCAAAATCACTGCACCTGATTTCTCTTCCAGTGGGAATAGCCTGGCCAGGAACAGCTGTATTCTACCACAGAACACTGTATCAAGGGACTTAGACAACCTCCTCAGCAGATCTGAAACAAGATTCCATGTATTCCATCTTCATGTATTATGAACTAAAGCAAATGTAAGACTAAAGCAAATATAAGGTGTTAAAAAAAGCATATATATTTCATTTAACAGTGATTGAAGTTAATCTAAAATATAACCTAAAGTGAATTCAGTGATGTTTGAGTATCATTCAATTAATGTAGTGTGTAGCTCCATAAAGAATCTCACCAGACATGCAAATCAGTCAATTACATCGTGATTGGGTAATAACAGTAATTAAGTTGTTCACTGAAGAACTTATACAATGCAACAGTGAAGCTCTTTCTAATGAATTCATCAGTCTCCACATCATTTAACAAATAATGTCTAGACACAACTGTGGTTTACCATTGCACATTCGCAGCAGGTAGTTTTTTCCAGCTGAATAAAAGATGTCCTGAAATTAAAAAAAAAAAGAACTTAAAATTTAATGTTGTCTACATTCAAGCAACTTGGTTTCAAATATGTAACATACATACAAAGTTAATTCCATTAAAATGCAGCACAGATTACTTTGCAGTTGACAAATAAACGGCTACAATCTGTACCAATGCTAAAGCAAGCCTAATCTGTGCAGAAGTCACAAGTTTTATAGTCATGATAGAAGTTCAACATTTTAACCCCGAAACAGATACTTAAATTGCCTTTAAGAAAATATAAAAGCAGTCATTTTTATCCTTTGTTTCAAAATAGACTCCTCAAGTTTTTACAAACAGTAAGGCCTAAGTCTGCTCACCGACTTCCATGTGGCTACACCATCTTCCACAAACTTGAAGAGTGAGCTGCATTTCTCTAGCTCCAAGCCATCAAACGTGTCTTGCAACAAAAGGAATGGTGTGGAGTGGGAACCTAATTCTGAAATTCAACAGATAATCATGAACCCATTGGAAATTTATAGGAGTAAAATGGCACCTTAGCAAAAACATCAGATTTATAAATCGGCTGAAAATTTCATTTTAAAATTGAAGTTTGAATTGCAAACCATTAAATCAAGTGTAGAAAAAACTAGTGGTAATAGAAGTTAACAGAACATGATAATACTGATATCTGAATATCTGTTACAAAACAAACCATATATGACAATACAAAGAAAATTACTAAACGAAGATGTACCGTTTTGCACATTTTATAATCAACTTGAAAAAGCTTTCCTTACTCTGCACATAAATATTATGACTAATAAATAACACTGCACAACTGTCTTTTTATTAAAGATACAAAAAAAAAAAAAAAAAAAAAAGAAAACCATACAAATCTATGCCACCCACCTTGTCTGACTGCCTCTACAGCTAAATTTATGAGTGATGTAAGTATGTTGATATCACCTCCTGACTGCTGAAAATAATTTACATAGGACGTTAGTTTTTCCCCCTCATGTTCATGTAGACCTCGACCCCGGATTATGGAACGATATTTGACGTTTTTCAGCTTTGCACAGTCTGTGTATAAAAATGAACGTAAACTAACCTCTAATACTTTGCATGTAGCTACGATAGAGCTTTATTTACTATCTTGTAAAGCTTAATCCATATGATTGGGGTTACTATTGAAGAAAAACGCTAAAATAATGGTTAACTTCGTGTTGTTCTCAAACCCCGGATTATGGAACAAAACCGGAAGTGCGCAGATAACGTTGCGTCAGAGTTTGTTAGATAAGATGCAAGGCAATATGTAGCGCAGGGGGTCTATAAAAGACAATAAAACGGCAAATGCGCATTATATTGCGAATATCAATGAACATAACAGCAGTTGTTATTCATATTTAGTTGGTCTTTTACTTTTAAACACAAATATTGCTAAAAAATGGAATAGTCCACTCATTTACCACTGCCTTGATCGGATTATGGAACAAAACGAGAAGTTGCCGCTACGTCGGAGTATCGAAACGATATTTAGTAGTCTGGTAATTTAAAATGCCAAATTGAAAATACTGTATTCATTATTGTGAATTTAAAGAATAATATTGATATTTCTCATTTTAAAACTCGTCGATCATTCATTTGGACAGCCTTCAGGTAACAACACCAGTAATGATTCAAAATAAAATCTTTAATTCATGATGACAAAACTAGCAATTAACATTAACAGCTCACATACCACCAACAAAGAATTTATCGAAAGTGTGACAAATACAATAAAAATAAATAAATAAAAAAAGACGGAGAACTCGTGTAACAGACTAGTGCTGTGGCCTAACAAAGAGATGAATGTATTCAGTTTTTTAACATAGCTGACCTTTATAAAATGCATTAAACATTCAACTCCATAAAACGAAATCACTGCAATTTATTCTATTATTATACTGTCTCGCAACTCTGTTCAATATATGGAATAATAATGTACGTTTGTTTTATGTATGTATGTATGTATGTATGTATGTATGCTTATTTTTTACGTTGCGTTGTTTGTAACGCACAAAAACATAGACTCTAGACTATATAAAACAAAAGAACTCAACCAATGTTTCTACTTTACTGAGATAAATTCCAGCAGATATAACACAGGAAAACGTCCAAAAATGTAGTGGTTTAAGCGCAAGTGAAATGTTCTTGCGCGTTAAGCCTAGGTCCCAAATACGTTTTGGACGCACGGTTTTTTAGTTCTTTGCGTCCGGCTAGGACGTAGGCTAGATCGCACGTAGCGGCTGTTGATCATGTCGAAAAGTTACTACGTGCTGTTTGCGTCCTCCAAAAGTCGCACGATGGATGTGCTCCTCACGCACAAACTCCCTATTTATATCCTTCCCGGTTTTCTAAGGGACAACTCGGGATGTCGATTCATGAACCGATCCCACCAGCCGTTCGACGCTGAAAAGCCCATAGGACTATCCCTTTGTTTTCCCATCGCCAGAGCAAACTTGCAGACTCCAAGTCTTTGGTGAGGTGAAACCCCCAGTCACTCATAATAAGGCAGTAGTGGACTAGAGCTGCCTCATCAGAGTGACTGAGGGCCAACTTCCCATGACCACCTCCCTTGAGAGCACCTGTGGTATATTTACGAAAAATAGAAGAAGAAGATACTGGATAGAGATAGTTGAAATAAGAAGTTTTAAAGATAAAACTCCCAGCAAAAGGCGCAAACCTAGTAGGCCTTAAATGATTCATAAGTCTTATATTTTTATTTTCATCTGAACAAAGATCAATCATGTGTCATTTGTGTAGGCCTACCTGAAATATGATTTAAAATGATCGTCTTTGGCACCTCAAATATAGGCCTACGTGCCGCCTCTGATATTGAATAAGAGTAGGTCTAGGCCTAGGGGTAGGCCTATAATTTCCTCTCTGGCATGCTGAAATTTATCGAGCATGAAAAATGTCAGTAGGGCAACGATTTTTTTCTAGCATATATAATGTCAATACAAAAGTCAACATTAAGTGTTATTTTGTGAGAGCAAAATTTATTTATTTCACAAGTCGCTTGAGTCTAATAGCGCTCGTAGCGTTCTCTAGCGGCAGTTTACAGTGAGCAGAAAGCACCCACAGCTATGCCCAACATCAAAGCCATTTTTATGAGATCTTGGAATACTTCAACCTCTTGAAAGTGGATGTTTTGAAATAATTTTATTAAGCCGAGAACAAGAAATACAAACAATAGGCTAAGGGATGAGAGAAGTTAGGCTACAATACTTATAGCAGTAAATTACGGCCGTGTTTACGTCCACAGCGATCGATGTATCTACCCATAACCAGTATGAAAAAGTTAGAAATCGAGATCGGAAACTGGCAGTAACACGTGCAGACGAAAGCGGACGATAAACGGCTTTAAAACTTGCTTGAATAAACGTAAGTTCATTATTAATTTTATCAAATTTGAGAGCAACGAACTTTCAAACGCTAACACTTCTATTGTATCAGTTCGTAACATAGCGCGTTTGATACATTGTAGCAGACGCTTGAAACTTTCGTGGCAACGGGGATTTTTTGCGCTCTGCATGCTGGGTAAAAAGGGCAAACTTCCGGTTTTGTTCCATAATCCGGGGTCGTTCCATAATGTGGGGTCGAGGTCTATTAATTTGTTACACGTCCATGTTTGTACCAAAATAAGACTAACTTAATAGGTTATCAAAATTAACATGAAGTAAAAAATACTCTTGGGACATGACTCATTCTGACACTCACCACTTGTTTGTGAACTGCATCTCTGAAGGCTTGGTCAAGGGCTAGCTTTCTTTCTGATTCACTAGAAGAAAATACAATTAAAACCGACTGTCTAATTAAAACAAAGCATTGCAATGGCCGTAGCCTGGTATTGACGTAATGTGATTTCTGCCCAGTGCTCTGAATGTCAAAGTTGCTAAACATTGGCCAAAGGCAAATCTATACTTCCACTTTTCTTCACTTGTATATAAATATATGCAACATTATTAACCACATAACACAAAATAGCATGTATGCCTCAACTTGTAAAACACAATTCATTATCCAACAGATGCAGTCAGAGAGATTACAATTTCTTACCTGCCCGGCAAAGTTTGGTACTCATCTCGTAAACCATTCAAGTCTGTGCTGTTGTGATGTTTCTCAATGAATTTCTGGATAAAAATAAAAATAACGTTTCTTACTAAAACTAGGCAATGTTGACATGTGTTCTTCTTAATTCCATTTGCTTATTGTACGTGGGCAGAATTTTACTAAACAGCCATGTATAATATATGTGCTGTTTGAAGAAATGAAAAATATCTGTCTGTGAAGCATATTTATTTTGCGTACGTTACTGACGCCGCAACGTGTGTTTATATGTTATGGAGCTTGTCTGCTACACCGTCGGCGGCAGATTTCAGCCGGCAAGTTCCAAACTGAGTGACCTGATCGGTTTGAAATAACCAGTGACTAGGAAGGCAAATTACCTGGTTGAGTGAAATTCCACCGAGAAAGACACTTGAGGGTTTCTCTGAACTGTATTATTATCATTATCATGATGCATTGGTTCAAAAAAGGCAGTGGTGAAAAGTGAAGTTGTAACTTGAAGGCGGTGTAAAGTAATAATAGTAGTTTATAAACACCTTCGTACATTCAGCAACATAGTTCTTTTATTCTACATAATTTTATGTTCACCCGTGTAATAGCAGCCACTCTTGACTTCACAATGAATACACTGAACTTACTAGACACGTTTGTCTTTGCTTCTCAAAATCGGAGCCGCTTGCTGTGGAGGCTGCCATCTTTACTAAACAACAATCAATGACGAATTGCACATTCTACAAAGTGTACACAGGAAGTGACGTTTTTAACATGACATGTGGACAGTTTCAGTAGCAAATCTCTTGCCAAAGGACTTAATGATTAAAAATATGTGCTTTTTTCCTTTTAAAGTTCTTTAAACAGGTAATGTTATCCAATTTTGGTATGTATTTAATACCAGTCCTTAGGTTTTATTCCATACCCCAAAGAAATACTAGTACACACACCTGTGCCTCGTTCGGCTTTTTTCATTTCAATGTCTGACTTTAGTATTGGTCGAAATGAAAATGATAAGTTTTTGACGTTGCTGCATTGTAAGTGGAAAACTGCACAAATAGTACATGGTTTCTTGGTCAGTACCTCTGAACTTTTAAAAGATGTTAATGTCAACACTGTTTAGCCGTACACGTCTACCCACAGGTACCCAGCAGCACTCCTGTTTACTTTTTTTTTTATCATATACTAGTATATACATAATTTATATTTAATGTACAGTTAACGTTTACTGTCTGTATAGGTAGCTACTCTGTAGCTAAAGATATATGTTGTATTAAAATGAGAAATCGATGAATTAATAATGTTGACAGCTGAGCTTACATGCTTCATTCTAGCATAGAGAAGTGATGTTGAATTCTGATGGTAGTAAACCTTCCTATGGGTTTTATAAGACACCAGTTCGCCGGTCCTCCAACATGTTGAATCAAGGAGATCATACAAGCACAGTACTGATTGACCATTCTCATAGGGAACATAGGAATAGAAAGGAAGACGAATCAAAGGACAATGTTTCTATTCTTTGCTTTGATTTAACACATGTATCCCCAGCTGTGCAATTTTTCATTTTGACTTTTGGAATCTTTTTCTTTTATCTGTTATATGGTTATGTCCAGGTAAGTGAAAACATTTCCAATAGGATATACTGTATATCAAGGGATTTTACATGGTTCCATATGTTGGATTAAGTGGCAGTAAATATTATCATGAAGTTCATGAATTTACCCTGTATATTGATTTGTTTTTAAATCTTAAATCTTTGAAATCGGCTTTGTTTACATATACCCTTGCAGTGCATGATAAATTAGACACCTAACTCTTGTATATTCAGGAATTGATATTCAGACTTGAGGGCTTTCGTCCCTATGGTTGGTACCTAACATTAGTACAGTTTGGATGCTACTCACTGTTTGGTTTAGTTGAATTGTATATGAAAGCTGACAGACAACGGAGGTAAGTTTGTTTAGATTAATTTGTTGAGCTTGGATGCTACTTTATGATTTTATTTCAAATTAAATTAATGACGCTAGTCTTGTTTGATGGAATAAATCTTACTTCCTTAAAATTTATTTTTGTACTGAAGGTGTCCTGTCTACCTTTCTGTACATATACTCTAAAAATATGAGCTTTAAAAGAAAGACCTTTGTGCATTTATGATGGAATTTTTAAATAATTTTTGCAGTAAAGAGTTTGATTACAAAAATGTGACAGTGCACTTGCTCTCCTTCTTTTCTGTCAGAAGTCTGTAACCGCTATAATTTCTATAATGCATTAATTCATATTTTATATTTTCCTGAACATCTTATTTTATACTGTAGGATTCCCCTTCCAACATATGGTTTCTTGGCCTTCTTAACAGTAGCCACCATGGGTTTGTCAAATTCCTCTTTAGGATACCTTAACTATCCGACCCAAGTTATATTTAAATGCTGCAAACTAATACCAGTTTTAGTAGGAGGTATTATAATTCAAGGTGAGGAAGGTGGCATATACACTTGGTTTGTGATGATCTCATTCGTTGTAAGGAAATTTGGAAATTGGGTAACTACTATTTATCCCCATATTTCTGTGACAAAAATCAGGGAATGTTATCCCATCTGTCCATGCATAACTATGTTTGTAATTTCCTAGACCATAAGAAAAAAGAAATTGAAACTCTGGGTATTGATAGACATTCAATGTGATTTGTTTATATATATATATATATATATATATATATATATATATATATATATATATATATATATATATTCAGGATTGTAGCCTGCTTTTCCAAATCTGTGAAGTTAAGCATGCTCTTTCCTGATAATTTTTGTATGTGTTTAATGTTACATTTTTTAAAATATATGAATATAAAGCAAAATGCAATGCATAATCTAAGCAGAAAGTGGGTTCACAAGATCAGCGCTGTGTATGATGTTGAAATTTTGATGCCCATGTCCCAATTTTTTGTTACTCAGTATCGTGGACGTATAGATTTTTCTTTGCATATTAAGTTTGTAAATGAAATGATGTAGTAAGATCGGCCTTTTTTATTCGCCTTTTTAATCTGCATATTTTAAGATACAGCAAAAGAAAAATGTCCAATTTCAGGCAAAAAATATGGTGTGATAGATGTTAGTGCATGCCTCAGTATGAGCATTGGGTTAATCCTTTTTACTCTGGCAGACAGCACAGTTTCTCCTAATTTTAATTCTTATGGTAAGTATGATGATGTAGATTTTTCCAAAATAGCTTTATAGATAAAATTATTCATGAAAGAATGCTTATTATGATTTGATAAGGTATTCTATATTACTGCCACAATATGCTTATTAAATCATTTCAAGTTTGGTGTTAAATGGTTAAAAAAGTATGGTTAAAGATAAATGAAACTTAATTTTTAGATACATGTTACAAGTTATAAGCTGACCTGTGTTTATGCTAGCATGTAAACATTTTGATATGTTTCTCCCTACATTATTTGTCACTTACTTATTTTTTTTCTAAGAAAAATGGTCCAAAGATTCCTTGTTGGAACTATATAATTCTAATAATTTGGTTAAGACCAAAAACATTTGTCAGCTTTAGCAAGGCCAGTACTGCTCTGAGGGTGGAAATCTGTCTCATACATGAATGAAAAATGGTTCATGCAGCTGTCAATGACTTATTTTTTTCAGGTATTTTATTGATCTCACTTGCTCTTTGTGCTGACGCTGTGATAGGAAATGTGCAAGAAAAAACTATGAAAGAATTCAAGAGCACCAATTCAGAAATGGTAATGTGCATGTTACGAGGGGTTTCAACTGAAGCCAAATAGAAAAGAATTACGATGTATGGTTGTAAATATAGCATGCAGACAAATGGCATTGTTTGAGTCAATGCACTTATTTGTGTTGTTTCAAGTTCTTCAATTCTTATGAATATCAATTAGAGGTAAAGAAAATGAAATTAAAAACCAACTGTTTTCAATATCATAATGATTTGTTTTACTGTTAAAATCCTTTCTTAATTTTTTAAAATTTCATTTTAGGTATTATACTCATACTCTATTGGGTTTGTGTACATCCTATTTGGACTTGTTATCAGTGGGCAGCTTTTTCCTGCATTTAATTTTTGTTTACAAGTAAGCTCTTTGTAATTTCTTTTCTCTGTAGCTTAACTGACCTTTTCCAAATAATATTTAAGTCATAAAGACCTAATACAGACATTTTGTGCCTTCAGTGGCACTTACAAATGTTTTACGTGCCTCATTATCATTGAAACCTTTTTTCTAATGTGTCAATGTCAGCATCAAAGCATACTCATGCCCTGTGTATAGTGTACAGTAGTTTGACTGGTTCACTTGTGTATCAGCTGACTTTTCATACTTCAACTGATGCAAGACAGATCAGTTGATCTAGGAGCAATGGATCAGGAGGCCAGATGAAGGAGTCAATCTCTCAGTGTATCTGATCACCTGGAACAACCCAGACATCAAATTGAACAGGAGCAGCAGGGGTCTGACTGACAACAGCACATACACTTCGACCTGTCATGTGTCAGTTATGTCCATGTTGTCTGACAGTCAGACAAAACTGTCCACCCCCACATACACAGTGTAGATTTGCATCAATAGAACTATTAATGTTGTCATTTTAATAGTGTTTTACCTTCACAGTCTCTGTACTTGTTTCAGTGAATGCCAGTTTAATCATATTTCCTTATTCCATATAGTATCCAGTCGAAACGTATGGTTATGGTGCAGTCTTCTCCCTGACTGGCTATCTGGGAGTGAACATAGTACTGACCATGGTCAAGACATTTGGGGCTCTCATAGCTGTGACAGGTGAGTTAGCTATCACAACACACTTCACTGGTTAAACTAATTAGAAATTCTGGAGAAAAAAATTTTGTTAAGTGTGTTTTGCTACTTGATTTCATGTTCTTGATGTTGTAAAGACCAACACAAGAGGTGTGCATCTTGTAATGAGTATATTTTAATGAAATGGAATGTAATGTAGTATAATATAATATGTTTAGCTACATTTTCAGAAATGTTTATATAAAATAGTAGTTTCTGTTCAATCAGTGTGCCAATTGCATTACTGCCATAATTCAGGGAAGCCATTGTTGAATTGTGTTAGTGGTCATTCACAGCACATTTCAAGCAATCTTCAATCTAAATAGATGCGACTTTGCAGTGTCTGTAAGCCTACTATTGAAAAAAGGGATTTCAAATTTTATCTGAGACTATGTTTTTTAAATGTATTTTGTTTTAATATTGCTAGAGAAAAATGAAAACAGTTTGTATTGAGGCCATTCATTTATGATTAAATGCTTTTTTCTCAGTGACCACATGTAGAAAAGCCTTGACCATAGTGCTTTCTTTCATTTTCTTTGCCAAGCCATTTACTTTCCAGTGAGTAGAAATCATTTTTATTTTCATCAGTCAGTGTTTTTAAGAACGGAAGAAGCTAAACTTAGACCTGTAATGGACTAATTAATGTTACAAAACATTAGTATATGTTAAAACCCAGAGTGGGTCTGGAAATTTTAAATTCCATTTGATGCATTCAAGAGAAAATTATTCTGAATGGTGTCTATAAAAGAGCATCGTTTTTTTGTGAAAATACCTTATAATAAATGCTTCGCTACATGTGCAAATTCCATAAAATATCTAAAATAATTACTGCAACTTATAAGTAATGGCTTTTCTTTTAGATAGATATTGAAATTTCATCCAGTTTGATT